CAAGCCCAAACCTTAACACACCCAACAAAGACCAGCTCGAATTTCAACAAACTGTTTCAGCTTGACCGTATTGAATGTGCATATTGTGAAAACAACAGACTATTTAACGACACTGGTATCAATACAGGTAATTTAGGCCGATAAGAGAATGACACTGCGTTGAGATGGGCTGGTGCCATACTTATCAAGCAGGTGAACAAGGCATTCGAGTGAAACAACACAATTCGCCAAACAAACTATATCCACACCAATAGATTAAAGGAATAACTATGAACATTCTAACGATTATGAAATAAAGACAACTCAAATCCTGGACTTGTGCACAGATTTGGGCTGATAATCGCGGTGATATATTTAAGCAGCAGAGATGAAGAACCACTTGTCAATGGAAGGGTCAACTGGAGCAGCTGGCTGTGGCGAGTGAGCTGGGATTTGGTTGTATTGGGCATCAGTGGTAGAGATCTTGTCTTTAGAGCCTTCGACAGAGACGTTGGCGCATGAAACACCCTCGCTGCTGACCTTGCCGGTAAGAAGACCTCTCCAGGCTTCGTGGCACTCGTGGACAATCTCGGTAGCGTACTTCTTGTTCTTAGCTTCACCTGAGAAAGCGAATTGGTTCTCTGGCTTTCCGTCTGGGATCTTGTAGATTCTGAACCATTCGTTGGTGGCACGGAGAAGACCTGGAAGGTGGCGCTCTACGTCTTCGATGTCGTTGATCTTTGGTGCGAGAGGGTCGTTGACGTCGATGACAATGATCTGTGAAATGTAAGTGGAGTATTAGGGCGCACGATAATTACCCACCTTCCAGTCAGTTTCGCCTTCGTCGAGTAGAGCGAGAGTACCCAAAACCTTGACTTGCTTGACTTGACCGATGTGGCCAACAGCCTCACCAATCTCACAGACGTCGATTGGGTCGCCGTCACCTTTAGCCTGCGCGAGCCGTCAGAGGGGAGCGTGCAAAAAGGAAAGACACACCTTGGTCTCTGGGTGGACGCTGTCTGGGTCCTCGTAGGTTTGAGGGAAGGCACCGTAGTTCCAGATGTAGCCCTTCCAAGGGAAAGAGTTACGCACATAACGCAGCTTGCCCTTCTTGGTGTCTTGTTCGATCGAGTTGAAGAAGGAAGACTTGGTGATTTCCATCTTTGCGTTGGTCCTGGTAATTGAGAGTGAGGAAGAATTATGAGTACTAGAATAAAACGCTTACCACCTTGGGATCTCGACAACCATGTTCAAAATGGTCTTTGAGTCATCGGCGTACAAAGGCAAGTCGTGGAAAGGTGAGATGACCTTGTTGTCCTTCTCAATGTAAGTCTTAAATTCTGTTGTGTTTGGTGCACCAATTTGCCTCGTCGAGTATGACATTTTTATAAATTGATTTGAGAGTTGCGAAAGACGTCGAGCGGTCATTTTCAACGTCTAAATTTACTCAAAAACTATCAAAAATGTCAGAAATAAATGATGGTAAATTTGGGCAATTAAATTTGTAAATATTCTCAATAACTCACCAGAATGGTCAGAAAATCAAAAGCAGGAAGATACAGTTGATTTTGAAGGGAAGGGCACAACACCACCGCGCCCAGTTGAACAATCAGATAACGCGAACAACTTGAATAACTTGGATAACTTGCACAGCAATCGGTAACTCGACTCAACTCAATTCAACCACTCGATCCACTCACACAACCCATAACAGCCAACAAACACCACACCAAATAGACCAACAAGGCCAAAAAGATCAACAAGATCACTCTGATTACCCTGCTAGTTACTCTCACTCCAATCAAAACGATAATCCCCAAGGTTGTATCGTTCACGTCTCACATATGCACGTTGGCGTCGATGATCAATTACTCACTGAGCATATGTCTAGTTCTGGAAAGGTGTGATTTCATTTATATTTAGTTTCAATCTCACTCAATTGTTATTCTCTCAATTTAGGTCTTAAAAGTCGTCATTATGCTCGATCCACACACGAGAGAATCTAGAGGTTTTGGTTTTGTCACTTTCGAAAATCCATCCGAGGCAGACGACGCAATTGAAAAGCTACACCTTTCCCAGATCTTAGGGAAGACTATCACCGTTGCAAGAGCACGTAGAGGTCGTCCACGCGAACCAACTCCTGGCCAGTATATTGGTCCACCAAAATGTGCGGAGGCTGTTGATTAATTTAAACCACTCACCCCCTTTTCAGATGACAGATCCATGTCTGCTAGACCTCAAAAACCACGCTATCAACCATACCCTTCACCAAGGGATCACGGGGGTTACGACCGCAATGATCGCTACGAGCGCGGTCCTCCACGGTACGCAGCCCGCTACCACCCATACCATGACAGATATGACAGATATGGGTGTGTATATTATTCTCAATCATCTAATCTTACTCATAGTGATTCTGGTCGCAGGTCTTACCCACCACCTTCACGGTGAATAACTTCTGTTTGCTGCTTTCCTCGTCTAACATGCTCGCAGCGAATATAGTGACTACCCTCCTCCACCAAAAGATTACTATGGCAGCACACCATATAAGCCATATCCACGCGGCGGCCCACCACATTCACTCCCATACAAACCTTACAAGCCGATGGGACCAAGAGATAGATATGATGACTATAGGTGGGTTTACTTTTTAGCTAGGTGCTTTTTTCTAACACTCGCAAAGTAGACCTCCTAGAGGTCCTCCAAGGGATTATTCACCAAGATCTTATCCACCGAGGGACTACCCACCAAGAGATTTTCCACCAAGAGATGACTTTGACAGGCCACCAAGAAGATTCACACCAAGAAATGATTATAGAGATGATTACAGACCCGGTCCAACGAGAGACTATCCGCCAAGAGACTACCCACCAAGAGACTATCTTCCAAGAGATTATCCTCCAAGGGACTACCCGCCACGAGACTATGATGGAGGATTCAAGAAGTATTAAATGGGTAAATGAATGAGAATGACCTCAACACCACTACATTTAACGCACATCCATGCCAGAGTATATTCTATCACAATTATTTATATAATGTACAGACATCACATTTATTGTTTCTTTGAGAATTGCAGTGGGTTGAATTTAATTGCAGTCTATAAAGTCCACTTTATTTGTCTATCAGCATCACTCCAAAACACGCGCATCTACGCGCAATTTGAGACACTTTCTGTAGAGATTACCATCTAAATAGAGACGATGGTCGTACTGCTGCGTTGAATTGGCTTGGAAGGACTGAATAGACTTGCGAGTAGAGTGTATGAGGCGAAGTTTTTGAATATTTATCAACTTGTCATCACCGTCACCTTTCTTTACGTAATTCGGACACTTGTCAGCTTGAAAGAGATCGCTCAAGAACATTCCTACGAATGGTATACAACCGCTGAAAATATCGTGTGACGGGATGCTGTTTGCCCCTGATGAAGAAGATCTGTCCCTCGTTATGCCAGTCAAACGTTTGTCGGAGGACGACGAATTTGACATCTTCTTATTGAGGAGTGTCATAGATATATCTCGCAGCATAGAATAGTTGTCGCTATTGCTGCAGAACACCTTGAGTGTCGTCAACATACGCATGCTTTGCTTGGATACATTCGGCCAAGTATCTGCCATCCGTTTGACGATAGGGTGATCCAAACCTACTACTATTTAGTGACATTCACTACAAACAAAATTTAAACACACCTCTCAATATAGCTATCAGCGTCATAAAGTTATTCAGCTGCTGACACTTGAAAGCAAGTCGGATGAATTTACTGACAACAGCTGAGCGATCCTCTGGTGAGTCTGTGATGAGGATCTCTGAAGCCACCCATCTCACTGTCATGTTGAATCTTGCTATCACGATCTTGATAGATGAGCCGTGTAAGTTTTCATTACTGCTAACCTTCCTACGTGCTACTTCTTTCATGAATGATACCCAATTAATAATTGTGTCAAATTTAAGATACTCCTCCTTCCAATTGTCCAGCTTCTCTATATCCTCGAACTTTATCTCGTTGAAAAGATCCTTCTCAATAAGGGAAAATTGTTTAGAGAGCTCCTCCGTCTTGTAATCCAAAATCCACGATTTACACACAGATTTCTTTGTCGTGTTGTGGCTATCTATTATCGCGCTTGAGCCATGACTCAATCCTCTCTTTCTATTTATGGGTAGTGAAGGTGAAGTGACTGCAACGGAGTGCGAACGAGGTTTTGGTTGTATGGTATTGCTAGTAAAACTAGCACTTCCACCAAGCACGCTATTTGCGCGTATTATCGGTGATAAGTTGGGTGAAGAGTTTTCACTTGCGTCGGTGCTAACTACACCCTGACTCTGACTCATTCTTTTCTTCTTGGACTTTTGCATCATGGACTCGACTTTACGTAATTTTTGCTTTTGTTTCACTTTGTCGATGTGTCCTTCCAACGCGCGTAACGCCGCATTCACATCTCCATCGTCTTCTTCATCAGATTCAAGCCCCTCAATGGTGAATGTCTTCTGCCAATTATCCATATCTACTTGAGAATCTGTCATTGTTTCGGAATGAGTGGTAAGTCGAGCTGCACCATCAGTATGTGGTAACTTCTTCCCTTTTACCGCTGAATCATCCACATCTTCATCCACCTCCTCATCACTATCAATATCGCTGTCTATATCATCTAATTGTAAAAATTTGGTCATAATTGAGTTATTTTTGATTTTGTCATTACTTTCATCATCCTTGTCTGTATTCTTGGGTATAATATTGTTTACATCAATCTCCTGGAGTTGACAGAACTCCTGAAACGATATCGTTACTGTGTACTCATCTCTGAATTGATCCTCATTGTTATCTTGATCACTATCGAATACCTGTGGCTTGTTGGACATTATACGCTTACCAATTTTGCCAATTTTGCCGACTTTGTTAAACGTTTTGACGAATGTGTCAGCAATTGAATCGTTATGCTCTGATGCATTTACCGGTGATGACGTTGATGGTGCTGTGCTCGCTGTCATTCTAGACGATGTGGAAGAGGGAAGATAGGTTGGTGGACCTGGGTCAAAGTCCAGACTGAGGTGTTTGTCGGTGCTGGAATTTCTGCTGGAATTGCTACTATCAAACGACGACAAATTACCATCATGCGAATGTTTCTTGTAAATTTCATAAACACTTTGACGCTCCTTGGCTATATTGATGAGCTTATCGATCATCTTTACGGACTTGTCATTCTGTATCTTCCTCTGTTCATTAATCCATCGTGACAACTTAAGACGGAGGTCTAAGTTGGGCACGAAATCAAAGCCAAAGTAGTTGGAGATCCATGATCGGAGCATGACAAATGTCCTCACCCTGACTAGTTCTAAAGCAGGCTCATCATCACCACCCTGCAGCGTCCACTCGAATCTCTTAAATAATAAGTTGGCCAACTCCATCGAGCTGAGGTATAGTCTATAAGTGTTGAAAAATAATTCTAAATCGTCAAATAAGAACTCTGAGCTAAGTTGAGAAATCCATCTATATATTGATGCGCAGAGTATCGTTCCATCGTTGAAATAAATATCCTTGTCCTTGTAAGATTGGTATTGATTGAATAAATAATATAATGCGTCTGCATCTGTATCTGCGTCTGTACCTCCAAATGCAGTCTCCACCGCGCCTCCACTTGGGCAGCCATCTGCAGCCAAAAATTCATTGTCGACGGGTGTTCTTGTATTACCGAATAAATCATTGCGCACTGGCTTAGCCAGTAATTCTATCAAGTAATTTTTCAGATTGTCGAATGTATTTGGGAGTTGTAGCCTGAGATCCATAGTACTCGAGTTTTTAGGTCTGAACAGGTGATGAGTACATTTGCATCACTGTAAAACACTCCTCATACCTAACTACATACTCATTCTCAGTTTTTATCTGTATGGTCAAGCCACTGGACTTGATGTGTCCATCGACAGAGCATCCAACACCGTACTTGAGATCGAGAAGCCTCTTCACCTTCCTTGCTGTCTCACCTTCACCCGTAATACAATAGTTCCCGTCTAAACTTATTTTAATTTCTTCCATATGACATCACTAAGTTGAACCAGTAAAGTAGTAGTATTTTTATTTTTAAGATGAAATTTTTATAAATGTCTACAACTTTGCTTTATATAATAATAGGTAGGCTACACTATCTTCACCGCCTCCTTCCAATTGGGCAATTTTGTCTTTGGATACTTTGGTGACCTTGTTGTCGTCGAATTTGTACCAATCGTCCTTGTCCTCTTCCGACTTGTGCACATCCCCTCTGACCCAGGCTATGTAGTGACCGCCATCTGCGTTTACACCTTTGTGCGTCACTATACCCACCAAATCGTACAAGCCACTCTGTGAGCAACCAGTGTCATTTTTTAAGTCATTATTGACAAGCTCATCAAGCTCTTTCTTCTCTCTCTCCTCATAAACGTTCTCATCGAGGAGCTCCACGTCACCAATCTTGCCCTGCTCATCTTTGATTTCATCGATCAACATATCGTCGGTGTTTTTAGCCTCGTTGGCTTTTTGTTCGAGATCGGTGCGTGTCTTGATACGCTTCCTCAATCTTCTTCTCTCCTCTTTATCTTTGTTGATTGACAGAAGCTTCTTGTTGACCGGGTTGATCTTAGCCTTGAGATCGTCACTGACGAGATCACTGGCATCATACTCCATTGGGAACTTTACTTTGCGGAGGATTTTTGCCTTTTTGCCTAAATCAGCTCTCCAATAGAATCTGACGAGATGGACGGAGAGGTATGCTGGCAATCTATTAATTCTCGATTTCTGTGTATATTGAGCGTTTCTATTGAGTGTTGAGGAGTGTTTTGTAACCTGCTCATCCAAACCATCTGTTAAACCTTGCTGGAGGTAGTTGGTGGATGAAGAGATGTTGCAACCCAATTTAGTAAACTCTTCAATTGAGTAAGAAGGCTCTTCAAGTGTTGATTCAGGCGTAGACATCTCTTTCACGAAAGTACCCTTCATGTATTGATCAACGAATGATTTACCCTGTGACGTCATCAACTCTGATCCCAAAGAGTTGAGGATTGCGCCCCAAGCTTCTTCAGCGTCTTGTTGAGCGAACTGACCGTATCTATCAGTTTCAGTGAATTGTTGGTAAGAGGATCTTAGCATTGTGAGGAATGCAGTTGGAGTGATTGCGTCAGTTGAGTTGTTGAGCGAGGAAAAGAGGGATTGAAGGGAGCGTAATAAGCCAGAGTTTTGTGTGTTACTCAGAGTGCTCTGTAGCTCAGGTATGGCTCTGAGAACTTGAACTGATGAGTTTAAATAACAAGTGTTACCGAGATTAGTCAAACCGACTGGGTTTTTCAAGGCTTGCGATAAATCCTTCTCACTGAGGTCTTCCATGAAAACTACTTTTTGATTTGGAGCTTCTGGTAGAGGCCCTGCAGCGCCAATGACGATGAACAAGTGACCAGGCTTGATCGATGATCCTAACTTTTCCATATCCGTATTATCCTTGAGCATTCCACCTTTAATCATAACTTTCTGCCTGTCGAGGATGTTAAGGGGGAATGCCACAGTGATACGTAGTGTGACCCACCTATCTGGAGCCACGCCAGTTAGAGAATGAATTTGATTCTTGAAGTCTAAACCGGTGTACTGAGTGTTGAATTCCAAATCGAATTTCTTTCCTGCGTGTTTAATTGACACTGGGAATTTAGTCATCCTGGGTGTTGAGGAGAGAAAGTGAAAGGAAGGCGTGGCCGTAATTAATGAATAAAATAATCAAAATATCTCGATAAATTACAAATAAAAACAAGAAATCAAATTGACGTCAACTTGAGTTAAACTTCTTGGTCTATTACATCGACGTAATTAAATTTAAATTATGACAGTGAGCTTTTTTTATATATTTAACTACAAATCTAAACGGAATTCAAGCTTTATTATAGCTTAGTGTTAGTTGTCTTACAGAGGCACAATCCACTCTAACACCTTTATCAGATTTGGTTTACTCAGCGCAGAGTTAGTCAATCGGCTATTAACATACACACTCTAATAACGCCTCAGAGTCCTTACCTTCTTGGTCCTCGTTGCACCAATGCCTTTCGCTTTCAAGCAACGCTTCTTCAAATTCCTCAGCACCAACCCATTGGTTGCTAAATTACAATATTCCTTGAAAATATCTCTTATTTTCACTTCAATCTTATTCTTTGATGCTGTTCAAAGGATGCTCAAAGTCGTCAAAGAAGGCCAAGCTGCTAAGGAAGAGCACTCTTTCAATGATGTACGCTCTGAATCTAACTTTGCTGCACGCAAGTACGTCATCTTCTTTTTAAAAAGGAATGTCTCTTATTTTCAAACCTAGATTTTACTCACAACGTAATGTCTACTTGACTGGTACGTCTTCATCACATTCAATTATCTCATCCTTAAAATCATTCAGGTTTCACTCTCTTCTTAAGCTTGTCAGCTTTTGTTGATTCCCTAAGCAAATACCCCTCACACATCCCACAGGATCCTCTCACGCGTATTCGGCATCATTATGGATCTCATCAAAGCTGAGGAAGAATTGAGCTTAATGAAGGTTAGTCACTCCGCTAATAATATCTGATTTTATCACTAATCCACCTACAGAAGGACGGTGACTCCTCATCCGCTGAAACCTTTAAGAAACAACTTGACTCAAAAGATCGTGAAATTAGTAAGCACACCTTGAATTTCTCCATTCACTTTGCTAACTTTCTCTCTAGACATCCTCAAAAAGCAATCTACTCAAAATAATCAAGCTATGAACGATCTTGTCGACAACGCGAATACTTCATCCGGCTCAAAGAAAGACAAGTAAAACAATTAATTGTTAGGACTTATGTAAATAATTCAGGCGCTTGGCTATTTACATTGACTGCCACATTTTCCACCTTAGATCTCCATTCATTCAACCGCGAGGCCAAAGATTTGATTTGATTCTTGTCCAAAACCCTAGGTTGTACCCAATTGATGCTAGCTGTACTTGAGACTTGATCGATGGTGCCACGAATAAGATTCAAACTTAAGTGATCTGTGAGTGGTTGATATTTCATACTTTTGAAAACTCACGACAATGCTTTCATAATCAAATGTTCAACCTCATCTGACGGTAACTTTGTCTCAGCACCAATGGTAGAGAATGACAAAACGCGGTCTTTTGATGATCTCTTGAAGATACATTCGATTAATGCCATTAAGCATATCTTCTGACGAAGGAAAGCCTGACTTTCTTGAAGAATAGACTGTACAAAATGTTTATTCATTGTAGCATGACTAGACGGGAAACTTACCTCATTTGCTAACTTGTTTGCGTTGAGCTCGAACTTTGCTATGTCACCTTCATTAAAAATGTAGATAATGTCCTTCAACCATTCTAGATCACTACCATTCAAAGCATTCAAGACAGGATGAGTTAACTGGTTACTCGTAAGCTCTTTCTGAAATGAAAAATTGCGATGACTAACCAATTCACCAAAGTTATAGATAGTATCGCCTAATAAAGCAGCGATAGCCAAATCATGACTTTTTTGAATCTGTTCAACTTTGTCAAGTTGATCTAAGCCAGCACATGAGATGTACAACAAGGTTGTACGGTAGAATGCTGCATATTCGGCCTTAGACTGTGAGTCATCTAGTCAACAAAGTGTAAAAATAAAAAATTAAAGCTATAATTACCTTGTAAAAATCACCGCTAACACGCAACCAAGCTCCTGTTACACTAGCTTCGACACCGTCCATTGAATCTAAAGTACGCTCACAAACGTCCATTGCTTCTTTTGCCTTATCTAAATTTCCAAGCAAGAGGTCATAATGAGCGATTGAGATTCTAGCCAAAACGTAAGCCTCAGCTTCAGTTTTAGTTGGTGATTGTTCTTCATCGAATGGTTTAGCTGTGCTTGGTTTGAGGGAAGGTGAGAGTGCAGCTCTTGGGGTTGGAAGTGAGCCCAACAATGATTGCAAGAAGCTCAATGATTCTTGTGGGTCCATTTGCTGAGCAACCCGCACACCAATCTCGACCAAACGAAGCTGATTAAGCTTGTCTTTGAAACTGGTAATGAAATTGTTCCATAGTCCCACTAAGTATTTTGATATTTCATCCTTTTGTATCAAACCTTTCAAAGTCTTTGTGAGTTGATGGTATAAGCTTTGTGGCTAGTTAGCTTTCTTTCTTTCTGTAAATTGTACGAACCGCTTATTGAAATAATCCTCCAAATTCCTCAAATCTTCTTGTATCGTTACTGGCGCTTCTCCTTTAATTTTATTTATATAGGATGTTGTACTCATGTTGGTAGTTGAATCGACAAGGACGTCGCACACGTCATTGTGTTATGTGAAGATTAAATGAAGAATGGCAAAAAGGAGTACACATTGTTTCTGTAATTTTTATATTCGTTTCCAAAGAACTTGATGAGATATTTCTCTTCATCTAAAGTCGGTTCAATTGAGTATCGATGAAAAAGGTTCACTTACGTTTAATCCGGTCAGAAAAGAATCTTTGTAGGATGATTGCGAATCCCAAGAAAGATAAGGGATTCGTTAAAATCATTTGAGTGCCTAAAGCCCACAGGTAGAAACCCAAATAGGATGGATGACGAACAAAGCTGTTTTATTCAGTGTTTGACAAAAGGCAAAAGAGGTATTACATACCTATATACGCCCGAAGTAACCAGTGCATGATCTTTTTGCTTGAAAGACGCAACGTGGTGTGAAAAGCTCTCATTCGCGTGTACCATAGCTAACGTGCGTAGCAGCTGTCCAACTACGACTAAGCAAAAACCTTAATGATATCATTATACGTTTTGTTAAGCCAAAATTTGAGCATACCTAATATTATCGGCCATTTATTGGAAGAGACTGAGGGAAAAAGCCACACTAAAGCGATGTGCGACACAAGGCCGAAAGAGTGAGCAACGAAGTAACTGTAGCCATTGTTTAATAAATAAGCTGTCGGTTGATTAGCCGAACGAACTGTTGTACGCATTATAACTAACAATCGACTGATGTTTTTGTTGTATTCCAGCCTGCTGTACTGAGGAATTCCCAGAGATGAAACCAACAAAGTACAACAATATAGAGAGAAGTTTGCGCTGATCCTCTGAAATAACCAATAAATATACCAAGATGAACGTTTATAGCTGATATACCGGGAACCAAATTCGAACCGAAGAAAGCGCCTAAAGTAAAAGCGATAAGAGAAATATTGAAAGCAGTGTTTGGGAGACTGCCGTTAAGTCTTGGAGGGTAGTCAATCTGATTGGCGTATAACGCAGATCTGGGTATCTTAGTAGACGACATGAGGACAATGGAGTAAGTGTTGAAAAGACAGTTGAGAAAATAACATAAAATACAACAAAAGCTTTCAGGCTTTTAAATTATCAACAGCGATGTCTTTCTGACCAAAACCATCATCTTTAGCAAGTCCACTGATGACTACTATTCCCTCAAGACTCTCTCAAGTTGCAAGATCATCAAACTCATTAGCTGAAGCTCATGCAAGAGCTAGAACGCTTTATCGTGACTTCTATCGCAGCGTGAGTACCTCAAACGACGAGTAGGCCGATGAGGCTCAACGGATTGAATAGGCTCCAAGCATCTGTGCATTATACTCACTTAACATTCCACCTTCACAAATAAGAGCAAAGATTCGTCAGGAATTTGAGAAGAACAGAAATTTGGATGATTTGAATGTTATTGACTTAGTCTTATTCAAAGGCAGGCAAGAGTATCAGGAGACGATGAATGCATGGAAGCAAGAGTCTCATATAATGCGCTGGTTCGCTTTGGAAGAGGTATGTTTCCTTATCTTTCAATTTCATCTATTTAACTCCACCACAGGCTCCACGTTAGTTAACAAAACACTTGAGATAACGGTCTGACACTCTAAAACAGCTAGACCTCAAACATTCCTCGAAAAATTCTATGCAGGGTATGTCTCCTTCTACTCTCTTGATCTTCAGCTTAATTCCTGTTTAGTCGCGACGAAGACCAAGTTTAATTATAATACATCACTTTTCTACAAGAATACATTTTGAAAAACATTTTGATTATCTATGATAAAGTGTCTAGGCTCTTAAGACTGGGAGCTCATAATCATTGACGTTGTTTTTGCTTTTAACTGTATTTTCCTTCTCGTAGTTATCTATCCTAGGACTAGGAGGAAACGAATAGTTCGAAAGGCTTGAAATACGATCGTTTCTCTGTGAGAACCTATAACAAATCAGTCTGAAGTCTGAGACCAACCTCAAACTCACTGTCTAAACTTCGGCTTCAGGCAAGGCATGAAAATGCAACTCAATCTAATGTACTCTTTTCTAGCCTCCTCTGAAAGTCCAAAGAACAAGAAGAAGATAATAGATGACAAGATTGGCACTATCCAGCTCGCTATATTTACGCTTAGTTGATGTTGAGTCATTTCAGATTTACTAAGTCGATAGATGACGGAAAAGTGAGCGTGAACTTGGTTCCAGCTATTATAAGGTAGTAAATGTCCGTTATTTGCTTGAATGTTGACGACTAGTTGAGCTATTGCGGCTGCGACAGTGAGAGTAAGCATCACCACGGCAAGTCCTATCAAACGGAAGTATCTACTCTTAGTGAGACCGTGCGTTTTCATTTTGAACAAGTCTGTGAATGTTTCTTTATGCTGGTAGAAACTTCGGATTGTCTTGACTATCGAAAATGGGCATTATGTAATCCTTCAAAATGTAAACTCACATGAGTAAAAAGCCGCTACCATTGCAAAAATAAATGGAAGAAGGGACGTGTGAACGAGAGAAAGCCATGAAGGCCAAACCACAGGCATACAACCAATACCTTCGACGAGGTTGAATCGTCGATCTTGAACTACCAAGTGTAGTACCATATAGATGATAGGGACAAGAACACCAAACGCTAGTTCGATCAAGAGCTTTTTTTGCCTGTCCTTCCTGCTTGTATTAACTACAGATGCTGTTGCTATGTTTGACAGGTTGCGCAAAATACATGCTGCTGTGGTCGGTATGGCGATATTTGCTCCGATTATCAGCTTTGTTGCTGCTTCGATTAATAATAGTCACTGTTATTCCGTCTGTACTCACTAATGTCACACCAAACTGGAGTACGAATGTCAACATTATCGTGCCAAACGATTGAGTTGATAAAATAAGTGAAGTTTACAATTGCAAGCCAAGCAATAAGAATAAGAACACTGGTATTGCGTACACGGTAGTGCCATGCGCAAGGCAATATGGTGATGATCACAGCGAGTATTGAAATGATTGGTAGGGCCACCAAAGAAGACATGATAGTCGTTTAGATTATGCAACTAATATCGCTTAATCGCTTTATCATTCGTTCCCTTTCTCCGTTCATTGTCTCAATTAATTTACATCGCACAATGATTTTAATGCAGGAACGATCAAGTCATGCGTAAAAAGAAAAAGAAAATGGAAGCCTCATTGTCCTTCTGATGACAGAGTTTTGATCAAACGAGAACAGTGAAAGATAAGCGCAATAAGGTTCAGACAATGATATTTAGAGATTATAATTAAGAGAGCTTCCTCTTGAATTTTCTACATCGTGTCACAAACGTAGCAATGATACCAGAAATTGAAGTCTCACAAATCCAAGTTGACCAAGTCCACATCAACGTAGAGAGAGAAGAGCCGGGTGAAAATGAGACATATGGTAGCTCATCTGGTTGCATCATTACTTAAGGAAAAGTAAGTGTCTACTAAGAGTCTTTGTGAATCTGACAAAGACTCCACCAGGTCTATCCAATGCAGTCTGCTTTTACTTAGAACTTTGACAATATGTAAAAAGGCAATCAATGATGATAAATATAACTATATGTCAATTATCACCTTTCCACAGATCCTATCATTGAGCCTTTTAATATACAAATAAACTAACACCTTTTGTGTTGTCTGATGGGCGAATATTAAAAAGACAGTCAATGATAAATACAACTTTACTTCTATCATCACCTTTCCCCAAATCCTACTGTTGAGCGATTTTGATGATAAGGTGCAATAGGTTGGGGGCCAACGTAAGGCGTAGGTATAGGGTTACTCATAGGAGTGAATGGTGCTCCTGGAGTCTGTATAGCACTAGCGCCAGCTCCTATGCCGATGCCATACAAATATCCCATACAATGAAGTCTGTGTTGAGTTAGCCAAGCCTAGAACCAAGCGAAGTACCCCACAATTGTCTGTCCCTCTCAGATGCACCATCAAAAAACTTACTGCGCATAGAGAAGAATGAAGCAGATGTGACCAATGAATCTGATCCTGCTTGATGCTGTGGGCCTATCCGCATTACCTGATGAAAGTCAGCCGATTCGGCATGACGAAACAGACGTGTCTAACCTGCAACTCATCTGCTATATCTTGTAGACCACCTTTAAGAAGCCTGTTGATCTTCATAACGTACTTGATGTCGAATATGCAGGGGAACCATATGCGAAGTAGATCAAAAAAATCAGTTTCATTTGAAGGTAGTGGCAGCGCCGTAAGAACTTTGAGTAAGTAACCAAAGTCATATCCACTGCATCAATCAGTTGCGTACTATGTACTTGCAGTCTATACATACCTATGAAACGATATCCAGTGAACATGATCAAACAGAACAAAACCAGATGTGACTAGCTTCTCACCAAATTCCTCTATATCGACACCATTAGCTTCCAGCCTCTTGAAATTTATCCCAGATTTCGTGAGTAATTCTATTGAATCGGGTGCGTACATATCATCACTGCGAATGTCATGAGAATGGGACAAAGATGATGGTGAGAATACTCACTTCAAATTGAATTTGAAATTGAATTGCCAAGTTGGATATTCGGGCATGTTCCCCTCTGCGTCAGCGATAGTGATACCCAATTGAATGATTTTAAGGAGATCTACGTTGCACCGTAACGTTTGGTAATGGTAATCTGAAGAATTCTTAAAGTTCCCAATCGGCCTTGCTACAACACCAGGAAATTCCGTGTCCTAGGGCTGTTAGCCTGAGTGTCAAAGATGACAGCCAAACTAACCATGGACACGTATGGATATCGATCTACTAATTCACGGAGAATATCTAATTCGGCATCAAGATTATCTGCCCAAACCTCGCGAATCTGGCTCTGCATCTTTCTTGATAGTAGTAAATCAAGTCGACGGAATAGTCTAAAAATCTGAATTAAATGGTTTTACAGGACAAATATAAAGCAAAGGCTTCTCGCGCATGGAAATCTTCTAGAGGCTTGAGTACAGCCACGAGACCTAACAGAAGACCCCCACCGCCACCACCAACACTCACTGATGAAGTAGCATTCCCAGAGCTTCAGAAGCAGGATGTCCCCATTGATAGTGGAAGTGGAAGTGGAAGTGGGAGTGACACTGGAGACGATTCTCAGGATGAATCCAATTCCGCGGGTGGAGTTGCAGTTGCAGCTAGCATTACTAGCAACAGTAAGTTGACAATATCTGATCAACAGCTATCTCAATCAAGTAGCCGCTAGGCGATCACAGCACCCAAAGTTTTCTAGGCGGCGTTTGGTAAATAACTCTAGTAGATATGATGAGCCAGACGACGAAGGCGAGGAAGGTTTGAATATTCATTTAACTCACCTTTATTTACTAAGGATATACAAGGTCATTCATCAAATGAAGATTACGATATGTCCACTTTCATGACGAAATCTGCAAATGTGGATGATGATGTTGGTCAATATAGTACACAGAAGGCCGTTAATATAGACGAGGGCGATATAGATTATGACTTAGCAAATAGGGATAGGAATAATAATCGGCAGGTACTTCAAATGGACACACAGAGTACCAAAGAATTAAGGGAAATGCATAAAGACAGAATCAACGCTGAAGCGGGTTGGAGTGAGTCTGCAGACCACTTTTGTGACATCGCTGATTATATTTAGACCTCAAATCTCGTCTTAGAGGCGAATCTGGTAGGCAATACATTCAGCGATACGAATCTTCAAAGAAAACGTCGGATCAAAGCAACGACAACCACTTTTTCGACAGTATAAGCAACACTCCGGCTTTGATAGGAATCCAAACAAACAATAAGGACGACAAAGTCATACCAGAAGCTAACGAATCGTCAACAGTCGTTCCACAAGGCATCGCAGAAGATCAAGATTTTCTGGATAATTTGATTTAATAATGCATGATAATAATTGAAATAGAAGATACGAGCTAAACAAGTGATTTAGTGAATCAATCGTCTCGATTGATAAATAGTTCAAGACGTCATTACGGTATTGAGATATATTCATTTGTAGATATAGTTTGCAATTATTGATCTATCATGCAAGAGCATCTTGGTATTGACTTAGATCTTTGGTTCTCTTTCAGCGTCTCTTTCAGCCTTTGCAATGCGGAAAGCTTTCTGGTATGGCTGTAATGAAATTAGAATATATATCGGTTAGCTTCAATGGCTCTTACCTCTTTATCTTCCTCTGAGAGATCCTTCCACATTTGAGAAGCAGCTTTCATTGCATGTTTGGAGTCACCAAGGTCTAAGGTGAGCTGTGGGATGATCTCAGACATGTAACGATTGCGAGCATTAGCGAGTCCTTTAGTTCTAGTAGCTTTATCGGCTTGCTTAGCTTCACGTTCAGATCTGTTCATCTCTTTGCGATACTCTGCAGGGATTGAAAGCTGCTTGGCTCCAGATTCTCTGCGAATGTTATTGATGTGGCTGATGTCTGAGAAAGTCTTGGTCATCCACCAGTTCCTCTCTTCAGGCTTGTAAAGCTTGTAGGCATCATGGTAAGCGGACTCATATGGCTTTGGTTTGTAAGACAGATGAAAAAGTGACAAACAAAGACAAACCTCCTTTTGAGTCTCAAAAAGGCTTTCCCATGCAGGTGAAGCAACTTTTTGACCGAATTCAATCGGATTGATTTTTGCGTATGGCTTGAACTTCTTCTCTTCCTCAATGAGATAGTGCATGTAGCGCAGGTAAGGTGACTTTGGCTTCACTGGAGGATCGATTTCCGGTATGCCTGACTCGTTTATTTAGCAGAAATAGTGTTCTAAACAAAGTTCACCCACGGATACGTTCTCTAAATTGGATAGGGGTATGGCCGAAATCACGCGTAAGCAGCGAAGGCAAAGCGCCAGCGACGCCTTTGACTGGTGAAAGACCTGCTTCGATCAGTTATATTCAGTGCAAAATACTTCAAGCTCCTCACCTTTGTTTGGGACGGAAGCACGTGTAAGGTTGAGTGATGCAAAGCCTTTAGCAAACATCGATGGTGATGGAAGATGGTCAAGGGATAAAATGAGGAACCACAAATTTAAATAGAGAATAAAAAAATCATCTGGTCTTTAAGTTGTGCCTTACATCACCTTTCACCGTTCCAATCCGGTACTTGGCCGAGAACCCCACAGTGAAAAATACAATTAAGAAAATTAAGAAAACAATGAAAACAATGAGAACAATGAAAAGTATAAGAACAAAGCGGACGAAGCGATAAGAACGATGAATTAATAAATGATGCACAATTTACAAAGAATTACAAGCTGGTGATTTGGCGGTAACTTTAGTGGCAAGTAGTGAGAGACTAAGAATAGACTCACAAGTACTGAGAGGGTGTGACCCGTGTTGCTGAACCCCTATCCTGATCTGCCACTGTGAAGATACTCAACAGATGATAAAGGAACAAGTAAAAACAAACCAGCATCGAAAATCGCGAAGTTGTTCTCTGTGACAGGCTCATTCTCTTTTACTTTGAGAACACTTGCAACGTTCCCTTTGTCGAAGTAAGCAAATTGACAGAAATTGTGGAATGTTGACGAACCGCATCTATAACAGTAGTTTGGCGCCGACCACACGGTCACTAAATCGTTGTCAGGAAACATAAATTTGCTTCTCTTGAGTGAGTCGCAGTCCAAATGAAATGTGGCAACCTACTATCCCTCTTGGATAAGTTGATGAGCGCGCGCAATCATATCCAGTCCGTTTATGTGATTAAACTGGAGTTCAAGTTAAAACAAATATCAGCGTAGAAATGTGATATACCTCTTTCGTAACCTTATTACCAAACAGCCAACCAGCCCCTCTGGGACTAATACTCCAATGCTCAACATCATCAGGATCTGACCACATGAGATCTAAATGGTATTAACAGAGAATATGTGTCAAATCGAGCTATTCACCACAGAAAGGCCCATCATGGGGTATTTCTTGCGCTCTTGCTGATTTATTCTGAGCGGTAGAATGATTAAAATAGTATGAAGCTTACCGATCACTCTGATTTGATCTAATGTCCGCACGTCTGGCGACAAACCACCATGAACACAGAGTATCCTACCATCAATGATCTGAAACCTTTAGCTGTGTTTCAAATTGGTTTGCGACTCACAGCAGCTAAATTGAGATAGTCAAATACTTGACAACATGCTTTCCAGACGCTGGCGTTTCCATATTTCTGTTGACACTCGTCTTATACTTTCGATGAGTGACGAAAGACCGAATGAGCAAGGCAGCTTACCATAGAATCCATATACTTGTGTGATTTGCCTAGATTCATGATTACCGCGCAAAAGGGTTATTCTATCTGGGTACCTAATTGACTGTTAAATATGATTTCAAGTATAGAGTGACTAACCTCGCTTTCAACGCCATCAAGAGGGTGAAACTTTCCAGGCTTTGATGACCTCTGTCAACGAAGTCGCCCTGTTTATGCTCAGCACTGAGAAATGCAACAACTGAGCGCCTTACCATGAAGATATAGTTGGTATCCCTGCAATCACCGCCGACCCGCAAAAGCTCAAGTAAATCCCAAAATTGACCATGTATATCTCCACAGACAGTGACAGGACTGGAGACTGGTTGTATGTTTGACTCCTCTATTAGCAAACCCAGTACTACGTCGCACAAGATCTTGATTTGAGATTCAGCGAGATAGTTTCCAGATAGTATTGTATCGAGCCATTGTTGGGGATCTACTGTCATTATCCGTGCTAGTATCTACGCGGTATATTCTACAAAAGTAATTTGTGTTCGTCGTTTGCTCACAACTCAGTTGCCGAGTTACTGTCATGTCCGCAAAGCAGCATCCATTTCTCAGAGGGCTTTCTGAGCTTCTGCCTTACCCATCTGCCCTGCAATCCGTCCCTCACAATCAGCCGGAGACTTGGTTTGACTTAAAGCAGCCTTCGCTGTGGATCATCATTGGCTCTATAATCTTCAACCCATTGTTTTGGAATATCGTACGTTTGAAAGCCCATTTATTCTATTTTCCTTATTCTTCTGCTTAGGTGGCTCGTCAAGGTTCGTGTCGTCTTGATTGTGGTCTGTGCTTACACGCAGGAAGAATATCACAACAAGCTACTCACCAAGCTAGCTGGTGGCCGCCCATATCTTGGCTGCTACTTGCTTGCTTTTACTATCTTCTCTCTGGGTATTCTGCGCGATCACCTGTGTGTATGTTCTCAGCCTCGCGCTTTTCTGACAATTTCAGCTTCCAACAAGCATTGGCCGCTCAGCCAAATCTTGTTCCACATCCAGACTACCCAACTGCCCATATTGTCCTCGCTTTTGTGCTCTTCTTCACCGGTCAATTGCTGGTCATTACTTCAATGTTCGCATTAGGTGTTACTGGAACTTATTTAGGTGACTACTTTGGTATTCTCATGAGTCATCGCGTCACTACCTTTCCTTTCAACGTCGTGGAAGATCCAATGTACATTGGAAGCACACTCTGTTTCTTGGGCACTTCTCTGTGGTTCAGGTCACCAGCTGGTTTGGCAATCAGTTTGTTTGTCTTCATAGTCTATCAAGTCGCTCTCAGCTTTGAAGGGTGAGTGATTATGCCGCCGATATTATTGCTGACTTGAGTAGCCCATTCACTGCCATGATTTATACGGCAAAGGATAAGAAGTCAGAGAAAGCACCAACAATTGCAGCGGCAGAGCCTTCAGAACCATCTCAAAATAGCTCACCTGCTTACAGAACCAGAAGTCGTGCCAGAAAGGTTATTGACGAGTAATTTTCTCTCGTGTTTTGGTTTTCTCAACAAAATCGAAAGGGATTAGATGTATAAGTAAATATAATAGCAGCTGATAATAATCTATCCAAAATGTATGTTGTCATCGTGAAATGCACTCAAGAGCCTGTTGTGAACGTTAGCGTGGCTGAATGCATACGTCAAACTCACTTTAGGAAGTCATCGACGTCCATTTTTGCAGCGCGACTTTCTGCAAAGCCTGATTGTACAAGGATTTTTTCAACCCTTTCTTTAATGTTCACAGAGTCGTCAATCATCTAAAGTTTGTTAAATTGGGTTGGTAATAAGTTTGATTGCACAAACCTCATTTTTCTCCGCCAACCACGCTTTTCTATTGCTTTCTAACATGTCGTACACTCCAGAAGCAGTAAAATTGGATCTACACGTTTTATTCCTGCGAGTGAAAAGGATTCTGGTGAGACTTTTTACGACAAGTGTTAGCCATGAATAAAAGATTGACTGCACATACGTACCCATCGAACTCTTCAAACTTAATAGGCGGCGGTGGGTCCAGCGGGACTATCCTTACAACGCTGCTTTCTACCTGAGGTGGGGGTCTGAAATTGCCCTTACTGACTTTCATGATATGATCTATCTTGGAATAAAGCTGCGCGTTAACGCTGAGACGGCACCACATGTCGCTTCCCGGTCTTGCGCACAATCGCAAAGCAAATTCTCTCTGAAACATCAGTATTGCAACTCTGCAAATTGGCCTATGGGAAAGAGTGCGGAAGACAATATGCGAAGAAATCGAGTAAGGGCAATTGGATATCCTGGACTACTGTTAGATGTGCTCCGATTGTAGAATATACCAACAAGACATCGAAATATGGCAATTCTGCCTTAACAAAGTCACCAATGACAATCTCTAGTCTGCGCTGTTCAGGCCTAGCTGCGATAAGCAACATTCCTGGTTTATCACTGCCACTCACTTTCCCTGGAATCTCTTACTCAGTTCAGCAGCCATTCGAGGGTCCATCTCAATGACTTGGCATGATTTTGCCTTTTCCAGTATTCTAGCCGTGAGGTTACCAGTACCAGGACCAATCTCGAAGACCTTATCTGTCGGACGCAACGCAGCTTTATCAACGATGCTGATTCGAATGAGAAAAGCCCAAGATGAATAGTAAACTCACGCCTGAGCTACCAAAGGATTCTTAAGAATATGCTGTCCGAATCTGTCTGTGTTGCTGCACTGTGTAAGTGTCTCGCTGTAATGATAGCCGGCTGGCTTACAAAAGTGGGTTGCTGGTACCGCTTGAATTACTATTGGAAGATTTTGCAGCAGGCTGGTGGGTTCTAGAGAATTTCTCTGTAGCCGATTTCAGTGCTTTTGGCATATTTTAGATGAATGGCAAAATTCAAGAAATGGATCTTCTGTTCTATCAGCACACGCAATAGTCAAATCTCGATAAATCGCCTGAAACGGCGTCTACAAAGGATATTTGAGTATAATCAATATGTGTGTATTCCTCTATTCATGGTCTGCCCCGCTGACGCATACAAAGGAACACGATAAGAAGAAACGTTTTCACAGCTAAGAAGGGTGCGCAAGTATCGCATATATGCAGTAAACAATGCTTACAGGTGCACAGGAGAGAACTATGAACTGCGCGCAGGTATGCTCCTACAAAAGCCTCCTGAAATCAGCTAATCAGGCTTAGATTTGAATAGCGAGTACCGCGACAAGAGGAAGGATGCCATCAAGAGAGTTATTGCCAATATGGTCAGTACCTTGTTGACTTGCGCTCCCTCCTTATGCTCTCTTAGACGGTTGGCAAGGACGTTTCTGGTCTGTTCCCGGATGTACTCAAGAATATGCAGACAGAGGACTTGGAGCAGAAAAAGTTGGTCTACCTTTATCTAATGAACTACGCGAAAACTCAACCAGAACTCGTTATTCTCGCTGTGAATACCTTCGTTAAGGTTAGTGAATCACTACGTAATGAACCTCTTTAACAGCAATAAGGACGCTTCAGATCCAAACCCGCTAGTTCGTGCACTCTCAATTAGAACTATGGGTTGCCTTCGAGCTGAGAAGATCATCGACTACCTATCTGATCCACTTTCTGCTGGCCTCCAAGATGACAATCCCTACGTACGCAAGACAGCTGCTTTGTGTGTTGCAAAAATGTACGATCTGAAACCTTCCTTGGCAATTGACAGAGGTTTCGTTGATACACTCCAGGAGCTTGTCGGCGATCCGAACCCAACTGTACGATTAGTTTTCACAAGTCTTCCATATGCTGACTTTGTGAAAGGTTGTTGCAAATGCTGTTACAGCTTTGACTGACATTCACAGTTCTCCTCATCCCGAATCGCCTGGCTTTGTCATTGACAGAGACGTGCTAAACAAAATACTGGTTGCCCTCAATGAGTGTACAGAATGGGGAAGAATTTCAATTCTAAGCGCTTTGTGTCGCTATACACCTGCTGAGGAGAAAGAAACAGAATATATTTGCGAGCGCGTTCTGCCACAATTTCAGCATGCTAACGGGAGCGTCGTATTAAGTGCTGTCAAAGTTGTGATGATAAATCTGCATCGTTTACAAAGAGAAGACTTTATCAGACAGCTTGTTCGAAAGATGGCGCCTCCTTTGGGTGAGTCAATCAATGCAAAATTTCACTGCTAACACATAGTAGTCACGCTCGTAGCTTCTGAACCTGAAGTTCAATGGGTTGCTCTTCGTAATATCAATCTTATCTTGCAGGCGCGTCCTGATGTTTTATCATCAGAACTGCGCGTCTTTTTCTGCAAATACTCAGACGCTCAGTATAACAAAGTTGAAAAGCTTGACATTTTGGTAAAGTTGGCAAATGAGAATAACGTGGAAACATTGTTGAACGAGCTGAGAGAGTACGCTAGCGAGGTTGACGTTGATTTTGTCCGCAAATCAATCCGAGCAATCGGAAGATGCGCAATCAAGATTGAAGATGCTGCCGAGCGTTGTGTTCAGGTGCTTGTTGACCTTATTAACACAAAAGTTTCTTATGTCGTACAAGAGGCAGTTATAGTAATAAAGGTGGGTACCATTGAGATTGATCAAAGCAATGCCAACGCTTCTTAGGATATATTCCGCAAATACCCGAATTCATATGAAGATATTATTCCAACGTTGTGCGAAAACTTTGAGGAGCTTGATGAACCTGAGTCAAAGGCATCTCTTATTTGGATACTTGGAGAGAATGCAGAAAAGATTGATAATGTCGAAGAATTATTGCAGAGCTACTTAGATAGTTTCATCGAGGATGCATATCCTGTGAGTATAGTTGCGGCATTCAACACAAATCTCATTCGATTTCAGGTTCAACTCCAGACTTTGAGTGCAATAGTTAAGCTTTTCCTCAAGAAACCGGAAGGCCCTGCTCAAACATTAGTTCAAAAGGTGCTAACAACTGCGACAAGTGATTGTGACAACTCGGACGTGCGTGATCGCGCTTTTATCTACTGGAGACTGCTTTCCACAGATACTGGAGCTGCAAGGGTGAGTCGCTGGTACTGCATTTGCAAAATCTGAATGTTTTAGTCGATCACTGTCGCCGACAGACCACCTATCGTGATTCCAAATCTTACAGTCTCACGGGCAATACTGGAAGAGCTAATACAAGAAATCTCTTCAATTGCCGCTGCATACCACAAACCCTCTTCGACATTTATTGGAAAGGGTCGTCTTGGAGTTGACGCCCTCAAAAAGGTCAACTTACATGAGGGGAACGAGAACGAGAGTCTGTCAAAGCAGAGAGCACTCAACACAGTGGCTCAGGGTATGTTTTCACTATGTGCAATTGCTCATCTAAACCACAAATCGCAGGTGTTAAAGCAGAAAACCTTCTTGATCTCGATGAAGATGCATCGCCGTCAATGTCACCTAGCACCCAAGAAGGTTTTAACAGCTTCACAGCCAACTCTACAGCTCAAAAGCACGCACATGTGCCAAGTCCTTCGCAATCCAACCCTGTCGACGATCTTCTAGGTCTGTTCGGAAATGCAACTGTTTCGAACCCCGACCCGTCCATGAATGTAGAAAACGACATTTTTAGTACAAACACGACTCCGACAACCCAAGAAAATAAGAAAAATGGAGGCCTAGAAGACCTACTTTTTTAAAGTAATTTTGCTATAAATGAATCGCATTAAGCTTATCTCTTGTATCACAACGTCGACGAGATTATCAGTAGCATCAGATAAGGGCAAAATAACGTCTACAATTTACTCAATTATTTACGAATCATCTGAAGTCGTCGCATCTCTTTGTTTTAACTTCGTATATTTATTCTCACGATGATTGCCGTGGATGTTGTAGTTCACAACGTACTGAATGAGTTGTCGATGGACGGCAACTGGGGTACGTCACTTTCCCTATCTGCGCCTTTTCCCAGGTGCCGGTGTTCGAATCTCTGACTTGCTACATAGGCTCTGACATTCGTACACTAAAAAAGTATATCAAAGCCCAATTAAATCCCTCACTAGATATTGAAAAAGGACCTTTGCTTGAGTTTTTTTGGAAGATGCTTGCTCAACAATCGTCGTTTCAGGTTGGCTTGGCTACGCAGCAACTAAAGCTGGCTTTGAGGGGAAAAGCACCACCTCGTCCTTCAAAAGGTGCAGAGCAAACAGCATTATTTGAAGTACTCAACCAGCAATGTTCAGAATCCTCCCTTGGTATTCTCCTTGAAACCTACGGAGATAATCTTCGTGTTCGAACTGATGATGATATGAATTGGTTTGCAATTACTGGTCTAAACCACAGACCACCAAAGCTGAGCCCTATGGTCGTCACCGTTCTCACTTTCATATCTAGAAGTAAAGAAAATGGTATCACTTTTATCGAAATGACCAAAATGACGGGATTTGATAGTAAGTCCATTTTCTATTGTGTCAAGATACTTCTAGAGATGGACCTTGTGTGAGTATTTATTTTCTCGAGTAATCGCTTCTGATTACTGTGGTAGCGTTAAAATGCACACAATCTACCAAGGAGCTACTACAAATGTCGCTATTCACCGCAAGTTTTTGGCAAATTCACGACACTACCAAGCTCAAGCTCAAACTGAATCCACTTCACAAACAAAAGATGACTCTGACCGAGAAATGGATGTCTGTGATGAAGAGGGAGAGCAAATTCGGGGCTCAGATGGATTACCTCAATTTTCTCCGTTAAATGAGGCTCACTTAAACAATGCTCCTTTGCTCAGAAGTCGCATTTTGAAGCTGATCAGAAACTGTCCCAATCGAATCATCCACCACAAATTCATCTTCGTCAAAATTGGGTTTCCAGCGGGTAATAAATTCATTCGAAGAGTTGTCGGTCGTCATTTGGGCAGGATGATTGATGAAGGATACCTCGAGCGCTGCTCTATCAAGGCCTCTACTCGATCAATGCGCCTTAATTGCTTGCGAATCCCTGATGAAGATGAGACTTTTAGTCATCCTCAAAATATCATGAATGAAGATCTGAGTGGAATGAGTCCTGGAGACGATGAAGAAGACGATGACGACGACGACAGCACTGACACCTTTGGAATCACACTTGCTATTACAATCGAGAAGCAAGTTATGAACATCGTTCACGAATCAGGTATATCTGGAATAACTATGACTGTAAGCTTTCTTCTTCGCTTTATTTTATTCTGAGTATAAACTGACAACTGAAAGGCAATCAAAAACACTCTCCCAATGATAAATAGGAGAACGCTTGAATCAATTTTGCTGCGTCATGAGACAGACCACGATCCTGGTAATTTGAGTGACCTTGCTTTGAAGTCAATCACTGAGTCTTGTGGGCGTGAGCGCAGACAGGTATATTTTTCACGGAGCAACTTCGTCCAGCGTGCAGAAAGAGAGGGCTTGGATGTTGGAGATGACCTTGTTTCAGAGGACGCTGGCTTGCTGAGTAGTTTGGCAACTGACAGTGGATGTGCATCGCGTCAAGATTACCAAGCGCTCATTGCTAAATTGATCGGAGCAACTGGAAAGAAGAAAAATAATAGACAAGGTCTCATTTTTGGTGCAACGCCTGATCAAAGTCCTGCTCCTAAAAAGCTTGGCAGACCCCGCAAGACAGATCCACCTGCTGATACAGGGACGGTGAAAAAGCGCGGTAGACCTCGCAAAACAGAAATTACTGCAAGCTTCGCAAATGCAACTCCTAGGAGCATTTCCGGGCAGCCAGAAGAGACAGAAACTCCTTCAAAGGCATCGAAGAAACGTACTCATAAGGATGAAGTTGCTGAATCATTACCTCAAAAGAAAAAAGGAAGACCTTCTAAAAAGATGATAGCTGAAGCGGAAGCAGCATCAGCGATGAATAAAGAGCAGTCATCAGCGAAGGAAGCTTCCACACAGAAGTCAGCACCAGACCAATTCAATGAAAGTGCTCAGAATGGAACCAATAGCACTGAAATCGAAATCAATTCTGATACTGACCAAGTTTCTAGTACGAACATCAAGCCAGATGCAAGATCTTTAGAGGAAACCCACAAGAAAACAAGCCCACCTGATGAGAAAGGATCTTCAGATGAGAACAATAAAAGGATTAGTGACACGCCTTCAAAGCGAAAGCTTAGATCGAGAGGAAGTATAAAAATACCTTCTTCCGCTCCTATCATCATAGATGAAGATTCTGAAAGGGAATCGTCGAAGCGTAAAAAGATAGGAAGTCCGGAGCTAGACAGTGACGAGTCAGCCGCCTATCAACCTGAACATAATGAAGACGAAAATGATCAGAAAGATGAAAGTTATGAAACAGAAAAACATCAACTTGGGGCGCATGAGGATGTTGATAATGTTGGTGGTGTAGAAGGAACAAATGAGATTAACATTACTCGCAATGTCGCTGAGAGTGGCCAACCAAACATCTCCGTGAACGACGCGGAACAAATCAACGAACTCGACACCAAAGAAAACCCCCATGAATTCGACACAGGCAATGCGGAACCAGAACTAGGACCTACCACGCCTGCAGCTGTGGCGTCAGCACCTAGAGTCAGGAAGACCAAACATGCTATTAAGAAGATGCGATCTGAACGCACAGACCTCTCACATCACCGCAGGCTTCAAGATTTGTTTGGTGCAATTAAAGGCAATGGAGGTATAGTTGAAGCATCACGTGAATCCTACGACGTATATCAGAAATACGTGCATGGTCCAAAATATCAGACGGCACCACTAATTGACAAAGCTGCTATGAATAAGACGCTCAATGTCTTATTCCAGGAAGGAAAACTCAAACAGACAATTGTTTCAAGTCGGACTTACGGTCAAGGTGCAATCCAGAAAAAGCTAATTTACTTATCTGACCTCGATCCACAATCACACGTTTTCCGAGACAAGAAAGCACAAATAGGAAAGGATATGATGCAGATGTATCAGCCCAGAAGTGCTAAGAAGGAAATTGTTTCCGATAATATAGGCTACATATCTCTCAAAAATAAACGTGGCAACTTAAAACTGCCTGAAGATTGTCACGATCCATCTCAGCGCGAAGAGGTTAGAAAAACTATATTGTCAGATGTCAAGGCAGTAGCAAGACTTCATGGTTACATAAGTGGAAAGTTTACGAAAGCTCACAAGCTCTATCTCCTTTTAACAAGTGAGATGCAGCACAAGAACGAGCTGACTCATTGCATCAGCGAAGAGGAGCCTATAATTTCGCTTAATTATTTCCGGACCGATATTCCTCTTGAGCAACACATGCAGCTATTCCCGTGGACCAAAGTAGATGCAATGGCACTGGAGTATAAATATGATAATTCAAAGAGTAAGCTCCGCGTCAAGGATCTGCCACATCATTTGCAGAAAATGGTTGGTGAGGCTTTTTCAAAAAGGTATCACTTTGTCATAGATTGCATTCGCATTTTGTGGCACTTGAACCTGGTTGAGCTTATGGAAGAAGTCGATGAAATTACCACAGAGAAGACACCCCATGCCAACAATTTGAAAGGTGTAAAAGAACTCAGGGTCCCTCAAAAGCTGGAATTCTTCAAATTAAGAAAGAATGGTCTTTTCTTGTCATTCGAAGACAAACCGGTGCTTCGGGATGGTATGACGCTCAACACTGCAGAAGACGTCAACAAATACTTTGAAAGATTGAAGACGCTTGCTTTGAACAGCCAAGATGCTTCTAAGACTACCAAAACAAACGAGAACCAAACGCAAGATATTTCAAACTTTTTATCCTTTGCTGCAATGATGCAAAGACGTTCTGCTTGGCAAGAAACTGGACTGCTTTCGGTGTTGCAAAGGCGATACCTTACACACCTACTCGACGAAAAGCATGATGAATTAGCGACAGCAACTCAAGAGATATTTGACGAGATTGCTTATACCTGTGCAGCGCCCACAGAATTGGTTAAAGATTACATTGCAGAAGAATCCTCAAAGAGAGAAAAGCTTGAATCTAAGAAGATCATCGACACAAAGAAAAAGTGTTCAAAGAGTTCGAAAAAACTTAGAAAGTCTAATAAGTACAGCAAGTCTGTTGACGCTAAAGTTCAAAGGGCACGCTCCCGGCACATGGATCAAGAGGAAGAGAATGAGGATAAAGTGGTCGCCGAGCAGGTACGACAGCTTAAAATGAGAACAGAGAAAAAGAGAAAGCCGAAGCCGAAAAGACAAAACGAGTACAGGTTTGACCCTCCTCTTGAGCAACCGCCTGGGAAGGCCATTGACGATATCATTGAAGACCATAAAAGACTCTGTGAGCGTGGTCGTTCATTTTTAGACCTATACTGACTTTTCGAAAGTTCCTGAGGGATATAGCGCTCGACAGACGAGACACTATGACTATTGGAATGCTGACACTGAAGAGCTTCTTCGTGACACTATCGCTGTCATTAAGTCTCACACGAAAAAGTACAAAAATCCTACATTGACTGCAGCAATACGAGTATTCCCTAGATTCAAGACTGGTCAGCTACGAAATCATGAGAAGGTCATTCTGGAAGATCGTCAAGAACAGATTTATGTCGAGCGTTTGGCACAAGAATATGAAAATCTTTGCAAGGATTTTATCAAAGATACAAAGATGGACAAAGCGTCGAGTATCGACAACATTGACCTCGTTGAACATCTAAACCTCATTAGAACTCATATCGACAAAAGAGCCCTGTAAGTCTCTATGGGAGGGCTTCAATTTTTCTGACATACTCTCAGGTGGATCAATACTACATCGACGAGTAATGCTACGGAAGTCTTGAGTGTACCTGATAGCCTTGAAGGTTTCTTTGATCAATTTGATGTCACTGAAGAACCCACTCAATCATACAGCAGTCTACAAGCAATTTTGTTTGACCCTGCTCAAACAGAGGTCGCAAGAGAACGTGCATATTCCAAGATGAATGCTACCGACCAACTTGAAGTTGACACTGGAAAGGCTGTGAACACAGTTGAGGAGCTGAACGTAAAACTCGCAGAAGTTGCAATAAAGGTGGGGTTTGTCCTAAATTTTTTTGCCTTACTCAAATAGGTTTAGATGTCAACGCATGATAGAGAAGTCGGTCATTCAGAAAGATCGCAGAAGCTTCTTGAGAACTTCTCAGAAGACACATTCTTCACTGCGCTTGAAAACATTAAGGCCGAAAATATTCTTTGCATACCAGTCAAGCAAGACGGTCCAACACCGCTATATGCATTTACTGATAGTTATAAGCATGATAGTCATGGACCGTGGCAAGCAGCGTTTATGCAAAGCTTGTTTGATTCGACTGTTGCTGTTCAGGAGGGCAAATTTTCAATCTGGCCTGTTGTTGTGCAGGAGCCTCTTCAGGCAGCACTCTTGAACTGCATATCATCCCATAAACTCGAGTGCAGCATTAACATTGATAACTTTAGTGCTAGATTCGATTCTCTCGGTAGTCGTGCTGTTCGTAAGTCTATTTAGATCCATCTGTGGCTGCTTTGCTAATGTGCACCCAGAGGACGATGATTACGAAAACATTATTTCTATCACCTCTAAGGGCAATAAAGCAATTCAATTACCGCCCTTGCCAAACCACATCTATACACACCCAATGGAGGTAGATGAGTGTAGGCAAATACCAATCCTCGAGCATTGTGGTCCAGTCGGTCTGTCTAAAGATCAAGTACCAAACAATATGGAGATTGATGCAATACTTGGATCAGCTTCCGCCATCGTTGCAGGATATGACACTGATAGGTTAGTAAAATCCAAGTTCGGTGAAAACTGGTGTGTCAAAATCAATGATAAATATGTCTATCCTCGTCAATGGGTTAAGCTGGAAGGAAACGCTGTCGAAAGTACGTGGAGAAGTGTGCTCTTTGCTCTGATCAGTACTCTGATGATCTACCCCGGTATTTCTTTGGTAAGTGGATTGAATGTATTTGGAAAGAGCTCTTACATGTGTGTAGACTCAACTCAGAAAATGCTTCAGCAAAGCGTACGACAGACTTGAGGTTGTTGATGCAATTCAAGCATTGCTGAGGGAAGGACTTGTTCATGGGAGAATGCACAATGCAGAAGGAGCACCAAAGTTACAAAGTTTGGCAGATGAAAGTGAAATGTGCTATTATCAAAGCTTTATATAATTAATTGTACAACATCAATACATATGTAGTTATCTTTATCATTCGTCGATTTGATGATAATGTTGTGTTTCAGATTCTTTGTTTGCAATTTGTTTGACCCTTTGATGTTAATTAGCTTTGAAAGAATGGACTTGAGATGTTACCTTTTCGCTAATCTTTGATCTTCCCTCAGATCGATCATTGATATGTTCACGCTACAGCCACTGTATGGACATATCTTTGCCTGACCAAGAAGATATTCTTTAATTGCATTGAAAGAATAAGAATGCTTGCATTTGTCACTGATTTTTTGGTTAGCTGAACTTTGCACCATGGAAGGGAAACTGACGAAGTGTACGGGTTTTCAAACAAGCAAAGAGTGATCGGATCATTGAAGTTCTGGCGTATACTTCCAATTTCAACGTCAGAGTCATCATCATCTTCATCATCACTCTCTGAAATTATGATTAGCACGAGGAGAGCACGAATTGACCCAAACAAACCTTTTGGAATGAGTTTTCGAATGCTTGGTACAACCTCTTCCGGCTTAGAAACAGCCTACTCAATGTTAATGAATTGACGCGTTGTGACGCGTTTGTGACGTACCCAAATGGAATTGTAGTAACTCGAAAACTTATCACTATCGCCGTACTTTTGACGTGATGTTTTGTTATTATAACTATGCATAAGATTGCTCAGTTTCTGTCTGTAAAGAGTCTCTGGTTTAACCTTTGACATGTTAGCACGTTTTGCTAATAACCACGAGACACTCACAATTTCAGCTTCCTGCTCAATATCATCGATAAAGTCGCTCGCGATGGATTGCTTTAGTTGAGTGCGATTTTCCAAGTCAACTAAAGACCTCATGTTGCTATCCGCTGTCCCTTCGAGCTGGCGTCTGTTCAGCTATTTTGCAATCAGACATAGTGACTAACTCTATCCCAGTCGCCATTTGGTTCGTACTGCTTGCAGTACTGTATTTGGGTTACGAGATCGATGACATTGTCGCATGCAGCATCAGTGGGAAGTCTTTTCCAAAGTGAGTTCAGGCTCTTGATTGAGCTTCTATCATTACGTCCTATATTGGTGTCCTCGTCATAGTCGACGCTCATCGTTGTCAGAAACTTCTCTTTAAACTCAACTTCCATCACAGGAAGATGTCACTTGCAAATTCATTCTTGAGGTCTTTCGCTTCATTGAATCTACGTACTCAAGTACACGCTCATCCTTCAGTCCTTACTCGGCGGTCGATCTCATCCACTGCCACCAACTTTGCTACCTTGAACCAAATCATGAGAGGAGCTCGTAAATCATTCCCCAAGGTTTCAAAAGCACCAGCATTAGAAAAAAACCCTCAAAAGAAAGGAGTCTGTACCAAAGTTTACACTACTAAGCCCAAGAAACCAAATTCAGCTATCCGTAAAGTAGCACGTGTAAAGCTTTCGAATGGAAGGGTAGTACGTGCGTACATACCTGGTGAAGGACACAATCTGCAGGAGCATAGTGTGGTTTTGTTGCGCGGTGGCCGTACGCAAGATCTTCCCGGTGTTCGGTAAGCCAAATATAATCTCAATGATAAACTGACACTCTATCAGATACAAGATTATTAGAGGCGCTTTGGACTTCAGCGGTGTCGTCGGTCGTGCTAATGCTAGATCCAAGTATGGTTGTACGTATATATGTAACACTAGATATTTCACTAATAGCACAACAGCTAAAAAACCAAAAGAAATTTAATTTCTTAAAACGAATAGATTTAGCAATTTTATTTCTTTGTGTACATTGTGAGAATAGGGGTCAATTGACACTAGACCCTCCATCAGCAACCATCACAAAGGTAATCCAAAATGAATAAGGAGACGTTGATAGCTAATGCAATATCGTCGAAGATTCACAAATTCAATATTTCGTGGATAGTTTATACATGCTACATAGAAGATCTGTTCTTTCGAGGCGTCCTGAATCAAAGACTATTATTGCGAAACTTTGTTGAGACTTTCAGGAAGTTCAGTGCTGAATACGACTCTGAATACAAAAGTGGACAACTGTCGCCATTTGTCGTTAATATCGTTCAAAATTTGATGTTCAGAATCAATAAGACTAGTAAAGTCATACAATTAGAAAGTCTTACCAACTATTCTGGTAGGGAGCCAGTTGCCGCAGGCGTATCCACATCTAATCCTCTCAATGAAACTCAATATACAACTCGAAACATAAAATTCGAGGCGTGTCATCAGTATTTTACAGATAACATTGCTTATCCGTATCCTTCGGACAAATCAGAAAGAGAATATCTTGCAGCTAAAGATGGTGCTAGCTTGAAACAAGTATGTAGGCCGGTGACTCTTTTTTTTACATTCTAAAGAATTGCAGGTAGACCAATGGTTCACAAATCATCGCAAGCGTTCTGGATGGAACCATATTTGCAACATCGCCGAGAGCAAAGAGACGGCATCAAAGCTCGTCAAGTTAGTTTTATCAGGCCCCGACCAAACTATGTTGCCAAATTCTGTGACATCGATTGTTGCTACATATATCCAACGTGGGACGAATAACCCAAGGAATATACCAAGCGAAGGACTTAAGAACGCAATTGATCAATTAAGTAATCGCTACCCATTTTTGTCAAAGAAGCGTAAAAGGGACGAAGGAAGTTCTAACTACTTGAGTACCTTCTTCCAATAATAGGGAAAAGAACATCAGAATGGTGAATATGTGTAATGATCTATGTCTAGCGTAAGGTATTTGTCCCGAGCTTTTGTGTATACGTTTTTAATTTATGTTATTGTTTAGTGAATAAAGGGGAAAGAGATACAACAAAAAGAAGAAAAAGGAAATTGCGAGAGCAGAGGCGGGTGGGGTGGAGAGGGCTGCGAGGCTGTGGGCGGTTTGTTAGAGCGAAAGCAGGGAGCGAGAGGAGACGTACGACGGGGTAGCTGATGGAGATGAGATGAGGGAGAGATAAATGCAGTATATTTGATTTTCTATTAGATGTAATGTGATGAAGTCATGTGTTCATGTGTTATTTGATTTGCTAATTGATTTGATTTGATTTGATGAAATATTTCGTGAGAGCGTATATATTGTGCTGTGATTAGAAGAAGCAGATGAATTAGATGTAGGAGAAGAAGGAAAGTGATGAATCCATGGTGATCTTGTTTTTGTGTGTTGCGCTCATTGTGCTCGCTGTATTCCTGTGCTCGCAATACTCGCAATGCAACCAAGAAAAGGGGCCACACATCCACTACCTACTTACTCGACTGCGACGAGTGTTTTCTCTGATGCTGAGGCTTTTCCTTGCCTACCTTTTTCTTGGAGCCCGACTTGCCCTTGCTGGTGTCGCTACCGACGCTTGCCGATCTGCGTTTTTCGTGGTTAGCTGGTGTGTTTAGGATGTGTGGCGTTTTCGGTAAGCTTGCGATTTCGCCAAGGGAAGAAGGTTGCCAAGAGTATTTCTTCCTAGCAGGGAGGAGGGTATGAGAGGGAGAGGGAGAGGGAGAGTGAGTGTGAGCACCGCTACTGCCACTGCCACTACCACTCGCGACGCTCCCTAGTGCTGGAAAACCATCATCTAGCGCAAACCCACCCAAATTAGGTTTGAAAGGCGGGTCATCTCTATCGACGCCACCCGCGTTGCCCATGCTAACTTTGTCGAGGAGTGGGAGAGGGGTTGGGAGGGACGACGAGGCGTTGGGAATGATGCGCGAGTAAGTACGTCCGCCGCTGATCGCCTTCTCATATTTGTCGTGCCTATACCTATCCATTTCGCCCTCTCTGTTCCACGTGCCTGTGCCACTGCTCCTGCTTGTGCTGGCGACGCGCGGCGTCTTGGCAAGTACGCGCGGTGTTGATGGCACTGAGCGCGAGCGGGTGGGCAGAGAGCGCGTGTGAGCAGGGGGAGAGGGGGAGTGGGAGTGTGTGGGGGAGAGTAGGCGCGAGTGTGTTTCTGTTTCTTGCATGCCTTGCGTATCGACCTGCGCTAATCCATCTCCATTCTCATCCCCTTCTCCCTTTCTGCCTTCCCGTGTCGCTGAATCGCCTTCTACACTCTCACTCTCACTCTTGTGTCGTGCCACGGCCTGTTTCTGAAGGCGCAGCCACCGTCGGGCGGACATACGCGGCGGGGGTACGCGCACATCAGCTGCGAGGGTGAGAGCAGAAGTGGTGAGAGTCTCAGGTTTAAGCGAGGGGGTCTGACCGAATGTGTACGTGTAGCGAGGATGCGATGACGAGAGTGAGGAAGTGAGAGGGGTGAAGCCTAACCCAAGACCTAGAGTAGCGCCGTCGTCTTCATCGCCTTCGCCCACCTCAATCCCACTACCTTCCTTCGGCGCGTGGGCGGGTGCACTGAGCGTCGACGTCGTCGACAGTGGCGGCGAGTTAGTCGGGGTGTTTGCTTCTGACGGCTGCGTAAATGTCGACGGCGTGATTTTGATTTGCTGGCCGGCGCCGTTGGTGACGAAAGTCGGTATGCGCATCTGGGCGGGGGTAGGAGTGTGTGTGGTTGTATGAGCGTTTGTGTGGATGTGACTGTGTGTACCACTCCAGCTCCCGCTCCCCCCTTCCATCTGCTTTTGTATGAGCTGGGCTGGCGACGCGTTGACGCTATTCGCGGTCGTTGCTGCCGCAGCGACCGCCTCAGCGCTGCTCGATGCCCGCGAGTGCAAGGCAGCGTTAGCGAGGCGGGGTGAATGGCGCAAGGGGGCGGGAATGGGAATGGGTGGGTGAGATTGAGCGTGCGTGAAAGGTTGAGTATGTGAGTGTGGGTGTGGGTGTGTCCAACCCATCTCCAATTCGCCGTGCTCCGCATGCTCGCAAGCATCGCCAGTTGCACTCCCACTCACGCTCGCATCGGCATATGGCCCTACAACACTTGGGATGGTCGCCTTTAGGTGGTGCTTAGGGGCGTACTTGCGCTCGTGCACACGCGCCAACCACGCCGGACCCACGTTAGCACCCGAACTAGCGCGTCGTGGTATACTGCTGCTCATATCCGCCCGCGTACTCTCATCCGACACGAGATTCTCCGCTTCCCAGAACGCACTACCCAGAGGCTTCGTGTGCGATTGCGGATGCTGGTACATAAGGTGTTCTTCGTGGGCGTTGCGGACGCGTTCGCTCTGTGCGGCGTTCAGCGCAAGTGAGAGTGCGTGTGCATGTGACGGGGATGAGGAGTGTCTGCGGGGTTGTGCTTGTGTGTGTATATTTTGGTGGGTGTTTTGCAGTGTGCTTCCATTTGCTCCAGGTGGTGATGATGAAGATAAGGATAACGCAGACACACCGAATCCCGTCATTCCTGTCATCTGCTCACTTGGTTTGCGCGTGGGGAGGATAGACGATTGTGTTTGCGTCGGTGAGTAGCCGGTATGCACGCCTTGAACGCTTGGTAAAGTAGTTACACCCGGCGGCGGCTGCAGAGTTGGTCCTAGCGACGGGTTGATGAGTGGGCGTGGTGTGCGCACACCACTGGTGAAAGGTGCAGGCACGAGAGCGTCGTCGCGCTCCTCGCATAGATCTACCAACACTTGCGACGGCAGAGTGTCCACTTTGCCGACAGTCTGAAGCATTCTCGAAGCGCGCATGAACTCGCCGCGAATAGTGTAAAGGCCTGTGGTGGGAGATCAGAAGACGCAAGTACCGCTATACTCAACCTCACCGTCAGCAGTCACCGTGCGAGCGACGTTGTACGAGGTATCAAAGGGGTCTTCTATCGAGAGGCGATTTCTGTCTCGGGCAAACTCGCTGGCGCCATCAACCTCTAAATCCTGGACCCAGCCTTTAGCGTCCTTGGAGAGGATGCCGCCCTGGGTTCTAATGGAGATGACGTCGTGGGTATAGTTGAAATCCTTGGCGTAGAAGCGGAAGAACTCCCAAAGCAACTCGCCGACCGACTGGGTGTTGGCAGAAGACCACTCCTGGCGAAGGAGAGCGACGTCGTCGAAAAAGTAGATGTTCCTACCGTCGTAGCTAGCGGACTCGGGAGAGACGGGTCTGATGGGGGGGATGCGCTGTAAATTGGGGAGGACGGGAGGCTGCTTGACGTGAGTGAGGAAGAAAATGACAAGGAGAGTGAACCCGTAGCTGGAGAGTGTGCCTCTATACGCGCTATTAATTTTGCGCCTCTTTGACCAGACTTTAATGAAGAGAACGAGAGTGCGGAGGCGTGGAGGGTCGACAGAAGCGTAGCCGAGGAGAAGGCGGGTGTTCTCCAAGGCCAGCTGGCCGCCAAAGCCGATATCACAGGCAATGCCATATGGGAGAGAAGGCGTGGGGGAGAGGGTGAGCTTGATGATGGGGATGCGTGCTTTTGGGAGAGGCTTGACAAGGAAGTTGGTCTCGTGCCTGATGAGGTCGCCGACGATAGTAGTTAGCTCGGCAGAGGACAGTGGCTCGCTGGCTGGGTCGAGAATACACTGCAAATCCATGTCGGAGTTCCTGAGTGCAAAACCATTGGCCATAGACCCAAAGGCGGTGAGGCGGGCACCAGGGCTGACTCGCACGATAATCCTCTCTAAGAGGAGCCTTGTTTGTTCTTTTATCGCATACTCTTCTGCCGTGGGGAGGAGTGGGAGGATAAAGCTGAAAAGACAGCCAGTGAGATCCTGCGACAGCGCTGAGCGCATGGCACTTGAACCCCAGTTATTTGTCATTTTTTGGGCGTCGTCGGCGTGTTTTAAGAGATGGAAGAGATGGTCGACGAGGAGATGGACGTGAACAACCAAGAGTGAAATAGCGTTAATGTCGGCAGAGTGTGGGTGTTGGTGGATCCAGCCGTGTTATTGGCTGATTATTCTATAGCGTTTTTCAGCCAGTCGATGGGATCGTTTAGGTGGTTGGGGCAGTCGCAGGGACAAGAGCAGTCACAAACAGAGGCACAGCCACAGACACAACCCCCGCAATCGCTCTACGCCACTCTCTCAAGTTCCATCTCAGACTACATTCCCCTCAACTCGCAGCACAACTCAAACGAGCAAGAAGCGTATTTTGCACTCAACCGCTGGGAGCGCTTCTTGGGCTTTGTTATCTGCCTCATTGGCAGCGCTGCCTGCTTTCTCCTCTCCTTTTTCCTCTTTCTCCCTATACTCCCGATACGGCCCCACAAGTTTGCGCTAGCGTTTAGCATGGGCAGTGTGTTGGTGATGGCTGCGTGGGTTGCTTTGGTTCTACAAACACTTTCTCTAACTTGCGCTCAGTTTCGCTCTCCTCGTTGGGCCGCTCAACCACCTAAAACACCTCCTCAGCAGGGAGCGTATCGTGTTCTCTGTCTCATACCTCTCCTCACTCTCGCTCACCATATATTTTGCACTCATCGCCAAATCCTATATCGGCGTCCTCGTCGCTGGTCTCATCCAACTCGCGGCTCTCCTCACTTATATCTTCCAATACTTCCCGGGCGGTTTGACGACCCTCAAATTCGGCGGAAGAATGGCTTTCAGGGGTGCAAGCAATATCCTCCCTATCTAATCAGCATTTCTGTATAGTACATGTTACGTGTTTGGCGTTTTGATTGAGTGTCTGGCGTGATTTGCGTAGTTTACATGTAAAAGGGGTGATTGGCGCGATATGCGCAAATAGCGCGAAATATAGCATGTTTAGCATTTTTCATCCTTTTTTTTCACTCTCAACCATCACATCTGCTCCCTCTTAGCCTTGAGTCTATCTGGATCCTGGAATATGTCAGCTAGCACACTCACCACACTATCCACCCACAAATCCCAGCGCATAATCCTTCAACTGCTCATCATTACCCCGCTTATACGGATGAAGATCGTTGAATGACGTGCGCGCGTGTACCGATGAATTTCCGTGGCTGGTATCTGCTGTCGATTGGCTGACGTGGCTATGGCTTGTGTTTGGGGAGAGTGTGCCGATACTGCTGTCTGTATCGTAGTGTTGTTGGTGGTGGTGGTGGTGGTTATCCTGATCATCCTGATCCTCCTCTTCCAGCTTCTGCTCGCCAACATCCTCCAACTGCTTATCCATAAACTTATCCTTATCCTTAATCTTGTTTTTATTCTTATCTCCATTCTTACCCTTCTCTACATCTCTATTCTCACCACGTCTAAATAGTCTGACTAGCCTTTTCCCAGCATCAACAGCGACATCCCCGAGATCGACTACGTTCTTCTCCTGTGATTGCTCCATCTCCTTCCACTCCTGCGCCGTAAACGTTTTTACGAGGCTACCATCTGAATTTCTGTGTATATTACTAGCATTTCCACTGTTACCGCCGCCATTAAAAAAGCTAGAGCGCGCTGCAACACCGAGAGTGATAGAATTGCGCCGTGGCATCGACGCCGGCCGCTGTGGAAGTGGGGCGAACGACACGCCATCAGCCGACATTTTACGCGGGGCTGTGGCTGTAGCTAGGGCATACAGGGTGAGTCATCTGCTTCTACATCGCAGCCAAACACCCTCACTCACACTCACCCCCCTCCTTGGAATTTCGCAGTATCGATGGTGTCTTGGGCGCGCCCAGCTCACGCGCTTCTGGTGGCGGTTCTAATTTATTGGCGAATTCATCCTGCGCTGACAAATCGCTCATTGATCATGGATGTAGCGGAGTAAGTCGAGTGGAGTGCGCGTTTTATTTCGTGTGTAATCTCGTGCGTGCTTATATCCATATCCATCATCTTATTAGTATTTATCTCTCTTCAATTACCTTTCTCCTCATTGGTCACTCCCCCTCGGCCTGCATGTGGGGTCCCGGATCTAACGCGGCTCACACGGCCATCACTCTAGCACCTCACACAAACTAAAAATTAAAAATCAAATATCTATAAAGTCATTAACTCGTCGCTGCATTCTCTCGCAAGGTTTTTACGACGATGCAAAGAGATATCGCGACGCGTGCATGCTCACAATAGCTCTGTAATGCAAAAAGATAGCAGCAGCGACGGCGATATGCCAAGCATTATGGCTCGCGAAAGCGAAATCGAAGCGGCCGGGTGCGAGGCACTCAGGTATCTGGAGGGCGTAAACGACGAGCCCTACGACGTAAAAGAGGAGGGACGGTATAAGGGGTGCGAGGAAGGAAAGGGTGTTAGCGAGACTATGATAGTGAACCATAGCCAGTATAGGCGCTGCACCGCAAATGGCCATATACACGAAGAACCCAATCCTATACCCGCGGCTCTCCTTCCTGTTGAACGACTCGGTGAAAGGGAGGTAGCTGCCTGCTATGGCATTGGAGATGATGAAGGTGAGGAGTGTGTTGCGTGTCACGTCGTCACAGTATAGCCCGTAGTACGTCACGCCCGTCACACTCGCTGTGATGAGCGAACTGATACCGACGTAGTCAACACATGCGTAGTGTTCGAAGATGCGCTTATCTGCACACCCAGCGTGGATGTGCCACAGACTGGAGAACACCAAGCACTTTAGCGCGGCGAGGAGAAAACCCATCATCACCAAATTGTCAGACCACGTGCTGTCGTGTGCCACCCACGCAGGATGAGGCGCAGCGATGTGATAGGCGAAAAGCAGAGCCACTCCAACAGCAGCCCACAGGTGCGTCTGTACGCTGCAGCGGTGTTAGAGGTGAGTGTTTAAAGAGCGCTTCACCTACTTAACCGTCTCGTTGTGCCATGTAAATGCAGATCGGAATAACTCGCTCTTGTTGTTGTGTATCGGTATGAATCGGTATCCAGTGAGTATATGTTCGTTGTTCTTCCACGCATCGGGCAGCTCACTGAACTGGATAAGACGTGCACCATTCTGCGCGCGCGCTAAGGCCCACTCGATAGCTGTGCGTGCCGAGTCGAAGCCGTGCTCGACCATCTGCGCTTTAGTATGTACCTCAGCCTCGACGAGCCGACGGATCTCGTCCCACTTCTCCAGCACCACCGCGGCTTGTTCCGCAGTAAAGGTGGATGTAGAAGCAGACGCAGAAGCGGATGCCGCTATCACCGATTTCAGTCGCTCGCTCACTGCCTCCATCTGCACCTGCAGATGCACCGAGGGGAGCTGACGGTGAAGTTTCTCTGTATCCATACTGCGCAATTCGCTTATCATTCGCAGAAGCTCGCGCCCCATCTCGAGAGAACGCTTCGACGTCGCGTTGGTGTCGATCAACTGCCTCACTCTGTCCTCCATTTCGTAGAAACCCCGCTGGAGTCGCTCGCCGGCACTCCACACCGCCTCCACCGTCCCATGCAGGTCGAGATAGTCGAGTGCGCTGCTCGTCGTTGGTAAATGCGAGGCTATTTCCGTCGGCAGAAAACTTAGACTGGGATTACTCGAATGCGACGATTGCCAACTTTGTGAATTGCGCCGTTTGCTGTCTGCATCTTGATTCATTTCAATCCAGTGCGAGTTTTCGCTCGACTACCAATATTGATAAGATTCGATTAAAGTTGTCATCTCGGCGGGCGTGGTATAAAAATCGGTGAAAATTATTAATTTATAACAAAGTTTATGTGTGCTGAAAATTATATTAGATTACAAATGCTGCGTGATTCCTATGATAGCTTCTTGGTAAGCTCTGGGACGACTTGGAAAAGATCTCCAACGAGGCCAACATCAGCGATCTGGAATATTGGTGCTTCTGGGTCCTTTGGTTGTGTTGTGAGTGGTTGAGTACATGCATAACACTACTGACTCACCTTATTCACTGCCACAATCAGCTTCGAGTCTTTCATTCCAGCCAGATGCTGGATGGCGCCTGAAATACCAATAGCCATGTAAAGTTCCTGTTTGAGTGGCCGTAACAGTCAGCAGCAACACACAAACCACTTTTTCACTCACCGGCGCGACAATCTTACCCGTCTGGCCTACTTGTAGCGAGTTATCAGCATAGCCACTATCGACAGCGGCTCTCGAAGCGCCGATAGCAGCGCCTAGGGAGTCAGCGAGTGGTTCAATAATGGAACCAAAGTTCTCTGCCGACTTGAGTGCTCTACCACCCGACACGACTCTGGCCGCGCTGCCCAAATCAGGGCGAGCAGTAAGAGTCATTTCCTCCGAAACGTGTGGAGCGTGGTCTTTCACTTGCACTGGGGCTACCTCCTCCACAACCACCTGGTCACTGCTAGATGAGTCTGCGCCATCGAAAGCTGTAGCTCTGACCGAGACGACTTTCCTGCTTTCACCACTCTTCACGGTGCTGATGGCATTACCTGCGTAAATGCCCCTCGTAAACACCTCTCCGCCGTCTTCGAGAGAGAGTATATCAGCAATGATGGATGTATCGAGTAGGGCAGCTGCGCGCGGGAGAACGTTCTTCCCGACAGCTGTGTGCGCGGCGAACAGGTGAGTGAGTGAGTCGTCTTTCTCCATGAGCGTCTTGAGTAGTGGTGCGAGTGTGCTGGGTGGATGGTGGTCGTATTGCTCGCTGTGTGCCACTAACAGTCTGCTAAGAGGGAGTCTTCGGGCGGAGTCAATGGCACTCGAAATGCTCTCGGACCCGGCTATCACTCCAACCACCTTGCCATTCACCTTCTGAGCGGCCGTCAGCGCCGACAGCGTACCAGCATTCAGCTTCCCGTCGCGGTGCTCCAAGTAGAGAAGCGCATCGCGTGTGGGTGGAGTGGTGCTGAGTGGGCGTGCTGTGCGTGGTGCTCTTGTCGCTGCTCTTGCCAATCTAAACATCGCCGTCGAGTTGCAAGAGACGCAGCGGGATAAGTTGATGGGAATTATCTGTGATTCTCGTGAGTGGATTAGGCGCTGTAATTATTCTATATCCCATTAGCCACGTGCCATCTGAGCAAATTTCAAATCTCGGATCAAATCAAATCAAATTGAAGATAAAAGCGTCGGTCAACGTAATAGGGTGTTGTAGAATGTCATGGCCATATCATTGGTAGTACTTGCCATATCCATACACCGGCAGATGCTGTCAATTCACTTACCTCCACATGACTCGGTCAAGTGTATCTGACAGCTGCGGTTGGTGCTTAAGCGGGGCTAAATTCATAGCGGCAATCTCGGAGGTTTTTACAGTGGTTCTCACTGATCAATACCATTCATGTTCCCTCCGCTGCCGAAGGATGCATGCGTCATTTATCCACCATACGTCATACGTCCTCAACTTTCAACGTTGTCAGAGAAGTGTATGCCAAAGCTAGCACAAGGCACACGCGGCACATGTCGCACACGGAACCTTACGACGTGAGACAGTCTCAGCTGAATTCGAAATTGAATTTTAATTTGACTCAGAATTCGTTCACTGGCACGAAGTTAAATATGCACTGGCCCTCGACTGCGTGCCTTAATTGAAGCCTATATTAAGATGAGCTTGGCTAGCTCTCTTTTTACACCACAATCACAACCGAAAGTATGTCCAATTCGCACAACACAGTACAGGATCTCGCGGTGCACGCACCTAATGGTGGACCACCAATCACTATCGAGCAGCTGCGCAAAGATCAAGACAATAATACCAGAGACAAATATCCGAGACGTTTGATCGTCTGCTGCGACGGAACCTGGCAGGATGGTTTGGCTACCAAGGCTGAGGAGGAGTACACCAATATCCTCAGACTTACGAGAGCCATTAGGCAGGTGAGTTGCGGGTGGTCGAGGCGATGTCTTGGTGTTGTGTGTTTTGTGCCATGACGCACGGCGCACTATGCACTATGCATATGCATATGCACTCATCAACACGCTCAAATTCACCCCACCCAGGAAACAAAGGACGCAAAACCTGACACACCATCCACAGGAAGACAGAAGACACTTTCCGCCAACCCCGCAAATCTGCCACTATGTTAGGTGAGTTAGCCGCGTTACTGCCGCCATTGCTCAGCTGACGTCTTGCTTTTACAGTGGTGTCGGCACTGGCTGGTCACTCTCTGAACAGCTTATTGGCGGTGCCACAGGCAATACTCTCGGTATTAAAATCAGAGATGCGTACGCGTTCCTGTCGCAAAACTACTGCGACGGTGATGAAATATTTCTCTTTGGATTCAGCAGAGGTGCATTCACGGCAAGGACACTCGGCGCGCTGATCAACGACATTGGTATTCTCAACAACAAGGAGATGGAGCATTTCTTCGAAATCTTCAAAGCCTATCACGACCGCAACGACAGTGGGAACCCAAAGAAGGCGGAGAAGGCGCGCAATTACCTCGAGCCATGGCTGTTGCGCAACCCTGCCAACAACCGCCACAAGGGGAGGCAATTTATTATCAAGTGTATTGGTGTGTTCGACACAGTCGGTGCACTCGGTGTGCCCTCGCTGAGCTCCTCCTTCTTCCCCAAGATGAAAAGCGAGGAGAACTACATGGGCTTCCCTGACACGGTGCTTGGTGACAAGGTTGAGCATTGCTACCATGCACTCAGCCTGCACGAGAATCGCCCCAACTTTGTCGACACGAGGCTCGAGGTGAAAAAGGAGAACCTAGCCAAGGGGCAGCACTGCAAGCAGGTGTGGTTCACAGGGTGCCACTCGGACATCGGTGGTAGTTACAGAGAACACGAGCTGAGTGACCTCACGCTTATTTGGATGTGCGCATCCATTGAACACCTCCTCTTGCTCGACATAGAGTATCTCAGAAGCATCCCTAATCCGATGGAGGGCTGGGGCAAGCAGCAGCCGCACGACAGCCGCACGGGTATCTTCACTTTAGGCATGCCTATCAAGAGAAAACCAGTACTCGAATTGAGCACCACAGAGAGATTGCACCCAAGTGTCCTCGAAAACGATTGCAAACTCGCTAAACCAATTCAGGAGAAGATCGACAAAGAGCCGCAACTTATCGCATCGCTCCTCCCACTCGAGGAGCAGTTCAGAGCCGAATGGAAGCAGACTCATGACGCGGAGGACCGCAAGAAAGGGAGCAAGTACCACACAAGCAAGGATAAGAAGAACTTTGACGACGAGGAGAATGAGTCGACAATGAAGAAGTATTGGGATATGATACCTAAGCCGTGGAACATCTTCTCTTAATGAGTATAATGGGAAATGAGAAATTAGAAAAACAAATAAATAAATAAACAGCTAATGCGCTATCATATGTTAAACCAGCCAAATAATACATTGTAATACCATATACACGTCTTCTCCACACAACCAATGACACTCGCAGAGTTACTGCCAGAGAGAAGCAGAGTGACGGTGGTAAAGGATGAGCCAGGATGCTCGGGGCTGTTTGTGCTGCTGGATGAGCTCAAGCGGGCGCAGGCAGTGCAGCGGCCGGTGAGTATCGTATCAACGGAGCATACCAAGGAGCATTGGCAGGCTTGTGCGAAGAAGTTGGTGGGAAGGTGTATTTAGAGAGCGTGGATTATTCTAACCATAAAATCACGCTTCAGGGATCGCCGCTGAGTGCAGCCGTCGGATTCATCGACGGATTCAGCCAGCTTGCAGACGCGGGCGAAAGCGCACTAGAAGCGTTGCTGGCGCAGACGGAACAATCCATACGCAATCACAGCCACAGTCACAGTCACAGTACACCGCCACTGCTGCTTATCGACGATCTAGCGTGTTTGAAGTGGCTCGGTATCGCTGACAGCGCGGTGGAAGGCTTCGTCAAGGGGCTGCTCAAGGTGGCTGAGGAGGTGGGTGTTTGTTGGGTAGTGGCTCAAGCGTGTTGCTCACGCGTACACCGATACAGCTCGACGTGGATATAGTTGCGATAGTCCACTCTCCACACACAGCAACGCTTCTCGAAGCACGCGCTACGCTCATCATAGTCACAAAACCTCTGTCTACAGGCGCAAGCGCAGAAGTTACTGGTCAAGTGGGTAGACAGGGCTCCGATCGCTAGTAATCAGCCTCACACACATGCAGATAAACGCTTATCGCGGCCCGCTGTGGGACTCTCTCGCTGCTAATGGCGGATGGAACGGCTGGGAGAGGCAGCTTCACTTGACTGACTCGAGCATACATGTTTTTGCAAAAGGTCTCGGACGCAGTGTGATTTGAAGTGTTTGTACAAATATATTTTATTTCCGTCTATCGTTCCGCGCCCGTTCTTTGGTTCAACGACAATTGCAGCGCGATAAAGAAATCATTCACGCACTGAGCGATTGGATGGTCAGGAAACACGTCAGCACTTCCACACTCAACAAATCTCAAAGCGACACGGCTTTTCATTATCGCAGGCGCCGTAGCAGCACCTCCATCAACAAATTACGCACTCTATCCACTCTGCGAGCCATGGAGAGATGGGACGATCGCAGCGGCAACTGGGCGATGGGCGGTACAGACACGGGCGGCCGTTCCTCGTCTTCGGATAGCAGCCAGTCTTATGGTAGCCACAGTTCTGACGGCCGAGCAGCCGGCAGTGTAGCAACTCGCCCGCAAAAGAGCAGGAGATTGAACGAACACCCACCTACCACCAACAGCGTGCAGCATGCAGAGACGGTGTTGCTATCTGTGGCGATAACAATTGCTGGCTACAAGCTTATTTCGGAGTTTGGTGAGCATGGCGTTGTCCTCCCAGCAGCTGTCGTTGTAGCAGCTCTACTTTTGCTGTTGTTGCTCAATACGCGTCGGTGCGGACACGTCTACGGCACAGCTGCCAACGAGTACAGAGAGACGGCTGATCCGGGTCTTGCCGTGGCTCTCCTCCTCCTCCCCCTCATGGCGCTCAGCGCGCTTTACGCATCACTCTCGAGCAAGCGCGATGGACACACGGCAGCGTGGGCATCTGCGTATAGCTTCGTCGCTGATCCGCAGGATGACCTCATCGTGTCGAGACGCTCCCTTGTCGGTCTCTCCCTCGCTATGTCTTGCACTGCTGCCGCGCATATTATCTGCACGAACCTGCAAATCACTCAGAGTGGTAGCGGTGGCAGGCGGTTCCTCACTTTCACCCTCTTTAGCACGCTCGTTGGTGTGGTTATTACGTTTGCTGTTGATACAGTCAGGTCGACGTCACACTCACACGGTGCCTTCTTCGCCGATCTTGACAGCCTCGAGTGCTTTTCGGCTACCGTGTTCTTCCAGTTCACGCTGCTCGTTATCTTGCGTCTCGGTAAAAAAGGGTTTACTATAGGCGAGCTCGTCGTGAGCAGCGGGCTGGGCACGGGGCTATTTGTCGAGGTGCTTAATCTTACTAGATGGAAGGTGGGTTTGTAGCTTTTGGTGCACTCGCTCCTTCTCACGCCTTCTCAGATCGGCATTTTGCCCATACTCAAGACTTACAGACTACCTACACCTCTCGTCGTTCTACAGCTTGCTCTCATTCCGGGCTCCTTTCTTATCGGCTTCCTTCTCTCACCGCTGCTCGTGCTGAGTCGGAATATATCGCAGAAACCGCTGCATAGACTGCGCTGGCCCGAGCAGAAAGAAATGCACAGACGCATCCTCGCTTTCTCCTTCTACATCCTCTGTGCTGTGCTGGAGGTAAGTCTGGTAGGAATGTGGCTAGTGTGGGTGCTCAATTGGAAGAACCCATTCGAGCTAGTGAAGGAGATAATGTGGAACGACGGGAGATATGTCAGTCGACTGTGTCTGGTAGGGTACTGGATTGCGCTGGTTGCCGTCAGCCTGCTCGGCTGGGTCAAGCAGCTCAGTCTGGTGCGCAACCCCATCCAGTTTAAGCACATTCACACTCCGGATGCTAGAGTCGACAGCGGGGAGATGGTCAAGAGGCTTGTCTCTGCGGCGAACAAAACCGCGGCTGGTATGACACTCAATGGTCGCAGGAAATACTTTCATCTTCTTCTCGCTGCGATTATCGTACCTGGCGTGGTGGTTGATGTGAGTATGGTGTGTCACATAGTATTAACAAAAACTCTAATACACAGCAGCCATTTATCACCCATCTCGCTGCGAGTATCGCATTTGGGATATTCATATTCATCGAATATATGCGATATTTCGCACTATACCCACTTTCAGCCAAGATACACGTCTTTATGAGTGAATTCATCGACGAGAAAGACAGCGGCGCGGCTATTCTCAGTCACTTCTACTTGCTGACGGGATCGATGATGTGTCTGTGGATGGAAAATGGGCGTACGATGGATAATCTCAGCGGAGTATTAGTGCTCGGCGTGGGAGATGCGATGGCGAGTATTGTGGGGAAGAAATGGGGGCGACACCGTTGGACAGACGCGTCAAATAAGAGCATCGAAGGAACACTTGGATTTGCACTGAGCATGCTAGCCGTCACATCATTCAAGTCTTCTCAAGTAATACCGATACTGGTGACAGCACTGATGGAGGCGTACAGCGTACAGAATGATAACTTGATAATAGGATTTATATTCTACAGTACTTGTATATTATTTTAAAAAAAACCAGATTATCACTTGTGCACGTACTGCACTGTGAATACGAACGGCGAGGATGTCAGCGACAACGGGAAGGAAGAAGTCAATAAACCAGCAAAATCAGCAGAATGGGCAGGAGAATGGGCAGATAGAGCAGCCAACGATATCAAAATCGCAGATAAATCGATCACCGCTACAAACACAATCGGTATATCAGAGGTGCTTGCTGTTGAGGAGTAGATTATTGAGAGTAGAAGGATTTAATGGATTTTTAGACAGCGTGCAGTCTACAAATTGCGTAAATTTACTCTGGGAATGCTTTAAATTAGGAAATTCACTGTGTCATCTCTTCAACCAGCTTGGGCTCGAGCAGCAGCTGGAAGTATCAGATAACTACGATATAAATAAACAATCAATTTGCAAGAAAGGCGTGGCTAGATTTATTATAAGCTGCAAATTACTCGGTGATACTTCAACAGGATGGACGAGCGATGACCTCTTTACAGTCACAGATCTTTATAAACAAGATACAAGTGGTTTCATACGCGTATTACACACTGTGAACTTAGTGGTAAATGAAGTCGATAAACGTGGCAAGTTGATGGAAGTCACTCCAACTGAAACTGATGATGCACCGATACTCGAATCTACAAATCAATCTAGAGTTAAGATTACTCAAGAATTGATCGAATCTGAGAGGAAGTTCATTATGGATATGGAATTATTACAATCATTCTCAAATGAAATTAGAAATTCAAACATATTCTCACATGACACTCATCACTCTATCTTCACCAACCTCAATGCACTCGTTGACTTTCAAAGAAGAGTTCAAATTAGCCTTGAAGAAGCATTTGAAGTTGATCAGTCTGGCGGTATCGGTCTCTGGGGCAAAGCGTTTACCGATCATGTAAGCTCAGGCCTCAAAATTAGTAATTCTATTATTAAACCGACACAGGAACAAGATTGGCTTGTCTATGCTCCATTCGTTATTAACTACAACCACGCTAACAATATCGTCCTCGAACAAGCTGATGCTATTCAGAATGGCACCCCTTCAGGTCTATCTCACTACGAAGTTCAGGCCTTGCTCATCAAGCCTACTCAGCGTGTCTGTAAATACCATATGTTCCTCGACGTGAGTTTTTCAATCGATGTCTTACTCACCAGCTCAAGTTATCTCAGGAAATAAGAAGGAAGACAGACGAGGAATCCGTCTCACACTCTGACCTTTCAAGTGGCTACAACGCTATGAAGAGAGTAACAGGTGAAATTAACGAGCTTCAAAGACAGAGGGAGAACATCGAAAAGTGTCAAGTTCTTATTGAAAGAGTTGAGGATTGGAAGGGTCACAATATAAGTTCTTTTGGTAACCTGCTAATTGAGGATATGTTCAATGTCAACAAAAACCACGTCGATAGAGAATATCACGTTTTCCTATTTGATAAGATTCTCCTCTGTTGTAAAGAGGTTCACGACAACAAGAGTCACAGTGGTAGTGATAGGGGCAAGGAGAGGAAATCTTCTAAATCAAACAGTTTGCTCAAGAGAAAAGATAGCACTACCACTCAATTTGATCCCCTTCGTCGCAACATTCCCTTGCAGTTGAAGGGTAGAATCTATCTAAACAATGTCACCCACGTCATTCCATACTTTAGAGGTGAGTGTTGTTATTCATCTCTACAATTCTAATATGCCATCACTTCAGACATACAACCTGGCTCTCACAATTTGGAGGTTTGGTGGAAAGGCGATGATGATTTGGAGTCATTCACTTTGAGATGTAGAACAAGTGAGCAAATGGAACTCTGGAAGGCTGCATTAGAGAAGCAATTGAACCAGGTTAACCTCAGAAGGCAAGCTATGGAGGAGGCTATCGCAAGAGGAGAGATAGCACCTTCAGCTAGAAAGCAATCGACTTCATCATCAAATTCGCATGGCTCACATCCCTACTCTGCTTCCTCGAGGAGACCATCCGGTCAGCAAACCTCTCAATGGCCGCAAACTCCTGTTGTTGACACTGGCCTAATCTCACCAATGAGCGCTGTCAGTTTGGAGGATAAAATACCATCTCCAGTGTATCCAACCAGCGCCAGGCAACAGAGGGCTAAGACTGAGGACTCTAATGCGCACTCATTCCAGCAATGGAAGCAACAGCAACAATTTCCACCAAGGTCTGTATCTCAGCAGGGATTGAATATATCACCAGGAGCTGAACGTGCACTCAGGAGCCAGTCGTCAAAGTCAGCTTTGCGACAGACACCCGCTGGAGCACCGCCAGTGCCATCAGTTAGTGCTGCGATGGCGAAGGCAGGCAGCATGACATCGACTAGTCAACCAGCCCAGCTCAGTCCAACATCTACATCTACATCTACAAATACAAGAAACAGATCACTATCGTCACCGCATACGTACGAGAAGAAGAATCCGTTCGATGAGCAGGCTGAGGCGAAGCGGCCACCGCCTTTGCCACGCAATCCACTAAGCTCTCAGTCTATGCACAGCGTCTCGTCTAATAGCTCGTTTGTCGGTTTGACGAACGCTCATCAACAGCAGCTGATGGCTAGGCAGCAGCAGCAGCAGCAGCAGCCGATGCAGACTCAGACGCAGACGCAGAAGCAGATGCAAAACGAAGACGACCTTGTGGATGACAGCAAAGTTAGCTTAGGGGCTGGTAGCTATTCTGAAGCACCAACACAAAGATCTTGGGTATCTAAGAGATTCTCGGAGAGTTCAACCATGACCAATAGCTCACAGGAGTCTCTACCTAGTAAGAAAAAGGTGGCACCGATATCGACCTCTACCAACTCAACACCTTCCTCTGTGGCTAGCTCACCAAACAATAACAACCCACCCACGCCAACCAACTTCTCGAATAGTGGTTTCTTGGGAGATAAAATGAAGGTCAAAGTTAGATATAATGAGGATCTTTTCGTTCTCAATCTCCCGCCTTCAATTGATCACTCCTCGCTAGTTACACAGATCGCTAGAAAGGTTAGGTTGTGCACTGGTGGTGTCAGATCACACCTTCCATACACTGAGAATCTCTTGGGCGGAAATGATACAGATGAAAGTGTAATCAATTTTAAACTCAAGTGGATCGATGAAGAGGGTGACCAAATTCTCGTTCTTGGTGATGAAGACGTCGGGATGGCGATGGATTGGGCTAGAAATCAAGGTGGGGGAGCAGTTGAACTAATAGTTACATAAATTAGCAACAAAATACAATTGAAGGTTAAGTAAATAAATCGATTCTTGGATTTTATTTGCCGATTTCACTCTTACACTTGGTACTTCAAAGACACTCACTCATATCTGGTTTCTTCATTCAATCACGTCTCTCACTTATCTTTCACTTATATGACCGCATATCGTTCCAATTTTACTCGTATCCCTCGTTTAAACAACTTTTCACTCCAATCGAATAACACCAGTTATCATTATTGTTGTACTTAAAAGATTTATCTTTATACTTTGATTTTTATACACTTGTGGACATTTGCACAATAATTTTAGTCGGCATCCTGAACACCTGAATATGCAGGCAAATCAACCTGAGGCCATTCAATTTCACCTTTACTGAGTTTAACGATGGCGTCTACGACTTGCTCAACAGTACCGATTTTTTGCTCGGTTGTGTCACGCTCACGCAGGGTGATAGTGTTCTTCTTGACTGTTGCAAAGTCTACCGTGATACCGTATGGTGTACCGAGCTCATCGTTTCTAGCGTATCTCTTACCAATAGTTGCAGACGAGTCGTCGACTCTTGAAGCAACGCCGTTCTTGCGAAGTCTTAAAGAAATGTCTTTAATTATTGGCTCAAATTCTTTCGAGTTGGAGATTGGTACGACGAGAGCCTTGATTGGGGCGACTAATGGTGGGAATCCGAGTACCTGCGGTATGTTAGGCGGCGGTTTTTTGAAATACACACACTCACTGTTCTGCCTTCATCTTGCTCACGTGCGTAGAAAGAGTGCTCGAGTAAGGCGTAAAGTATTCTACCAATACCGAAGGATGGCTCGATAACATTTGGCGTAAATTCACGCTTAGTTTCCTTGAAAGTCTTCTTTTCGATGGTGAGTAACTCTGGTGTCAAATCGTATTTGTTTCCATCAGCAGCTTGGATGTCAGATTTTCCTTGAGAATCAAAGTCCTTCTTGATACATTCCAAACGTGGTTGATCGAGTGCAAAGATGGTACTCTCAACTATCTTTTGATTGGCTCTGAAAGTTGGACCAAATTTCTTCTTGTTGATCTCTGGTGCCCACTTTTCTTCTATCTTAATTTCTGGGAGTGGCTCACGCACAACTAATGGCTGGCCGGTACGTACGGCGTGCACTGTCAAGTCGTATGCTGATCTGTCGGCGCAACCAACACACTCAATCCATCCGTAACTAGTGTGAATTTCTGCATCCCAACAGTCTGATGCGTAGTGAGCCATCTCGTTGGACATGTGTTGTCTGAATCTCAGTCTGTCCTTGTTAATACCGATCTTTTCTAAGAAGAGGTTGATTCTGGCTACGAAGTAACCAAGTGTCTCATTGTCAATGATACCCTTCTTTACAGCTTCACCGACTGTAATCTTGGTCAAATCAGTCTTACCCTCGACTTGGACCTCATTTGGGAGAATTTGCAGTTGAACGTTCTCAACTTCGTTGAATCTTGGGTGATTCTTTTTCAGAGGATCGACGTAGTGTTCAATTTCAGCCATCAAAAACTCTCTCACTCTGAGCAAACCCTGCTTTGGTGAAATTTCGTTACGGAATGATTTACCAATTTGAGCAGATGCGAATGGAACTCTGCCATTGTTAAATTCCAACAACCTTCCAAAGTTTACAAAGTGACCTTGAGCAGTTTCTGGACGTAAGTAGCCCTTAACTTGACCAGTTGGACCGATAGAAGATTCGAACATCAAGTTGAATTCCACAGGCTTTGTTAAGTCATTTTGAGATTCAGGGGATTTGATTGAATGTTTTTCAATTAAATCTGCTAATTCTTCACCATCGAAGTTATCAATTTGAGCGAGAATTGTCTCATATTGTTGTACAACAGCGTCATCTAGTTTGACAGCTGAAGATTTTACCTTTTTCTTCTTCTTTTTCTCATCCTCCTTTGGTTGTTCTATTTGTTGCTCACCACGAGCTTCTTTGTCACCTTTAAGACGAGCTTCAAGGACAGCTTCAACGAGGTGATCAGCTCTAAAGATATCACCAGTCTTTGTATCTCTACACATCCAATCTGTGAATTTATCGACGTGTCCAGAAGTCTTTAAAACTTCACCCAAAGTAACAGCCGTTGTATCAACTTCGAGCATTTCTTCTTCAATGATGAAATGTTTACGCCAGGCATCGAGTATGTTGGCTTGAAGTGCAGATCCAGGTGGACCGTAGTCGTATAGACCTGCGCAACCACCATAAATTTCAAAAGCAGGAGCGAAGAAGAATCTCCTTAAGCAAACAGCTTCTAATTTCGATTTATCAAAAGAGTGAGCTAGGCGATTAGACATGAGTGAAATTCTATTGGTTGATTCCTTTGTGAGTAATTTCAAGGTGAGTCGCATACACCCACTCAAGATCGATGTATACCACCAAGAAATCAATAGCAATTACTAGTAATTTAAAATTTGTGCTATTAAATTTCTAAGCCACACTATTAAAATTCATTTCAATTTATAAATTCGAGTCATTATCCGTACATTTGAGTCATTTTGGTCTTCTCGAGCATTACGATCATGTCTTTTATAGCTAGAAATGCGTTAAAGGCTAAAACTGCTAAACCAGCCCAGTTTTGTAGCATCTTACGCAGCTACTCACAACAACCACCAACAAACGACCCAGATTCAACGTCTGCGTATGAGTACAAGTTACAGCACTCACCTAGGTCACCACCACCTTTGCCTGCTCAAGAACCACCAAGAAGATGGTCCGCAGAGGAATCTGTTAAGAATATTCTGTGCGTTGCTTATTATCACCCTGATCAAGTCAATTTAACTTGATTTCAGTTACAACACTCCTCCGCCTTCAACACAGCCATTCAAGAGACACATTCTCAATGCTCTCGTACAGAATGAACCAGGTGTCCTCAGTCGCGTTTCAGGTATTCTCGCTGCAAGAGGTTTCAACATTGATTCTTTAGTCGTTTGTCGCACTGAAGTTCGCGATCTCAGTCGAATGTGTATCTGTATTAGAGGTCAAGATGCTGTTGTTGAACAAGCAAGAAGACAACTTGAAGATTTGGTGAGTTTTTTTAACTGTTTGATGGCTTTCTTACGATTTATTCTCACATATATAAAAAGGTACCTGTATGGGCTGTACTTGACTACACCAACACCAGCGTAATCGAGCGTGAACTTCTTTTAGTCAAAGTTTCATTACTCGGTCCAGAGTACTTTAATGAACATTTCAAACCATCTGCATCAGATCCTTCCTTCTCTTTAGAATCAGCAAGAACTTACGATGAAGCACTCACCCAGTTCTCACAAAACCAAAGACATTCTCAAGTTCAAGAAGATTTGACTAAAATGTCTTTGTCAGAGGCTTTAAGGACTAAACACGCTCATCTATCGGCATTAAAGAACCTCGCTGATCAGTTCTGTGGCCGCTTAGTCGATGTTAGCTCTGATAGCGTCATCGTTGAGGTTACCGGTAAGAGTACGAGATTGGATGCATTCCTTGGATTAGTAAGAGCATTTGGTGTTCTCGAAGCGTCTAGAACTGGTAGGGTTTGAAATTTAATGGTTTTATTGAGTTAATTACTTCAATCAGGTATGATGGTTATGCCTAGAACACCCCTTCCAGCCAGCTGGGCGGAAGAGAGCGACGTCGCCGCTGAAGCTGATGAAATTGACACTTCTCTCTTACCACCAGGTTGATTAGCTGTTTTTATAAATTTAAATTACATTTTTGGGTATTGCGAATGCGGACAAATGACGTCGATTCGTTGATGTTTTTAATGATTTTGTTTGCTGGTTTGAGGTGTGTATACTTTGTGCTTGAGAATAAACGGCTCATTCTATCATCTAATTTACCCCACTTGTGTTTTCGTCAATTACATCAGTGCCATCCTCCCTACCTCTTTGTACATAACCACCACGGCGTAGATAAAATTATATAATTTAAGAGATGGGTACTAGTGACGGAGATTTCAGCAATCTCTCTCATTCAGACCATCAATCTCGCGTCTTCAAGCCTTCGAAATCTAGCAGCAATGCGAATACCAATAATAAGCGTGCGTGTGTTTTAAGATAATTACGCACACCTCACTAAAACAGCATCAGCCTATTTGCCACACTTATTCACTGGCACCACTAATAATCCTGACGATGAGCACGCGCTTAACGCTGATGACTACGATTGGGCAATGTTCATCTCAGCTTATGCAGCCGGTAGATGGGATCCCTTCGAAATTCCCAGACCTCCTCTCAAATCTGCTTCTTCACTATCTGTTGATAGCCGCAGAACTTACTCAGCTCATCGAGCTTTAGATAAAATTGATAGACTTAGCACCACAAGGAGAAGGTCGTCTATAAATGAAGCTGACATTCCTACAACTCCTTCTAATTTATTAGATTCTCATTCTCCCTCTCATGCAGCCCCCAAATCTGGTCAAATTACTCACTCTGCTCCAATGTCCCAAGCAAATTCTAATGCTGAAAATGCTAATGACCACGCTAATGGCTTGGATGCTCCCATTTATCCTTTGAATTTGACCTCTCCTCGTCAAAATTCAGCTTATGGTGCTGATTTGGCCGTACAAGTTGCAACTCACTCTCTCGTACAACATTCTGACGAAAAGGCAAAGAATCAGTTCAAAGGAATTCATAAAGAGGATGAAAGACCGTCTAGTGCCCCAAATGGCACTCAAAAACCTCCCCTCTCTTCTCAGGATACCAGCCAGGGCTACTTTGATTATGTATCGCCAAAAAATCAAGAACAACCAGCTCCTATAGCACCAATTAAACCACCTGAGCGTCATTACTCTTTTGAATCCAGTGTGTCAACGGACACTTCCACACCAACCAATACTCGGCCTCAATTGCTCAACAGAGAGGACAGTGATCGAACAGTGATGAACGATGCAGGGCTTTCTCAGAATCCCGACTTTGATATAGACAGGCTAACCCAGGCCTTTGACAATCAGGCTATAGGCTCCACCTCACCCTCAGCAGCGTCCGCAAAAGCACTACCAGTTGAAATGAGTTCAATAAAAGACTCTATACCTTCAAGGCTGAGTTCAGATCGCATACAGCAATTAGCTGAGCAGCAATTCGATGAACTCACCTATTTGGTGCCTCCACTTCCCTTGAACGAAGACGCCAGAAGGAAGGAGTTGTTTAAATTTGACTTATTGAGAGGCACTCCAGATCTTTCTTTGGACAGGATACTTCATTTAGTAAAGCTGGTTTTTCAGACCAAGTGCGTCGTAATTAGTTTGGTGAATGGAGACACTGTGTTACTCAAAGCACACACTGGATATGAAGAAATGTTTGAGACGGATGTTAGAACTCAAGAGCCAAGAAATACTGCAATGAGTTCACATGCTATCTTGCAACAAAATGATGAACCTCTTGTCAGCTTAGATTTGACTAAAGACTGGAGATTTTCTAAAAATCCATCCTTCTCTCCCAAAGCAAAGTTTTACGCAGCTGCTCCGATTAGAACATACAATGGTTACAACATTGGTGCACTAGCCTTAATCGATTCTCAACCAAGAACTGAGTTCACACCGAGACAGAGGCACACTCTGAAGGAGTTTGCAGCCATTGTTCTGCGTGAAATGGAGCTATGGAGGGATAAATGCCAGATGAGAACTAGAGACTTGATCCAAAGTTCGATGGAACAATTCAACAGAGATATCTTAGAAATGAATTCTGCCGGTAATGCTAAATCAAGAAACGTCAGTGATATGCAAAAGGTATATGATAAGGCTGCAAAATTAATCAAAGATACTCTTGGTGTTGAAGGTGCTCTGGTTTTGGATATTTCTCAGTTCGAGGTCGCAGAGAATCTAGGTGATGATAATGAGCTTTATATGCCGGTGTGTGTTTTATCAACGCTTCGACTCTTTACTAATAACATTCAGGATCCCGTCACTAAGTCTTCTCAAAGAGAAACACCCTCACGGACGACGTCGTCAACTAATATCAACATGATGGATAGGCGAAGCAAATCTCATACGCAGCGGCCACCGCTAAACAAAACCAACACTAGTGATACTTACGCACGCTCTATTCCAATCCTGGCTGCTTCAGAGGATGGTCCTAAACCTCTTACTCGATTCCATCCAGTCAGTGAGGAGAACGCTGAAAAGCTGGCATGGTTTTTGAAACGTAACCCCGATGGTTACATTTTCGATTACGGGTTGATTCCGGGAGTTTTCAGGCAGTTTGTCGGTGTCAAAGAGAAGTACGGTATGGCGATAGTACCAATCTTCAACCTCTCGAATGATAAGGATGGTCCATTTGCACTACTTGTTGCTTACACTGGCGATCGCAAGCTTCTTCTTGAGGGTTATGAAATACAGTTTTTACGCGCGATGGGTGTCATCATATTATCTGCTGTTCTCAAGGAGAGAATATTACTGGCAGACAAAGCAAAGCAGAACTTTATCAGCAACATCTCGCATGAATTGAGAACACCGCTGCATGGTATCCTCGCAGCTGCGGAGTTGCTTCAAGATACAGAGTTGGATGAGGTGCAAGTGGAATTTTTGGACACTGTCAAAGCATGCGGCAGGTCTTTAAGTGAAACCTTGAATCATGTTCTTGACTTTACAAAGCTTTCTGGATCGAATACGAGCGCAGGTGTTGAAAGGGGCATTAGACTTTCTAAAGTCAATCTCAAGAGTCTGGTAGAAGAGGCTGTGGAGAGTACGATTATCGGATACAGGGGTAAATTTGCTGCGTCGAATGAAGGTCTTGGTGATATCTACGCTCCTCCATCTAGTTCTTCATCCTCACCTTCGCTCACTTCCCAAAAAGTCGATCAAATAACAAAAGCCATTCCGGTGGAAATACTCGTCGATGTCCAGTTCAGATCAAATTGGTTTTGCAAATGCGAGAAAGCGGGTTTGCGAAGAGTTTTGCAGAATTTGGTCGGCAATTCACAGAAGTTCACTAAACATGGTTACATCATGATCGTTCTCCGCGAAGCTCCTCATTCACCAGGCGCCAAGAAGATACCGATCGAATTGAGTGTCATCGACACAGGTAAGGGTATGTCAAAGAGTTTCTTGGATAGCCAAGTGTTCCAGCCATTTAGTCAAGAGGATCCCTTACAAGCTGGTACGGGATTGGGATTGGCCATCGTCAGCTCGATCATCAAGTCACCCTCTGTCAATGGACAGGTCGACATCAGAAGTCGTGAAGACTTTGGTACGGAGATCAAGCTGACTATTCCGATTGAAATCATCGATGATGGTAGTGGGGAAGAAAAGACTACTGACCAAGCGAACATCGTCGAGAAATTGGGTTACAGTCCAAATTGGAAGTTGAAAGTATCCATGCACGATTTCGATACTTCATCAATTGGTGGACAAGCACTCTACAACGTTACGTCTAATTACTTGCAGAATTGGCTTGGATTGGAGTGCGTTAATTCGACCACACAGAACAACTACCACGGCGATATTCTTGTGCTCAATGAGAGTCGGGATAAGTTGGTTTCTTTGATTGACAAGCGCGATGCACGCAAGCCGATCGTCTTAATCTCTTCGTCTAGAGCCGACAAGCAACTGTACGGCGCCAAAGTTGAATATGAAAGAATGGGTGGTATTGCTAGGATAATATACAAACCAGCAGGACCGACCAAATTTGACTCAGTGATGGTTACGCTGATTGACAGTCTAGCCCAGCGAACAGGACAACAGCGCAGTGAAAAGAAGCAGGGCAGCAACGTCGATTACACGGGAAGAAACCTGCCTATGCCATCACCTGCTGAATCATCGGGCTCTAGCAGATCAGACTACTTTGGTGACGGATCCGGAGATCACTCTAATGACAGTCCCAAGGGTGGTAATGATTCGTTTGAGAAATGGAAAGACAACGTACCGGAGTTCGTCAGCCCGTCCAGTCAACGCAAACCTTCGACTGATAGTATGATGTCTGTACAAAGAAGAAACTCTGACAAGTCGACAAACTCAAGCGCGACTCTGCCTACCAGACCAGGCATGGCGCCTCGGAGTGTCACGTTTCACAATACAACGGGTAACGTCCACAATAATAGCAGTAACAATGTGAACCAACTCAATCAGAACAAATCGGTGTCAGGGAATTGGTCAGCGTTTGCTTCTAGCTCGAAGGATACGCAAAGCAGCTCACCATCAACGCCTGGTTCAACTATTAGTATTTCTGGCGCAGGTGCTATACTCAAGACGAGCACTGAGGATGAACCCGTCAAGACACACGGTGAGCCGTTTAGAGTGCTTTGTGTTGATGACAACGCTGTCAATCTTAATCTGTTGACCAAGTTCCTCAAGAAGAAGGTGTGTTGTTTTATTACGGTTGCTTGCGCTAACACTTTGAAGGGATGTGAATATGTCGAAGCAACAGACGGAAAGCAGGCAGTGGATATTATGGAGGCCAATTCCCCTGGTTACTTCTCTGTGATTTTGATGGATGGTAGGTTTGCTGGTTCGATGGAAGTCAATCGCTTACAAAATGATTATTAGTCTCGATGCCGGTGATGGATGGCCTCCAAGCCACGATTGAAATCCGCAAAATAGAACAGCAGAGGAGGAAAGAAATGCGCGAGAGCCGAGACAAATCATTGCAAAAATCATACCTCACCGCTAAAGAGGGCGAGGTAACACCACCTGCTAAAATATTCGCATTGACTGGTTTGGCCGCTAAAGAGGATCGTCGAAGGGCATTTGGAGCTGGTGTGGATGGATACTTGATCAAACCTGCATCATTCAAATCTTTGGAGCTTCTTCTATCTCGAATTGGTGTTAGCAAAAAGGTACCGGCACCAACACCACCTACTACTTAATACACAGCTTTCATGAAAAGGAGCAATCTCACATTCTCAATTCGCGTTAGGTGTCCTTATCCTACATTTTTCATCCATCTCTATCTCTGTTTCACCTCCTTTTGGGCTACACTCTGAGGTCAAAAATCTCCCGATTTGCTTACGACAGTTTTGTCTGCTTTTCTTTTCTTTTCTTTTGTAATTTAACTCTTTACTATTACGATCAGCTTTATTTGCTTTTTCAGTGTTTGAGTGCGATTTAAGGTGGTAGTTTTTCGTTGCTGCTACTAGTTAACTGAATTACTCTCTGCATCAAGATGTGCAATTTTTTCTTATCTATCCCAACGTCATCATCAGAGAGAGTCGGAGATAACACTCTCACCTAGGTCCATCGATGAGCAGTGGGAAAAGTGAGAGCAGCCCAGTGACAGTGCATGGTAGGTGGAATTTGTCATCATAGTCTGCTCCTGCTTAAGTTTATGCAGTCTTGGATACAGTTTCTGGTAAGCCGGCGCAGGGGATAACAGTTGAAATCAGCGACGCGTCCAAGAATACAATGGGCATTGAGTGAGCAGTGTGACATAGTTACCAGTTTTACTCACTAAAATTGTCCAGAAAAACAAATGAAAATGGTCGCTGCGATACCATCCTAGAAAAACTCATACAGAATAGACCAGCAAAAGGCGCGTATAAAGCCAGGTTCTATACAGAGGAGTACTGGTCAAAGAAATATACAATACCATTCCATCCGTTTGTCGATGTCAGTATGAGTTTTTACCTTGTGTCTAACTCACGCTTATCATTGAAGGTTTGGTTCAGTATACTCAACACCAAGGAGCATTATCATGTGAGTCTAGCTTGCTTCTTAGCCGTGCATCCCTTCTGACGCCTTCAGATACCACTGCTCATCACTCCTGCCAGCTACACGACTTACAGGGGATCGTAGCGTGGCACTTGTGTAAGGTTTTTGTGATGATTCACGTTTATAATGAATGAAGCGATGGTAATTACAATGCAAGTTTTGGGTTAGTCATTAAGATTGTAGTATATGTTTTTGTCTTGGTAAGGTGTCTGAGTTTGTGAAGAGCGCGATGATGTGGCAGAGTTAGCAGAGCGTGCGGACATAGGTTGCTGCGCTCTTTTCTCGAGTTTCAGCGGTTTAGTTTGAGTTGGAGGCGTGTTGACTAGAGGTATTTCCCATTCCCACACTTGAGCCAGCCAAACTGCCAAACGATCAGCAGGGAATTTCTGGCTCGTCTTTTTCACCCAGCTATCTTGGAGGAGTTGAGAAGGCGATGGACGCGTTGCTGGATCTCTATCTAGACATTTTCTCACAAATGCCTTGATGCCAGACGACCATTTGAGACCTATTTCTGGCTCATCTGATAGTTCCGGTGGTTTGGATAGCGTGATCATATTTATCAGCTCTATCGGGCCCAGAGGCTCTTCGTTGGCTTCTTGGTACGGATATCTGTTCATGGCTACCTCGAGCAGTGTGAGTCCTAGCGACCAAACATCAGAATTTACTCTGTATCCCTGTCCTTTTGCATCCATTCGTTCAGGCTGAGAAGTGAGCTGTGATTGAGACAAAAGGTGCAAGAACTCACAGCCATATAGAACTGAGTACCGGTAAATGTCTCTGCTATACTACCTTGGAGTTCTCCAGATACACCAAAGTCACATAGCTTGACTTGACCATTCCGCGTGATGACAATGTTCGATGGCTTGATATCTCTGTGAATGATTCTCTTGCTGTGGAGATATTCGAGCCCTCGGAGGACCTATGTGGGGAGTGAGTAAAGTCATCACTAAGATACCCCACCCACGCTGAAAGCAATGTTCCCGAGTGGCTTCTCGCCAGTCCTTCCCTGTCTCTTACGTATATGTTTGTAGATTCTGTCGAGACTGCCACCCTCTGCGTACTCCATGCATACGTCGATTTCCGTGTTTTCTGAAGTTAGATAAGCGCCGTAGTATTTGATAATAGTTGAATGCTGGCAGTGCTTTAAGAATGATAGCTCACGCAGTAGCTGTTTGTGGATGGCAGGATCCGGGGAAGTTGACATGGATTTCTTAGCCATCACCATATCTGTGAGCTTATGCTTGACTTTAACGACGGAGCCACCAGCGCCCTCACCAAGTTTATCGATGACAGCGAGATCACGCGGGTTCATGTCGTAATCGTCGCCCAGTGGTATTTCCAAATCCTGTGGTTTGGGTGGTCGAGGAGGTGGAGCGGGTGCTGCGTAGACTGTCTTGTCGTAGTCGAGATTTGAAGAAGATGGCTGTGATGGCTGCAATTCTTCATTTGATGGTATGGCTAGCGATAGAGATGGTTTTCGCGCGTCGTGCGTATCCAGCTGATAACTCATCCCAGGAGCGTTATCGAGCTTTGGTATTTCAAGCTTCGGCATTGGCTTCCTTGATGGCTTCTTCGGAGGTAAGAATGCCATCTTTGTGATTTGTTGATTTCTTTTCGTGCTCGAGCTCTTGGCTGTCGATGGGTGAGGCGGGTGCACACACTCACCACGCACACCGGCCAAGATGGCCGCAGTGTGACTTTTAATCAGTCTCGTGAACCCAACATATATCTTCTAGAACACATTGCGCGTAAGATGTACACCACCGAGGGAATTACAAGTTAATTATAAATGCTGTTAGTAAATGTTACAAGAATGTTTTGATATTTGTTTGTTGTATTTGCTGCATTCGCAAGATATCTCAGTACCTCCTCGTGGACTGCGCGTGTGCATAGCTAACGCGTATTCTTCTACCGTCCTATGATTGAGATTAGAGTGCTCTCAGCTACTCACAAGGAAATACTCACCAACTCAACCTCATTCATACTCTCAAGCGCACTGAGCGCCTCCTTGTCGTTTGCGTATGTCACAAAGCCAAATCCTCTGGATCGGCCAGTAGATCTGTCTTTCATTACGACGTAGTCCTGTATTTGACCAAATGGACTGAATGCCTGGTCTTAGCGTAAGTACGGTGGGTACGGTGAGTACGCTAACGACGCTAACGACGATGACGTCTTATTTCACCCACTTGCACAAGCCCTTCATCGCCCGTGTTCCAGCTGAGATTTGCTGATATCCGCTGTCAGCCTACATGCTATTCTTCACGCTTTACTGACAAATGTAGATTTTTGAGTTTTCGGACATCGTGGGGAAAGTCTAAGGAAGTCTAACGGATGAAATTAAGTCATTATCATATACAATTGCTCTATTCTTATTCTATGGCTTGTCGATAGGTTGTTGAAGTTTTTGAGGTTGTTAACGTTGTTTGTTTGCTTGTTTTGTTTGTTGCTAATCAATTGCGCCGTCTATGCTTTGTCTATCCGATTGAGAAAATCTTTGACCAATTCATAAGTATAGAAAGATACTCCAATACTCGGCGCCACTGCATTTGTCAATTTATACACTCGAATCGTTTATCACTGTGACCCACCTAGATTTTATTAGCAGATGTAGGAAGATTTTCAGCTCATCTCAAACACACACCTTTCATCCAATTGGCAACTATACCTCTATATAAGCCCTTGACACTGTTTTTGAGAGTAATTAGGCATGCTTTATCGCAAAATACCCCACTCACCCCTCTGATTTGACAATATGTCTCACAGCATCGATCGATCCGTCGTATTTGAGTCCGAATATACCATTAACTTGCATCTTCCGTCTGAGGACGTCGCAGGGGTATCTGAAGAAGAAAGACGAGTGAGCATGTCTATGCGCAAGCTCACACCCTAACCCACGTGATTGTCTGAGATATCGTTCCAGAAACGGCGCCAATAAGTAGCGTCATACAGCGATTACTTTCTACAGGCACATAAGGCTTGAGTGCTTCGTATATAGCGAATGAGCAGCCGACATAAGGAGCGATACCGGCACATGACACCACTGAGCCACGATAGAGTGCTCTAATACCACCCTCTTCATAGTAGACCTTCTTTCCCATGCCCAAAATGCCTAATTGAGCATCACGGCGCGATGATTCGAGACCGAGACTGGCAGTTGCGATCGATAGTCTCGAGCGGACGAGATCTAGTGGGTATGTAGCAGTAACTGATGCACAGCCTGCTATTGCACCTGCTGATAATCTCTCTAGATTACTCAGATGTGCGTCTTTCCTCCCGCCGCCGAGAAAGACCTTGACAACCTCGTATGTAGAGAATTGTATTCCTGAGTAGGGGAATATGCGCAGACAGTTGAGATAGTTGCCGCGGTAGAAGCCTTTGAAACCTTCTTCTGTGTACATCTTCAAAAGTGAGGGCCAGAATCGAGTGTACTCTGAATTCGACTGGACTTGTTGAAGTATCTTGAGCCTCTCCATTGGACTAACAGCTGTGCGGGAAGCTGCACCACTGATTCCACCTGCTAGCAACCACTCCATGATCTTCCTCGACTGGAGATGCGTAGGGGTTGTCGTTGTGGTTTTGCTGGTGTTGTTGAGATTACTACTATTACTGCCACTATTTCCACCATTCAAATTACCACTCTGTTCCCCGCTTTCCCCGCGTAGATCACTATAAGCCATTCTCAATGATTGAACTAAAGATAGCAGATATATACCGAAAGAGCAACGAAATGTTTAAATTTTCAAATACAGTCTATGTTAATCACTTTATAGCATATTCCTCAAACTCGTTGTGAAAGCCTTTGGTGAGCCACCTGCCTCGGTAAACTTGGAAAGGAGCAATTCATCCGACATTGGATATGACAAGCCGAGAGTCTTGCCGAGAGATTCGAACACACCGACGGCTTCGGCGAAGGAGAGCTTGTTCATTTCTACCAATTTGAGACCTTGGGAGTTATTGAGATGGTTTACGTTCCATTTGTGAAATGGATTAACTGGCTTCTGAGGCTGCAATCCAAGTTGAGCGAGGAGTAAAGGTGGTATCTGCATGCTTGTAGGAGTGCTGGAGGTTGCTGCGACTATAGCACCCTTGCTGAACTGCTGTCTACCACTAATCAATTCGAGAAGTTTTGCGGTTACGGATAGTTGGTAGGGTTGAAGCTTGTTGAAATGCTGGTCTCTGTATAAGGTGGGTTGATAGAGTGCTTGGAGTGAGTCAATGGCAAGGAGTGTTGGGTAGGTGGACTGCTTGTTGAGTTCTGCGAAGACACCTTCAAAAACTTCAACAGCGCTTTGTTCAGATTTTGATGGATGCATGCAGAGATTGTATAGACTGTCATCCTTTTTCACTTGAGCGTAATCCTGTGAGATTTTAACATTTACGAGCTTGTCCTTATTTGATTCAGCGAATGATCTGAGCAAAGAAGCTGAGAGTGCTGGCTGTGACCAGATAGAGTTGCTTTGAGAAGGAGGCAGATAGTCATAGCTGCTGTCGACCAAGTGTTGAGAGTTTGGTATGTAAATGACCAGATAACCCGATTGCTGGGCGTAGACGACAGACTGGAGGAGAGAGATGGATCTGCCGCTGCCAGCGTCACCGTGAAGAACGAGTCTGGTGTCTTTGCTGGGGCTATTGGCAGCCTTGTCCAGATAGTCGATAGATTTCAGTGTAGAAGCGCGAATAACGGCGTGTGGTTGTGTTTGAGCGTCGAACTCTCTAGCCAGGGTAGGTGGGATACCCGTGTGCTTGATAAAGCTTAGATCGTTCTTTGTAAATTTCAAGGGAGAACCGAGTGAAGATTGAGTGAGGCGTTCTGGGAGGAAATCTGACATGAATGAGAGGTCTGGCTGAGGACCCTGAAGCTTCTCGTAGCGGGCTGTATTGGTGTGTGTCTGTGCTGTTGTCAGCTGAGTATATATGAGATTCGAGGAAACACACCTCAGTCTTCATTTTACCGCCGCCTTTATTCTTCTTAGTAAAGCTGTTAGACGCCTTTCTTGGGGCTAAAAGATGTAAGAGAGATGATCTAGCTGCAGTGCACTCCACTTACGCTGTGCCTTCTGGCCCTTCTTTGGTGGGAGATGTATTGAAGGCGTGCTGGTGAATTGCCTAACGCCTGTGAAGAGAGTATTCCTGGCTGATCTCTGTGCCATATGCGCCATCTGTGCCATTGTACTTTATATCTTCTATTTCCGAGATGGTGGTCGTAATCGGTCAAGGAGATGGACGCATCTTGTTCACAAACTACCAACACCAAATTCTAAATTCAAATCCCGAGTCGACTGATAGTCCTCATTGCAATGTCCAAGCCTGAAGTTCTCCCAATTAATTTCTCTGTCCCCGTTTCCGCGTACTCGTTCAACGCTGACAGATCAAAACTCGCTGTCTCCCCAAACAGCAACGTTCTCCAGATCTACGACAAGTCCCCCGCTGGCTGGTCTCTCTCGGCCGAGCTCAAGGAACACGACAAGCTCATCACTTCCATCGACTGGGCTCCACACTCCAACAGAATCGTCAGCTGTGCTCAAGACCGCAACGCTTACGTTTGGTCTCTCCACGCCAATCAATGGAAGCCTACTCTCGTACTCCTGCGTATAAACAGAGCTGCCACTTACGTCAGGTGGTCTCCCTTGGAGAATAAGTTCGCTGTCGCTTCAGGTGCACGCGCGATCGCCGTATGCTCATTCGACGCTGAATCTGATTGGTGGGTAGCCAAGCACATAAAGAAACCTCTTCGCTCTACCGTGTTGTCCATCGACTGGCACCCAAACAACGTCCTCTTGGTTGCCGGTTCTGCTGATGCCAAAGCCCGGGTATTCTCAGCCTACATCAAGGACGTCGACTCAAAGCCATCACCCAGTGTGTGGGGTGAGCGTCTTCCTTTCAACACTATCTGCGGCGAGTACTCCTCTCCTGCTGGTGGTTGGGTGCACAGTGTAGCCTTCTCTCCCTCCGGCAATGCCATTGCATTTGCCAGCCACGATTCCAATCTTAGCATTATATACCCCACAGGCGTCGACAATCCGCCTTCTGTGTTCAACGTCCGCTTGACTTCGCTGCCCCACGCTTCACTCACTTTCCTCACCGAGGACAGCATTGTCGGGGCTGGATACGATTGTCAGCCTATGCTCTACCAACTCGTCAACAACAACAGCTGGCAATTTGTCAAATCTCTCGACGACGCAACGGGCGCAGCTAACCAACCTAAAGCTGGTGTATCCGGTAGACTGAACAACACCGCCTTTAACGCTTTCAAGGCGGCAGATAGCATGGGCGCTACTGCTGGCATGACTGGCGTTGGCACGGGTGATACCGTCCTCACAACCGTTCACCAAAACACTATCACCGCCGTTAACCCTTTCGCAGGTGCTCCCGGTCACCTCACTCACGTATCCACCGCTGGTATTGACGGGAAGATCGTCATTTGGGATATTAACTCTGGCGGCGCTGGTGTAGCTGGTCTTGTTAAGGAAACCTCCCAAATGGGTTTGTGAGGTCGGCTAGATGATAAATGAATGTTGATATTTTCTTTACATTTGTTGATTAGCTGATTACTTTGTCTATATCCCACAATACAGTGTTACATCGGGGGTGTTAATATGAGGTCTTACCCTCAGTTGCGCTCTATGGTATCACACTCGTTGGCCTTTCGCTGAATTTCTCCACGTGGGTCAATTAAAAGTGCGCATATATAGAAGGATACTCACGACGGAGCGTTTGGAGGTAAAAGACTCGTTGTCGATGCTCTCATCTCCTTCTTGTCGCTTAGGTGGACTAAACGAGTGTTTGTCGTCCGAGTAGCGAGGCAGGGGTGTTTCTGAACGCGACCCGAGCGGCTCTTTGCGCGACTTATAGCGATCGTAGATCTTTTCCAGTCCGCTAAGGAATATTTTACTTTTGCTGAATGTGCCACCGCCCTGGGTACTATTCGAGCTACTCTTGGCATTCGTGCCATCTTCGCCGCCGCGTGGACCGACGAAAGACCAGCTTGTCTGATCACGCATTTCGCGGGAGACTTTGCGTGACTTGCTGCATTTGGCTGTAAGTTGAGCAATCCAGCTGAAAGGGGGTGGGAGGACGCTACACCAAGCGTCAATCGAGCACATGCTGCGCGCCTCCTTGACCTTAGTCCCGAAAAGCCCGAGGAGGAGGTTGATGCAGGCGACTATAGCGAGTGCATAGAGACCAACAAGCGCACTCTTGCGCGTCTGCCTTTGTGAAAGGCCGGTGAACACCACACTCACCTCCCACAACGCGGCGAAAAGGAGACCATACTCACTCCCAATGAGGGGAATATGCGTGGAGAAGGCACTGTTGTACACCTCACTCAATGCGAGAATCCAGCATTGGGTGAAGAGGCAGAGGTGGGTGAGGAGACTCCAGACGGGTCCCATGAAGTGGGTGGGTATGTCTGTGCCGTCCGAGTAGCCGTTCGTACCGTCGATCCCACTCACCCAGGTATCTACATGCTTCGACTGCACAATTGTTTCAATTAGCTGCGTCACGGCGACCAGCACCAGCACACCTATCGTGAGCAGTCTGAGCATATTGAGCGCAATTCTGATTGGTCCTTCAAGAAGCATTTCCTGGCTCGGTATCTGTTGTATTCTATCTGATGAGTGCAAGTGTGCGTGTGTGCGTGTTTTAGACGAGCCAGCGTCTGGAATAACTTAGCAGATGATTAGCGTTGGTGGCAGACTAACGAGGAATTACGCGTCAGCTTTACCGCCTTTCTCTCCTCAAAAACCCCCATTGTTTGGAGAACAATGAATTTTACGCAGGAACACAGGTACCACTGTACGCAAAGGTGTGTATATTTAAACGTCTGGAATCAGCCTGGAGAGGTTTTGGAGGGGTTGCTCGGGTGTATTGACTCGGTGTTGAGTGTCTCGCTTTTCGGCGCTTCTGCTAGGCACCAGTTTGCAGCGAGCCAGCCGAGCAAAGAGGACGGGACTATGCGGATAAATTTCTGCAACTATCAGGGCATACACGCAGCTACACAGCTATACAACTCATAGATAGAATAGTGCACCGACGTCATCCCCTTCCTCTCGACAGCCATCTACTTGATTTTGAAATACAGAAAATGCTGAGGATAGGTGCACTCAGAAGCAGCGCAAGATTGTAAGCATATTCAAACTCAGTTGGTACAAGTCCCCTGAGCATACGATTCACACGATTCAGATACTCCACGAGCAAAGACAAGTTCAGCGCACCGATCGTAGAGTCGTTGAAAGGTGAGTGGCGCAGGAACACGCTAGTACTCGACGCAAACTCGCAACACGTCAGGCGGAACAGCACTCGAGGAGCCTACACCCGGAATAGCCCCACATGAAAATGCACAGGACGCGCGAGAGGCCAAGGAAGACACCCCAGCTGGACCCACTCTCGCCGACGTCGAGCATCTTTCTCCAGAAGACCTCGGTGGCGGTGAAGTGGGTGAGAGAGCTCTGGGAGATAAGGGCCAGCAGAAGGATAAATAGGGGTGAGAGCGAGAATGTTGCACAAGTCAATTTGCATGTATTTAAAGGATTTCAAGCTATCACAAGCTATAGTAAGCTAGCACAATTCTAGAACTTGAACACCTTCTCTATTGGCACACCAAGCTGTGCAAGTGCACCGCTGATCTCTCCTTGCGAACCATCCTGTGCTTTGTTGCCCGAGATAGCCTCCATCTGCGGAGGTGGTCCACACACGAATATCTGATAAGCACGTCAGCCACGCTACTCAGGATACTCAGGCTACCCAATCTACACTCACTTTGTAATTGTCAGTGTCCTTGATTTGATCTGCTATCAGATCCTTGTTGATAAAGCCATGCAAGCCATCCCAGCTGCCATCTGGCTGATCGACCGTGTACACAACTCTGAAGCGCTTCGCATGCTTCTTTTCCATCTCGTTAAACTCCTCACGCAGGAGAATATCCCCAGGCGTTTTATTACCGTAAAGGAGCGTGAAACATGTCTTGTCGTGTGCGTCATCTAACGAGTGAAGGAGTTGCTGATAGAGTGGAGTTATACCTGCGAGTGGAATATGAGTTTGAGGATATGCTCTGCTCTTCACCCACCTGAGCCACCACCAATCAAGATAACCCTATCCCAAGTATTTGGCTCATACTGGATTTTTGTTATTTGTTTGCCTATGTCGACGTGATCACCAGGCTGCAATGAGTGGAGGTGGGGCGTCATCTTGCCATCCTCATAACGCTTGATGGTGAATTCAATCTCTCCGCGCCTGTCAACCTCGCTCGTCGGCGTGTAGGGACGCATGATTGGATTCTTCATCCCTGGCTTGTGCCACCTCATCATGGTAATCGCATTGACGTTGAGACCGCAGTAGCTGTCTGGAGATGACAGAGCAAAGGTGAAACGCTTGACGTCGTGGTTTACTTGTTGGGTGCGGATAAGACGGTGTGGCTGGAATCCATCGGCTTTGAGACCATTCGCTGGCTGTGGAGATTTGTAGACCATCTGTTGTACTCGAGTAAATCTAATCGTGGTGGATTGAGTTCAAGGAGAATGACTGCCCGAGAAATCACACTTGTTCAAAATTGAGCGTATTGAGAGATGAGTAGGTGCATGTTATGCACTGAGCCTCATTGAGTATATCAGTGTACTCATCTCTGCAATTTTGGATGAAAATCCCAGCCACTATCAATTGTGGGCATTCGGGCCCTCTTAATTAAGCACGACAAACACGATTAAGAAGAAGAGGAAGAAACGGCACACAAGATTAGCGCAGAGTACTAGATTAAATTGTTATCAGTACAGCCAGCGCATTTATAGTCACATCGATTTGCCACCAGCAACCAGCCACTAGTCACCAGCCACCGGCATAGCGATAATGTTCTCAATCCAAGCTGCATCTGCAGCTTTACTTTAAGTGGTTATCTATCACGGTTATTGTCCTCACTTTGAATTTATTTGAAATATTCAAAGTTAGGAACTCTTTAAAATGACAGAAATCTGGCATTATCAGAATTCGAGCCACAATTCAAACTACAATTCACCAGCCTCAACGTCCTCTTCAGTTCACTCCAACCACTCCAACCACTCGTCCCAGTACAACACCTCTCCAACCTCCTACGATAACAACTCGTCGAATGAGTACCTCCCCAGACTACAATCCCTCTCTTTGGATGCTCCCAAAGCTCCAGTCGCACAGCCACTTCCCACTCCACCAACCGCCTCTTCCGCTAGAGGCACTAAACGTTGCAGATCATCCTCATATGCCTCGGACAGCTCACAGGGCAGCTTCTCGGCTAGCCCCTCTGACGATCTAGTTGCTCGTGAAAGGAAATCTTTTGCTGACGGTCTCATTGGTAAGTTTTTATTACCATTCGAGGTCAGTGTTGATTTAGTCATTTCATTCTAGACACCGCCGTATTCACCGTTGAAGCTATATGGAAATGTCCCTTACCTGAAGATCCTAGTCCTAGATCCATCGAAGATTCTCAACTGCCTTTGAAGTGCTTTATTAGGGAGACCCTGCGCAGATCCAAGACATCGTCGCATATCCTCCAAGTTGCACTCTTTTACTTGTTCAAAATTAGAGATAAAGTGAAATGCAGACGAGCCGAAGCTGCTCAGATGTTGTGCGGCAACCAGGTTGAAACATGCGAAGACAGTCTCCTCTGCGGGAGGAGAACGTTCCTCTCAGCACTGATCCTATCAAACAAGTATCTCTCGGAACGGAATTACAGCAATCGTGCGTGGTCGAAAATGTCAGGTTTGACTGCAAACGAGATAAGCTCGAATGAGAGAGCTTTCTTGATACTGATAAGCTACGATTTGAACGTGTCTGAGTCGACATGGAGACGTTGGGTGGCGTTTCTCGGTACGTTGGTGGACAAGCAAGCCAAGTTACCACAGACATCCCAATCAGAAGACGTTGATGATGAGAGAAGCTGCAAACGCACTTGTCTGCAGACTTCGCCGTCCGGTTCGAATACTGCCACACCGAAGCCATCGTCAACTAGACTGAATGAGCAGGTTTCACAGGGCGTGGAATCATATAGTAGCAAGGTCAGTTGGGAGGGTGTTAAAGCAGCTTCAGCCTCGAGTACAGCAGCAGTATAGATTCTTTTCATTGGGTTTTATCTATTTTATCTCAACTTCACATTATCTAGCCGGGTTAATAGTGAGTACTATGTGCAGCTTATTTTCTATGTCTATCACAAATAATGTTGTAAAAACGAAATTTATTTCAATTTAGATTTTCATTTTAGCAGCCACACACTAAAGTCACTCCAACTTGTACTATCGCGAGGTGACGCGTGAAATGAGAAGATCAGCGCGCAATCAAAGTGCAGTGGAATTAGAGACAGAAGCGCAGAGGCAGATGCAGGCTAACACGCCCAGTAAGAATAAGGTTGTGGACGTAAAGAAACCCAAGAAGCTAGCAGCGACTGATTCTATCGTCAAACTAAAGGGCAGCTCAGATGATGAGACTGAGAATAAGCCAGCGGTAACGCCTAGAAGATCGAGGAGAAACTCGGAGCGTCCGCAAGAGAGGCCCAGCTCATCTAGTTTGGAGTTTAGAAACACCCCATCTAAAAGTACACCAAGGAGAGCGACACCAATCAGAGCAACACCACCGTCGTCCACATCCAAACCAGCTGCACTAGCAACCAAAGCAACCAAAGCAACCAAAGCAACTCCCGTCAGGTCGATAACACGCACAAGCACACCCGTATCAGCGGATAGGGCTAAAGCGCGCGCACAGATGGCAGAAGATGCTGAAGGCGAGCCTAGTAGTAGCAGTAGTAGCAGTAGTAGCAGTAGTGACGAAGAGCGCCATGCTTCTGATTACAGCAAGAGCGACAGCGGAGAAGAGGATGAGATAGAGGCGGACAAGAGCGACGACGATGACGTGCATGTCGACGTGAAGGATGAGATTCTCTCAAGTGATGACGACACAGACACGCGCAAGAGAAGACGCGGCGGCGTGAGTGCGACACCGCGCAAAAACAAAAGCAGGATAATGGGAAATATTACTCCATCTGCTAAGCGTAACCTGCAGCAGAGAAGAGCTGCCAATTCGTGGGTGTGAATCAAGTCAGCCAGTGTCTATCTAACCCCAGCCATAACTTCAGAGTAAGACCACTTCCTGCACCAGCTATTGAAAGCTTGAACGATACCACAGACAGAGATGCTGTATCTCTGTCACGCGCTTTGCTCCACGTAGGAGCTACTCCAGGATACCTCCCTTGTCGCGAAGATGAGTATTTGATGATTGAAGGGTGCATTGAGAGTCTACTTGAAGATGGACAGGGTGGATGTGTTTGTGAGTGGCTAGCTACTTCCTCTACAAGGCTTACACGCTCAGATATCTCTGGTACACCAGGCACTGGTAAAACAGCCACGGTACATTCAGTCATTAGAGGGCTGATAGACCGTTCAAATAACCAGGTGCGGTTGGTTTTAGCGTCTTATTCTTCTAACAATCACGTGCAGGAAATATCGCCATTCAAATATGTCGAAATTAACGGGCTCAGAGTCTCAGAACCGGCACGCGCGTATCCTATTCTTTGGGAAGGTCTCACCAACGACGCGATGAGTCTCTCTCCCAGAGCTGCTTTGAACGCTCTCGAGAGGTATTATGGCGAGGGTCAGAATGACCAAGCATGTGTCCTGCTTATGGACGAGCTTGATCAAATGGTTACAAGCAAGCAGAGTGAGGTTTATAACTTTTTCAATTGGCCCAATATGCCGCGTTCGAAGCTTATCGTTGTCGCTGTCGCCAACACCATGGACCTTCCTGAGCGTGTTTTACGCGGTAAAGTTAAGAGTAGATTGGGTGAGTTATATGTGTGTTTTATCTGACACTATGCTTAACTCTATTTCTTTCTAAGGTATGGAACGCATCAACTTCGCTCCTTACGACCGTATGCAGTTGATAGAAATAGTGCAATCGCGTTTGCGCTACGCGATTAGTTTGGCCGAACAACGCGACTACTCGCTTCTCACAGACGAAGACACACGAGGGCTATTTGACGAGGACGCAGTAAAGATAGCAGCTGCGAAAACGGCTTCTGTGCAGGGCGACGCTCGACGGATGCTGGAAGTGTGCAGACAGACGCTCGAACGAGCGGCTTTACTGCCCGTCAAAACCAGCAACGTTCAACAGACGCTTAAAGCAATGTCACTCAGCCCTCTCAGTCGGATGATGGCCAATCTGAGTCTGTCTGCGAAGATCATGCTCGTATGCGCGATGCGATGCGCTGCTGCAGCTGGAATGGGAACGGGGGAGTGTAGGTGGGGCGATGTGTCAAGTTTGCACCAGAAACTCTCCTCACAGTTGGTGTCATACACACCGGTCATCCCGCTCAGTAGGACTGATCAGTATCAAGTACTATCCAACCTCGCCGCTACCAGAATCGTGCTTGCTCACGAACCTGGTGCTCCAAACTATGGCCTCAATAAGGGAAGCGATGCCGAGAGAATGATTATTTTGAATGTTCCTGAGGCTGACGTGAGGAGAGTGCTGGGTGAGGATACTAGATTTCATTCTGTATTGGGATGAAGGTTTTCTGAATGTATTGGTGGATGTATTTATGGAGTTCGTTGATGAAATTATTCACTTCGCCTGTCTTAGCTTGTGTGGGAGTTTTATGTGAGCGTGTCTGTATATTTCTTATGTTGTAGCCATGTGTATGTCTTTGTGTGTGCGTATTCACGCGTTTGCCCAGTTTTATTATCTTCCTCACTACCACCATCACCAACACCACGCCTATGGGAGACTTCCATAAGATCCACCGATATTTCAGTCCGCTACTATCAATACTCGCAGATAGCAGCGTCGAAGATCTCCTCGGACGGTCTAATTCGATCTCCACGCTATCAGATCTCTTGCGTCCATTCGACGTATTGCATAATGTACCTCTGCGGACGAGTCTCTTGGAAACGCACCACGCACCCTCCTTCTATCTACGCTTCAATGAGCTCGCTCAGCTTGATGCCGACGCCGATGAGTTGCACAGCGTCGTAGAGAACGCAGCAAATGATGCATTGGATGTACACGGTGCACAGAATCCACTCAATCAGTATGATCATTTCGTAGACGCAGTTCTCTCCCACCACGACCTCCTCCCGTACTCCACCTTCCATCATCCGGCAGCATTTATCCTCGCAACGACCACGACACACAGCGATCCCATAGCACAGCTCGCTCGACTCGCTCAGCAGGTGTCGCTGCCAGATGCCTATGCCAAGCGCACATACATGAACGCGACGCCCAACTATGTCCTCCGATACTACGTCCTCATACACGATTCACAGGATGGCAGTATTAGTATGGATGGCGCGCGTGAGCTGCTGGAGAAGGCTAAGAGGGCACATGGGATTCACTGTGCTATGCTAATTATCAACTCTAAGGACAAAGCAGGCGTACATACCAATGACGATCTCGTTGCTCGCACGTACGGAAACGCTAGCGGTCACAGTCTCGACGCTTCAGATCTCACCGTCGTGAGGGCGTTCGTCAGGGAGCTTGTCGTCCAATCACTCATACCATGGATGGAAAAATGCACTCGTGACTGGAACCAGCTGGTAAGTTGGTTCTTGGTGGCTTTTAAAACTTGCTAAATAAGCTCCAACCCAGTTCGTTGCAAATAGGAAGGGATTCGCTAATAAGCTGTTCTCTTCCTTTGGCGTTTCGAGGAAGTGGACTGCGCAGCAATCACCCGCTAGAGCTATCAACAGCGCTGCTTCGCCAGGATCGTTTATCAGCTCAGAGAAGATGTAAGTGGTGTGTTTGTGTGAAGCTGTAGCATAAGCGTTACGTCGACATTCTCATATTAACATTCACACTCCAAGATACCCATCAACTACCCACGAAGCTACCTTCCGCAGACTGGCAGACTTTGCTTTCATGTTACGTGACTACAAGCTCTCAGCTCAGGTATACAGTCAGACGCGGCGAGATGTGGCCGAGGAGCCCGAAGCATATCACTACGCAGCCTCTGCTAACGAGATGCTGGGGCTATCGCATCTTCTCTCTCCGCACTCTCCAACGTCGACACTCGACCTCACACTGGAGCACCTCAAAGAAGCTTCGCGCGTGTGGGGTGAGACGGGAGAACGTAATGACAGCGCGCAGGCTGTGCGTGCTACGATACTATTCGTCGAGTCATTCAGAGCGCGCGGATCATCTGGTCTAGTCATACCTGCAGCACTCATCGGTGCGGCCAGCGGAGGTGCTGTGCACCACGCCATAATGCTCAGTGAGGCTGCATTGGCGTATGAAAACCACGTTAGACCTTACAAGCGCAAGGCGTGTCTCTACTATGCCAGGGCAGCATCTTTATACGAAGCCAATGGGAAATTGGAACATGCTAGATGGTGCTACTCTCACTGCGATACTAGAAAATTCCCCTTTGTCGTGCAAGCTCTAGGTAGGCTAGCTAGTGAGTCCAACAAGCAGGAGGCTGCTAATCTTTTCACTGAGGCACTGCGCTATGATGGTGATGAAGCGCTGCTAGATAATTGGAGACTGAGTGTTAAAGAAGAGGGCGTTGATGTGAAATCCCTATCACTCCCATTCCCTTTTTTCGATAAGTCAGCGACTGTTATCTACGACCAAAGTCAGAATTCCACCACGAGCAGGAGATCGGAGGCTATTTTCAGCAGCCTTGAGCAAACGCTGGATGTAGATAGCAGCAAGCCTGATGCAAGTGTCGACGTAGACGCAGGAGAAACCTTCCACGTCCAAATATTCCCCCGCAACCCTTTCCATGGCGGCATAACTTTGAGCGACCTGGAGCTCAACTTCGATGGCGATGGGAGGGTGGATGTGGAGCGACTCGACAATTTGGTGGAACTGGCTGCCATGCAAGCCCTTCCGCTTACCTTCAAATGCAGTATACCCACCCCATCTGCCGTTAAACTCAGCAGCGTTTCCTTCACACTGGACGGGCTTGCGAGGTTTACAGAGTCATTGACGAGGAATGGACGGAGACTGAACGATACCAAAGAGCAGCGCATCGGCAGATTCTATGCGCCCGACTTATCACTACAGGTTAGAGCCCACGAAGCGTCCCCGAAGCTGTCGGCGAGCTTAGTGGGTGTCCCGCAGCGCATGGGTTTGGGCGAGGGGCGTTTAGCTCACCTCGTCCTCAACAACACCGGGCTATTGGATGTGGACGATATTCGAGTGGCGGTTAATGAGCAGTCCTTTGTTGTGCTCGGTGTGGATGGCGGGATAGATAGTGCGCTCGATTTTTACAAACAGCAAAAAGGTGCGAGTAATGAGAAGTGTCGTGTCGAGAACAACTTGCTGCCCACTCAGCCGTTGGCCCTCCATGAGAGTATCAGAAGCGGGGAGAAGATGTCCATTCCCGTGCTCGTCAGAGGCGATGGCGTGGGCAAGCGAGCACTCCATCTACTTATCACGTACAAGCAGAAGGTGTGTTTTGTTTAGTTGCACTTACTCAGCTAACTCAGGATAGGATCGCACTTTACAACCTAGCACATCACAGCATGAAAGATCGCAGCGCACTTGGCACTCTCAACACAGCGTCAAAAGATTGCTGCACATAGTCGATATTCGACCAGTGGTGGATGTGAAACTCGCCGCACATCCAAGCAAGGCGCCAGTCGGCGGCTACGAGCTTTCGCTTGAGATAGAGAATGTGGTGCCTGATTCGCAGGTAGACATAACGCAAGTGACGTTTGTATCTCCTGCATGGAAATGCGTAGGGGATCTGCAGGAGATGTCGCTGAGTTTTGAGGAAATGGTCAAACAGCATTTCAGGGCGGAATTAAGTGAGGAGTACGTAGCGTCGGATGGATATAGGACGCAAGAGTACATGGTGGACAGGATGGCGACGTATTTGCAGGGCAAAGATATGGCAGATACGCACCCACCGCCTGTGCATGTGCTCGCCACACACCTCGCCAACGCAACGGATGAATACATCCCATTTACTCAGACATCGCTCTTGAATATCATGATGAACGCTAGACGCAACCTCCGGCAGATCACACTGGCACACGAATTCAAAAGCTTGCACAAGGACTTGCAGCCTCACCTGTTCCCGCTCATGGAGATGGGTGAGGGGGACGTAATGGTGTGCTGGCGGATGGGCGACAGGGTCGGACACGCGCTTGTATCGGGACTGGTGATGGGCGCGCGAGAGGGACTTACGGGGAGGATAGCGGAGAGGGTGAAGCAGTCGAAAGATGTCAGGAGCGTCTTGTACGCGTCGACAATCAAAGAGCGCGAAAGAACACTAGTGGAGCTGAGCAAGAGTCGCTACAACGTGAACGACATGCCGATCATCGTTAACACTTACACGCCATCGACTATCAACCACCTTTTCGAACAAGAACCTGAGTTAAGGTTGAGCGTCGACGTCAGTCTGTTCAATAACTCGATCAGTAAAGAGGTGGAGTGCACGTTGAGCGTGAGGGATAAAATGGAGGGGCTGACTGTGCCGACGAGGATTTTTGAAAGGACAGTGCAGCCGCAGCAGGCGGAGATGGTCAATATACCACTCGTATGCACCGCACCCGGTGTGCACAAGTTAAGGGAGATGGTCCTGTCATTGGGGACATCGAACTATGTCGTCAAGTTGAATGATATTGTTGTTATTTAGACAAATGCATTGCTAGATCTAATTGAAATACACCACTTACCTTAATATGAATCATATATTGCGTGAACAAAAGAAAATTCTCGTAAGTCAGTCCACAAGTTGAAATGTTCTTGGCTGCTGATTATGATTAAAACTTATAAATAGCAATTTACGATCCAATGAGCTACATAGATTTCCCTTTACACATGGTACCGGTAACAATAGCTTATACGAATTATTTGGGTTGCTTCATCGGCAAACATACTAAAGCACTACAATTATCCAGCTATGACAGATTAACACCATTTCATTTAGAAGACTTTTCCATTAAATCTCTTCCAAAACCAAAGTCATTCGAGCCGGAAAATCTTAATCCAACCAAAATCGCCCAAACAACCTTATTCTCAGGAATAATGTCGTTTATTTACTTCAAATATCAATGAGCAGTAGCAGAGCTGTGCTCAATCCTTGACTCAGGGATTAAGCACTGCGCAAGAGGACTGCTACGCAAACACAAAGATCAAAATGAAGGAAAGCCTTGTGTCTGTCCTCAAGTTACCTGGATTTCTACGCTCCCACTCAAAAAGTACGTGATTTTTCATAGGCAGGTTAACTTTGTTTTAGCAAGATGGGCACATTTGCAAAAGGAGAAAGGAGATAGAAGTAGTTCAACTACAACAACAAATACAAATCGACCACCTTTTCACTCACCACTCAGCCCACAACGCTTCAAGACCAGCACTATAATGCGTTGATCACAAGCGGATAGAAAGCGATTTTGAGATAATGAGAAATAGATTCAATTGGTGTTGAAATAGAATAAAGGTGACAAAGCTCATCTGAGTAGCCAGGGCTTTCCTCGCTTCATCAGACTTCAGACTTCAGACTTCTTTTTGGAAAAATCTTACGAATCAGATGAGACGGCTCACAGGAGAAATAAAGGGATAATGAACAAACAAGTCCTGAAATTTGATGGTGCTTATTAAATATTAAGCCTAACCTGAACCTCACCTACGATAAAGCAATTTGGTTTAGATTCTCGAAGGAAACGTCATAATGATTTCCATTGAGAACTATCTACTATCCTTGTTGGAACATGGACTTTCCTTTCTTGAATTCTTACGTCTGCCACCAACAACTTTAACATTGTTAGTCTTATCCTAATCACATACTCAAACTCACTCTCACAAGGCAACCACTGAAGGTTTGACAATCAAGCTATGGAACCACCTAAGATTACGATAGAGACGAGTCCCAATTCGCCCCAACCGAGCTACACAAACGACCGCAGAAACTCCGAGTCGCTGGCTGTCCCCACCACCTCCAAAGACCCTTTTACAGACGATAATGCTAGCACAAGCTATAGCACTCCCAGCGCACCCAGTACACCCCCAAAGAAGAAGAAGAAGGAGAAAAAGGAGAAGAAACCACTCGAGCCACGCCGCGTCGATAACCTCGGCGCCTTCGCCTTCCAGCCACACATCCTCACTGACTGCGTCGGCTACAAACAGTTTGACACTCTGCGCGACGATATCGGCGGCATTGATGGTCTTGCTCGTGGCCTAGGAACTGATCTTCGCGATGGTCTCCGTGCCGAGGCCTATTCCCTCAGTGGCAAGCCAGACCCCAGTGGTCCTCCCCAGGGAAGAGCGGGTTCCGCCAGCGAAGCCAGCGGCTTAGAAAGGCAGCGTGTGTACGACAAGAACGAGATTCCACCGAAAGAAACCAAGAACTTTTTCCAGCTTATGTGGATGGCTATGGAAGACAAGCTGCTGCAACTCCTCATAGTAGCTGCGATTGTCGCCCTAGCTTTGGGTATATATCAGGCTGTGGATTTCCCCGCACCCGTTATCAGATGCTACAATGACGCAACGGGGAGATATGACGCATACTGCACAGAACCACAAGTCGAGTGGGTCGAGGGTGTCGCCATCCTCATCGCCATCATAATCGTCGTCCTCGTCGGCAGTATTAATGACTATCAAAAGGAGCTACAGTTCATGCAACTAAACAAGAAGAAGGAAGACAGAGATGTGAAAGTTAAAAGAGATGGCAATGAACAGCACATAAGCATCAAGGATGTCCTCGTCGGCGACATACTGCAGCTCGAAACAGGCGACATCTTGCCTGTCGATGGCGTCTTTATCGGAGGTCACAACATCAAGGCAGACGAGTCTGCAGCGACTGGTGAATCTGATGCCATTAAGAAGGTCACCTTTGACGATTATGCATCGTATCTTGACACCCTCAGCGAACACGACAAAACTAAGAGTCAAAAGAAGGATTGCTTCTTGCTATCCGGTTCCAAGATTACCGAGGGCGTGGGTGAAATGATCGTCGTTGCCGTCGGTCTGCAATCCTACAACGGTCGTATCCTTGCCAGTCTAAATGACGAAGATGACGAAGGCACTCCCCTTCAAAGCAAACTGAACGACTTGGCAGAGTTGATTGCAAAGGTGGCTTCTGTTGCTGGTTTGCTCCTCTTCATCGCCCTCATGATAAGATTCTTCGTGGGATTGAAAGAGAATCCAGACAGAACCCCGCGCGAGAAGGGTCAGAATTTCATTGAGATTCTCATCATATCGGTCACTCTCATTGTCGTTGCGGTCCCTGAAGGACTTCCGCTCGCTGTCACTCTAGCTCTCGCTTTTGCCACCAAGCGTATGACCAAGGCCAACCTTCTCGTCCGCCTTCTTGCTTCTTGTGAGACAATGGCGAATGCAACTGCTGTATGTACAGACAAGACTGGAACGCGTGGGTATAGCCTTCTTGAGCATGTTTAACACCTCCTAATATGTCACAGTTACGCAGAATGTGATGAGCGTCGTCGCTGGCACCATTGGAATCAATGCTAAGTTCGTCATACGGCTTGAAGAAAACGCAGCAAGGTCAAATGCAGACCAACTGAATAGCGATGAAAAGTACACTGGCGGAAACTTTACTGTTGACTCCAATGATCTATCCAATCACATCAAGGGTCCACTCCGCAAGCTGTTGTTTGACAGTATAGCGATCAACTCTACAGCTTTCGAAGACAAGAACAAGGAGACTGGTGAAATTGAATTTGTCGGCTCAAAGACCGAAACCGCACTCTTGCGCTTCGCTAAAGAGCGTCAATGGGATGACTGGCGGAACGCCCGTGAATCAGCCGAGATAGCGCAAATGATACCCTTCTCATCCGCACGCAAAGCTATGGGTATGGTTGTGAAGCTCAGCGACGGTCACTACAGGTTATACGTGAAGGGTGCATCAGAGGTGCTTGCAGGGCTTGCAACCAAGAGTGTTTCAATTGATGAAACTGATTCTGAAGATATACCAGTGTTTGATATGTCCCAGGCTGACCGTGAGAGCTTGAACGAAACCATCAAGTTCTATGCAACGCAGTCGTTGCGCACTATAGCCTTATGCTATAAAGACTTCGCTGAGTGGCCACCGAAGAAGGCATCAATTGACGAGACTGGAGATGTTGAATATGATAGCATTGCGACGGACTTGACATTGGTCGGCATTACTGGTATAGAAGACCCTCTTAGACCTGGTGTATCTGACGCCGTAAAGAGAGCTCAAATGGCCGGCGTTAAAGTAAAGATGTGTACTGGTGACAATGTACTGACTGCGCAATCTATCGCTAGACAATGTGGGATCCTGACCGAAGGTGGTATCGTTATGGAAGGAGTCGAATTCAGAAATCTCAGTGAATACGACAGAATAAGTTGTGTTCCGAATCTGCAGGTTCTTGCTAGATCATCTCCCGATGACAAGAAGATGCTAGTTCAGACGCTCAGAAAGTCTCATTCGGAGACTGTCGGTGTCACTGGTGATGGTACAAACGATGCACCTGCCTTGAAGGCTGCCAATGTCGGTTTTTCAATGGGTATCGCTGGTACTGAGGTAGCCAAGGAGGCCTCCTCGATCATTCTCATGGATGATAATGTGGGTGGATTAACTTTAAATGTGCTCTTGCAACCCACTTACACCTTTCTAGTTCGCTTCAATTGTCTCAGCTATAATGTGGGGCAGGTGTGTGAACGACTCGGTAAAGAAGTTCTTGCAATTCCAGCTCTCAGTCAATGTGACAGCAATTCTCATTGTCTTTGTCACGGCAATTGCATCAGATTCGGAAGAGTCTGTCTTGTCGGCTGTTCAGCTGCTTTGGGTGAACTTGATAATGGACACATTCGCCGCATTAGCGCTGGCCACTGACCCTGCAACACCAACAGTACTCAACCGCAAACCAGAAATACCAGGCTCACCAATCATCAATGCGAGTATGTTGAAGGTAATCACATCTCAATCGCTGTACAAAACGGCAGTTGTATTTGTCTTGCACTTTGCAGGTAGACAGATACTTGGTTATAGAACGAGTTACACTACGGATGAAGAAGCAGCAGAATTCAGCGCACAAGGCACTCAATTGAAATCATTAGTATTTAACGCATTTGTCTGGTGTCAGATTTTCAACCAAATCAACTGCCGTAGATTGGACAACAAGCTGAATGTGTTTGAGGGTATTCACAAGAATTGGTGGTTTATCGTTATGTTCTGCATCATGGTCGGTGGACAAGTCTTGATTATCTTTGTTGGTGGCGCTGCATTCTCCGTCACAAGATTAGGTGGAAGAGATTGGGCGATATCTGTTATTTGTGGATTCTGCTCTCTTATCATTGGAGCTCTTTTCAGATTTATACCGGATGAACCCATCGAAAGAAAGCTGACGCAGTGGGGTATGTTCCCCGACCCACATCGACTGCCAATCAATATGGGTGAACCATCAAAGAAAGGAGAGGATCCAATATACGATTCACTTCAGCTGCTGTCGATGCTGCGTGGTGGGCGTATCAGAGGTTCATCAGTTGTGCAGAAATCAAGACGTATTGTCAGACATCCAATCCAAGAACTATCCGAAACACTCTACCCACATTCCAAAACCAATAGCGGGACAACGACGCCAGATAATGGTAGCACATCACCTTTGTCAGCGAAGCACACACATCTCGATGCTTTGTCGGTTTTGCCGATGATGGTGGCTTCGAGTGTGGGTGCAGGACCGATATACAGAAACACGAGATCAGGAAGTGTGAATTCAAATTCGAACTCAAGACCGGGTCACTCTCCGTCTACGTCGATTGATGATCACAGCAGCGCACCTCCATCGCCCTTGTCGCATAAACGGTGAGAGTGACGCCCGCGCCAACGACAAGAACAACGATAACGATAACGAGTAATTTATTTAATGTAAATGTATTATTTTGCTTATGATAATATCATGTTTAATCAAGCGTACAACGATGACCTCAATTAAGAGCAGACAGGATGAGCGAATGCCGCGGAGCTGGGAGCAGTACGCGTCGATCAGCATGGATGAAGGGAGCTGTGAGTGGGGTTGTTCTGTGGAATATAAGGTACTCAAAGTGCTCTAGATGAATCTGGATTGAGTAACTTTGAGAATATCCGTTGTCCAGGATATTTGCCATCGGAGTAGGTTTCCAGTTTTTGATTATTCGCACTCTCAGACGTCACACAGAAACTACATACAGCAATTTGTATACATTTCACTGGTCCCGACGGTGAGAAAGAGCGGTGATTCGAACAGCGGCGTGGGGACGAGAGGGAGAAGTAAGAAGCAGCAGCAACCACACATAAATACAAACACAAACACACGCCATGACACCGTCGATGTTGCCGCGTTTGACGAGAAGATGGCGAGTAGCTCACTGCGTCTACTTACAAGACTGCTTGAGATGCAATCTGGCAGTGTGTTTGAAGACAGCGGGAAAGACCATCTCGAAATTATTCTCAACGCTTTGCCAAGTTACCGGCGGACAATGTCCGTTGCACACAAGCATGCACCCGATACAGTCCTCGAGAAGGGCGCTGCGGAGGTAAACAAGTGTAGGTGTATATGGGATCTGCTCGGCATGAACAGCAGGAATAAGAGTGAGAGGAAGAATGACATCAATAATAATGCGGCAGAAGAGAATGTCCATATCGGCGTGAACGGGAATGTGAATTTGAACTTAGATGGCATCATTGATCAGGATGCATGGGCATTTTTCGGATTCGTTGTGAGTGTTTGGGAAATGCAGGCGAGAAATAGTCAGCCTACCCACCTCATGGCGAATCTGCGCGATGTCCGATATGACGCTAGCTCGGCACTAGATGCGGTTCTGGCGGGTTTCGAAGCCCCGACGAAGCTCTCCCCGCTGAGCTGCTCGCCAAGCGTAGGCATCAGGGTACGCGAAAATCACCACGAGCTGCTCGCTGCCAAGATGGCATCTGAGAGTATCCAGCGGGTGGATATTTCAAAGCGGCTGCTGAGATTGGTAGGTGGTGATGTAATGTATGATACTGCGTGAGTCGCTCACACTCTCCTGCAATAGCTTCTCCAGCTCGTCGTTGATGGCACTCTTGCCGCTTCTGCCGTGCTGACTCACCTTGGTAGCCAGTTGTCACTCAGGGAAGGCGACGTGGTGTGTGATGTAATGGACGTGCGTATTGGATTTAATTCAGTGGTGCTCCCGCTCACACTTCGGCTTTCTGTCACAGGCATTTCCCGTTGAGTACACAGATATCATGCTCGATGTCATGGTCGCTGTGATACAGGCTAAAGGGGAGCTAGTTACACAGGGGCAGACACCTATTATGAAAGTACTGCTGTCGTCAGAAAGCTCCACCTTGAAAGCTATTGGATTGAGAAATGCCATCATCGGCAAGAGTCCATCGGTTGATTCGGTGAGAGAAAGTAGAGAGGAGCTAGAGGGGCATTGCGGAAAGGCTGTGAATGTTCTTCTTGCACTTCTGTAAAATAAGTAGAAAAGTAAATTTTCATGACAATAATCACCGTCATCTAAGGAATGTCAATCAAGGCACGCAATCGGAATGGTGAGTCAACTGGCACGGCTTGATCGGTGGGGCTATATATTAATTGAGGATTTCTGTACGCTTTTGGAAAAAGAAAGAGATTGGTGTCATTGGCTGAAAAGTTTCTTGGCTTTCGTGAATAAAGAGGAGCCTTGTTGAAAAATAACAATCACAGTTGTGTACATACAATGAATTCAGCAGAAGTACCAGATCTAGTCAGTGACTCTTCGTCGGGTTGCCAATCTTCACCGGAAATGCAAGCATTCGACAGAGTGCAACGGATGGAGAAGGTAAATGGGGAATTGGTTGAAATCGATTAGTAAGTGTGGGTTGCTGCAGCTACCATGCCTACTTACAGCTACATTCAGCGCATGCATTTGCTGTGATCCTGCCAACACAACTGGCTATCACTGTCCACAGACATACTCCATCGTAAAGAAGAAGACAAAGAGAGACACAGAGAGCTGGCACAGTAACATGATTAGAGGAGACAAATTCAGAGAAATCGGGATACTCCATCATGAAGAGTGCCTTGGGTGCTACAAGTTCATTCCATCTAAGTTTCCAGACGTCGGGAGTAGATGCAGCTGCTGTGGTTCATACAGCTGTGATAATATCACCCCAGGTGGCTGCACTCGCAATTTCAGCGTAACTCAGCTTGGTTGTGAGCAAGATTAGTACATTTAAACAAACAATACTCACGCAGCCCACAGCACCAAAACTACCAGCAAACTCACTCAACTGGATACTCTCAAATCAAAACGCTGCGGGACTCCTCAACAGGTACGGTAGTGTGGAGAAACTTATTCATGCAGTCGTAAATGTCCTCCCCAGAGCTGGTGCTGGAGATAAGCTTATTTTGTCGAACGGTCTAATCAGAGATATCAATAGTATGATATGCTCAAATTGCGTCTGGAGGGATGTCGTGGTTGACGGATTACATTTGCTCTGGAAGCATAACAATAGCATTAACATCAACAACTAGGAGAACACACATTACATATCAGCACAGCGTATCATAAACCCAGCTCAACTCGCCTTAACTGTATCACACCCTAGCAACCACAGCAGTCTCTCTTCTTTGTATTTCTAACGCAATCAGCAATTAGCTGCATACATTCGTCACATTGTTTATCATACTAGAAACTAGATGCTGGATAGGATGAAAGATGAGATTTATTAAACCGTGAAAATTACTAAAACAGAATCAAGATTAAAGAGAAAAAGAGTCTAGTTCTTTGGTGCAACTTCAACACGGTTGAGATCAATAAAGATATCGTCAGCAGGGTGTCTGTAGAGTGGTTGTCTGAGTCTCTTTTGGTCCAAGAAGTGACCAATGAAACCGATTGTTCTACCCAAGACGAAGAGACCGTTGAGAGTACCAATCTTCATATAATCTCTAGCCTCTTCTTCGTTGAATGCACCGGAGCATTTGAGGAGATCACAGAATGCAGCTGCGATACATCCATCAACGTTAAGAATGAGTGAGTCCTTCTTCGATGACGTAACATTCTCAACACCGAGTGCGTAGTCCATAGTAGCGTGAGATGGGAAGTTCTTCATAACAAAGTCCTTAACCAACTCAACACGCAAGTCTGGGTTAGTCTTTGACTTAATCTTGTGACCGATACCTGGAATTAATCTGTTTTGCTTTCTCATAGAGTCAACAAACTCTCTTGGAGAAAGACCAGATTCGACACCTCTAGTGAACTCATTTGCTGCACCGTCGAGAGCACCACCGAATCTATCACCGATAGTCAACAAACCTGAGCAGAGTGCTGAGATCAAGTCCTTTCCTGCACGTGCAGTAACGATAGTGTTCATTGCTCCAGATACAGCTGGTCCATGGTCTGCTGTTAATTGGAGAGCAATTTCAAGGAACTTGCATGCGTAGCCTGGCATACGTCTCTTGAACCACAAGAGCGACATAACACCACCGATACCGATTTCTTCCTTAAATACATCACTAATCTTCATACCATTGTAGAGGAGTTCTTGACCACGCTCATCGGAGATGGTAGAAATGAATGCAGCTGGTTTACGGATCATACCAAGTTCCTGTGTTGTGTGGTTAACTGGTGCACTCTTTCAAACATACTTTAAGACCCACTTGTGCCCACTTGTAGTCCATTGGGATAGTTGGTGGTTGTGGTTCTGATCTTGGTGTGATTTGTCCCTTCTTGACGAGATCCTCGTAAGCGGCACGAAGGACATCTGGGAGCTCTTCAAAGGTTTCTGGAACGATAAAGCCTGCGTTTCTCATAGCAGTGTTCTTGGCATCAGCAGTTTCAGAGTCTGAGTTTGCCATCGAACCGGCGTGACCGAACTGAACTTCGGTGCTGAACATCTTAGCGCAAGTACCAATAGACCAAGCAACAATTGGCTTCTTAATGATACCCTTCTTGACAGCATCGATGACGCGGTATTCCTCAACACCACCAACTTCACCAAGCAACATAAGCAATTTGCAGCTTGGATCAGCCTCGTAGCGCAACAAGTGATCAATAAAGGTTGAACCTGGGTAACGGTCACCACCAATAGCAATACCTTCGTAGGTACCGTCGGTGACGATTGAGAGTATGTTGTTCAACTCGTTAGACATACCACCTGACTTGGAGACGTAACCAACTGAACCTGATCTGTAGAGCTTTGAGGAGAGAATGTTGTCCATCATACCACCAGAGTTACCAATACGGAAGCAGCCTGGCTTGATACCACCAACAGTTGCTGGACCAATGATGAGAGTACCCTTCTTCTCAGCCTTGACGAGAATTTCTCTAGCGAAACGCTCTGGAACACCTTCAGCGATGATTGCAATTGACTTGATTTGTGGGAAGTCAAGTATATCCATCACAGAGTCGAAAACTGAACGCGATGAAGCAAAGTTGACAACACAGTCTGCGTCTGGGTGCTTGGCGATAGCTTCTTCAACTGAAGTGTAAACTGGAAGTAAGGTTTCCTTTGTACCCCAGTAAAACTTTTGAATGTGGTGACCACCGAATGGATAAATCATAGCAGCAACAGAAGAGCTCTTACGGCCACATGAATAGTCAAAGTCAAGCATACCTTGAATGGCTCTTGGTTGAAGACCAAAGACGAGACATCTGGTGTTTTCATCGAATGGTCTGAAAGATGGTCTCTTTCCAGCTTCCTTGTTGGTGTCAAATGTAACGATGGCGTCCTTTGGTTGAGTGCGCTCACCAGAGGCAACATCAACTGATCCTACGGTAGGAGCAGTGTTTGCAACGTCAGCTGGTTGACCTGATTGAGAAGCTTGGATAGAAGCAGCGGTTGCGGTAGTTGGTTGGATTTGAGCGGTAGTCTTTGTTAAACCGAGTGCGAGTGGGACAATAGCAGTGATGTGGGTTTCTGGACCGTAGACGTTGATATCGACACCGAGAGACTCACCGAGCAAGCGCATTGCCTTGAGACCTTCTTGGTAGTTTGGACCAGCACGACGGACGTAGATCTTTACGTTGTGCTTTTGAAGAGGTTGTTGGTATTCTCTGAGGGCTTGGATGATACCCTTGAAAGTAGCAGCGACGTTTGTAAAGTTGGCAATACCACCACCAATGATGAGAAGTTTACCTTCTGGGTGTGGCTCACCGCGGGTGATGAGGTCAATAATAGTCTTTGCGTACTCGTAGGTTTGGCCTTGAGTAGGAGCACCCGAGTATTCACCGTAGTTAGCGAGCTCGTGAGCGAAACCGGCAGCAGCAATTGCGTCAGAGTATACAACGGAAGCACCACCACCAGCGACCATGGTCCAGATACGACCTTCTGGCTTTAAAACGGTGAGCTTCAAAGAGGCACCAGTTGAGCCATCAAGTTTCTTGATGTAGGCCTCTTCTTTGGTGGAGTCACGACCGAAAGGAGCAGGCCAAACCATGGCAGGACCACGATCAGAAGAAACAGCTTGGTTTAAAGGAGTGTCATCACGAGCAATTGACCACTTTGGACCACAAATGTAGTCAGCGGTTTGATCAATCTTGGCAGCCAAATCGAGGAAGTGCATTGTTGGTGGGGATGTTGGGGTGGCGTCAAGGCAAACAAGAGGGTTGATTTCGAGATAAGCGAAGTGGAGGTCTACGTAGACAGCGTAGAGACGTTCCAAGAACTCAATGAGAGTGTCTTGCTTGCTGGAATCAACGTCTTTGACGAGACCGCTCTTGAGTTCAGCTCTAGTTGGGAATTTACCATCAACTGGGGCAATAGTGATCTTTTGAGCCTTTGAGTCGACATCACCAACGTCAACACCACCTTCAGCAGTGAAGAGAATGTTGTCACCTTCACGAGTTGAGTGGATACAGACGTAGTACTCGTCTGTTTGTGGGTGAGGAACGAATGGCTCAGCAATAAAGTTGTTCAAGGTGCCTGAAACTGATTGGACCTATGTCGAGTCTCAGAAATTTTTCACCAAAACAAAACATCGAGACTCACTTGTTGCTGCTTGCCAGCTCTTTCTTGGATCCATTGCTTGCCGCCTTCAGACCAAGACTTGTTGATACCGAGCAAGCCAGCCTTTCCTCTACGCTTGATGAGCTGGTCAGGCTTGACGACGAGCTTATCGGTGAAGACCCAGCCAGGAAGCTGGTTGTCAGGGGTAATAGAGTTGGATTCCGAGTCCCAAGCGATTTGAGCAACCTTTGCGTCAGGGAAGACGAAACCAGGAGAAGGCTTAATGTCGCTGGACACAGAAGGGGATCTTGGGAGCCAGTAGCTGACGATTCTTTTGCCGTCGTATTCAAGGATCGATGCAGAGGACATGGTCTGTTTGTGGTGATCAGATGTGTGCGCGCTGGGTGTTGAGTGGCCGTGTACACCTACATTAGCTAGTGTGTGTTAGCGCTGTCTGCGCCGCGTAGATCTCACTTACTTTAAATTATTGCTCTAGATGGTACAGAACTAAGACTGCCGCGAATACCAGCCCGTCCGTCTTCCCCAATCCAAAAATAAAAATCTTTAAATCGGGCTTTGGGGGAGTGTGCAGGAGTGTAGCGTGAGCGTGTGCAATTATCAGCCCTACAAATACCTTGCAATACACTTGAATCTTTTTTTACGCCTCGAGAAGATTACGATGGGGTTTTTGTTTGTGCGCGTAATCAGCTGATCAGCGGCGCTTGAGAGTGGTGGGTCGCTTGTTGCGTTTATTGAAGTACAGTATCTCTACGCTGTGAATCTCTGCGCTGTGCATCTCTCCCCATTGATCCCGACATCAGGTACACCAAGATACACCAAGATACAGCATGCGCTGTGAACACCACACGCACAAGCTGCAACCCCCATATCTATTGTCCAAATGCATCTCTATCGTCTCTTCATCTCCAACAACCATCTGCAATGCCTGAAATCAAGTACACGCAGCTCGGCTCCAGCCTCGTGAATCTGCCGCCATCCATCTACTCCCAGCTGGTCGCCAAAGGCAGCGTGCGTTCGATTCCCGCTGCGTCCATATCTCATATGACCTCAGCGACCACAATCTCTCGCTGTTATCATCAGACACGGCGACCGCGAGTACTACCTGGGCTGGTCTGGCATGGCCTCATCGATAGCCACGCTCGCCATCGAAGACTTTGTCGAGATTGATCCCGTCGTTGCGGCTGCCTATCGACTCGACCACGGCGCAAACGTGGGTAGCCACCCAGCAACCACCACACTCTCACCCAGCGCACAAAGGTATCCGTCTCGCTCCATTCCTCGCTCCCCACTGCCAAGTCGGTGAATGTGGTACCCGATACGCCCGACGACTGGGAGTTGCTCGAGGCGCACGCCGAGTATGTCGAGCAGAATCTTCTTTCCCAAGTGCGTTTGGCCTCCACGCATCAGCCAATGGTCGTCTACCTTCCCTCCAAGTCCAGCATGACCTTTCGCGTCGAAGCCACAGACCCTGCCACCTCTTTCTCCTCTCTTTCCCCCCAAGCCACTCCCGCGGTGCGCCTTGACCGCGACACCGACGTTGCTTTCGCTCCCAAACTGCGCAGGCCCCCGCCTAGCAGCAGTGCCTCTTCCACTATCCGCCCCACTCCCACTCCCGTCGTGCACAGCCAAGATGATCAGGCTGTGCAACAGCTCGCGCGCGTCATACCAGCGCGGGTATATCCACGCACTGAGCCCGGCCTCGCCCACGCCCATCCTGCCTTGGTCCACCGTCTTTGTGGACAGGAGAACGATAGCGCGACGGTGACTCTCACCCGCCTCAAGTCCCCGCTCACGCGCTACAACGACAAGAGAAAGCAAGGCGGTATGGAAGTGGAGCCAGCTGGGCTGACGTTGGGAATGGGCGGTGCCGCTGCGTTGAAGAATGCCACTAGCAAGCCCGTCGCAAGCGAGCAAGAGCGGGAACTTGCTCTTACACTCACACTCTCGCTCGTAGCAGATGATACCCTCGTCGATGGTCATGTCGCCCTCCCGCTCGGCTCTCACCAACGCCTCCAGTTGAAACAGTACGAATTAGTATCGTGCTCCCTCTCAAACTCTCACTCAAACTCTCAAATTCTATACCACGACTACGATATACTCGCTCCACTTTTTAGTACTGCTGACGACGATATCCTCCCTGGGCACCACGCTCTGGTTGAAGAGGCTGCTGATTATCTCATCAGCTCTATCGGCATGTCCCTGTCGAAACTGAAAGTGGAATTAAAGGATGGGTATCCAGGTGATCACTCTCACTCGCGCTCTTTAGGTCTGCTAATTACTGGTGGATCCAGCACAGGCAAGACGACGCTAGCCAAGACAATAGCTTATCACATAAGCCAAGATGTACGGATATTCGCCCACAGCCTCTATGAGGATGTATCGGGGTGGGTGCAAGAGAAAGCTTCGACTATAGACGATAAGCTGCGGCTGCTACTCGAGGAAGCTCACTGGAGTGCTCCCACCGTCATCATACTCGACGGTCTCGATGTTTTGCTAACCCCGGAAAGTGAAACAGACCAGAACACAACCCAGTCTGGCAGACAGCGCACACTCGCTGACCTCTTCGCTCGCCTCTTCTCACCTTGCAACCGCAATCTGCCGCAGGGCGTGGTTGTGGTGGGTGTGGCCAGTGGTTCCCTCCACTCCGCCGTTAATACCTCGCGTGTGTTTGGGAAGGAGATTAAACTACTTGCGCCATCTAAAACGACGCGCAGAGAGGTAAGTTTATTTTGGGCTGCTTGCTGCTTTTCCCATTTAAATTGCTGACACTCACATCTCCTCCGCACTCCAGATGCTGCTGCGACTATTCGACGAGCACCGGATAGCTGATTTCAGCGGGGTGAATACGCTACTTATTGCCAGTGAAATGGAGGGGTATCTGCCGGTAGATGTGACAAGTGTGCTGGAGAGGGCAGTACACCATGCCTCCCTGACGCACGACGAAGATGGCCCATCCTCAACGTTACAATTGCATGTCGCCACGCACCACTTCGAAGCAGCCCTCGCACAATATCGCCCGCAAGCTTTACGCGGAGTGAATCTGCAGCAAAGCAGTGTGAAGTGGGGGGATATAGGCGGGATGCGCCATGTGAAGGGCATGATCAGAGAGACGCTGGAGTGGCCGACCAAGTATGCCCTCCTCTTTGACCGTTCCCCACTTCGCCTGCGTGCCGGCCTCTTGCTGTACGGTTACCCCGGCTGCGGAAAGACGGTAATCGCGAGCGCGGTAGCGCGCGAATGCGGCCTCAATTTCATTTCCGTTAAAGGCCCTGAACTTCTCAATAAGTATATCGGCCAGAGTGAAGCTACAACAAGGAGTCTTTTCGATCGCGCTAAAGCTGCGAAACCGTGTGTGCTATTTTTCGACGAATTCGACTCGATTGCGCCGAGGAGGTGGGTGAAGATAATCATGACTAGAGAGAGGTTTCACTCACATCACACACTCACACAGAGGACACGATTCGACGGGCGTTACAGACCGGGTGGTTAACCAGTTGCTGACGCAAATGGACGGCGCAGAGGGGCTTGATAGCGGAGTATTTGTGCTTGCCGCAACGAGTCGGCCTGATCTTGTTGATCCAGCTCTTCTCCGCCCTGGACGGCTGGACAAGGCGCTGCTGTGCGATATGCCTGATTTGCAGGACAGAGTGGATGTGAGTGGATGTGGGCGGTGGCGTGCTTGCTGCCACACTGCATTTTACTTAGTACTTAGTACTTACTAACACTCCCACCACTCCACTTCAGATACTCGCTGCTCTAACACGTTCAATGCACCTGGACGCAGACGTCGACCTCGCCAGTATTGCCGCTCAATGTGAGCAGTTCACCGGTGCTGATTTGCAGGCGCTTGTGTATAACGCACATCTCGAGTGTGTGCATGAGGTGTTGGCGAAGCGTGAGGAAGTGGAAGCGGAAAAGCGGGAGCAACACCACGTCGAGCGTGACGACCACAACGACCACTCCAGTAGAGAAGATGAAGACGAAGACAAAGCCGCGCCTGGATTCTCGTGGAGCTTGCACAGCGATACCCCTCTCACACGCTCCGGTGAGAAGGAGGTGGATGCTCGCATCGAGAGGCTGCTGTCAGCGCACACTGCCCTCGGGTCGCGCAGCTCACATCCGCAATCCCCACACAGTCAAGAGAAGACTGCAAATACAACTGCGACATCACCCACTCCGCACGTGATTACGGCCGAGCACATGTCGAAAGCATTCGCTATCACCCACCCGTCGGTGTCGAGCGACGAAATAGCACGGCTGAGGGGCGTCTACGACTCATTCACGACCGGTCGCCCGAGCCAGGAGGTGGGCAGCAGGAGCAGTCTGGCGTGAGGCTGGTGTGTAGAGTGTGCTTGTGTGCTTGTGTGCTTGCGTGCTTGCTTACTCAACGAACTGTATAAAATGACATGCACAACTTTGCCAAAATACAAATGGCTCTCGTCGGATAACTACAAACAGCTGCAAAGATGGGAGGAGACAGCGCAAATAAGCAGCCATTCCCGCGAGTATTTGTGATACGCCACGGTGCGTTTGCGTTGTGTGCAGGAACCAAAGACTACCACGCAGCTGACACGGCTCGACGCAGGCCAAACCGAGTGGTCGCAAAACGGACGCCATACCGGAACTACGGACATAGGGCTAACGCAGCATGGCGCCGAGGTCGTTGAGAAGCTTGGGCCACGCGTAGTGGGCGATGCGAGTGAGTTTGCGTGTTGCTGTTGGTGTGTGCGCTTCTCCCTGCTGATACACCTGTGCACACGCAGAACTCATCGACCCTGGGCGTATATCTCACGTATTGCTCTCCCCAAGGAAACGCGCCATCGATACTTTCACGCTGCTGTTCAAGGATAACTTGCCCGCAGTCGCTGAGCGCGAGATTGTGGAGGATGCCAGGGAGTGTGAGTATATTACAGCACAGCGGTGCAGTGACACACTCGCACACGCTCGCTTGTCACATCTCACACACCTCTCACCACAGGGACTTACGGCGACTACGAGGGACTCAAACCGGCCGAAATTAAGGCGCGCAACCCCCACCACTGGATTTGGACAGATGGTTGTCCGAACGGGGAGAGTGCAGCGGATGTCTCCGCGCGTGCTGACAACTTGGTTAGGAAAATTAGAGATATACACGCTGCACACCTCCTCGACAGAGAGCGTGGTGTGGAAACCAAGAGCTCGGGCGATGTAGTCATCTTCTCCCACGGCCACTTTAGTCGTGTGTTTATTTCACGTTTTCTCGGATTCGGTATTGGCGAATTTGGGTGGGTTGCAGTTAGCACGTCGTGGACTTTACTCACTACTCATCCCCTTCTTCCAGACCCAAGATCGTCGCTGAAGCTGGCGCTGTGCAGTTGCTTGGCTACCAGCATAATAGCCTCGATGAGCCAAGTATCTTGGCTATGAACTTGCAGTAGATGGTCTTGTTTGTTTGAAGCACACACGCTCATTCTCTCACACTCTCTTCTCTGGCTGAATTATGTATAGCATTATAGCCTTATTACATTACTTTTCGGACGCGCCCGCTGTCTTGATTTGAATCATGTTTTGCATTTTTTCGATTAAAATTGAAAGGATAAAAAGCAGTTTCAACTGTGAAATTGTTGTGTTTCCAAGGTGAACTCTATACACTTGACCCAGACTAATCCCAAATAAGATCAGAGTCTCCGCGACGCGCGAGGACTTCCCAAGGGTTCTTGGAGGATGTCTTCATAACGCCCTGACCCTGAACCTGGCCCTGCTGCTGTCTATGTTGGCGGAGGGAATCTTGTCTCTCTTTCTCGTTGAGACTCTTCACGGCAGCTTTCGCTTCCTTCTTCTTAGCGTTCTGGCGCTGTTTTTTTGTTTGTTCTTCCTGTGATGGCGGTTGAGGTTGGGGAGGTGGAACTACTGGTTCATCTGTGGGATTGTCAGACAAGTAGTTACGTTGGTCCGACACGCACCTCTAACGCCGACCTTCTTGGATCCAGCCATAGTCCAGCCGTCGTCAGCAGAGGGAGTGTGTTTGACGTCTTTGGCAATACGCATGACGCGAGCGTGCGTCTGGTCAGGTTGGAGACTGTCATCGAGCATGTCCATGGCATTATGGGTCTGGAGGAGGGTAGATTCAGCGAGCGGGGTGTTAAAGGTGTTAGTGGGGTTGGAAACACCACCCTTCTCACTCCACGTCCAGTCGCCGTCTTGGTATATTTGGCTGTCGGGATTGAGGGCAGACTGTGCAGACACGACAGGTGCTCTATCCCAGGCGTCTTGGTCGAGTGGTGGTGAGGTAGATGAGGCTTCTTGAGGTACGGCAGACGCTTCAATGAAACCAGTCTTCTCAGTGGTTGGAGTGGTTGCCTTCTTCTTTGAGTTGATGGTAGTCCACTCGCCTGAGTCTACATCATTGAATTCTCCGGTGGTGAGTTTGTTGGTGGTGTGGGTGGGTGGTTTTTGTGGTTGTTGTGGTTGTTGTGGTTGTTGTGGTTGTTCTGATTGCTGTTGCTGCTGCTGTGCTGCTTTTGCTTTCTTCTTGGATGCTTTAGATTGGGTGGGTTGCTGGGCTGGTTGCTGGGCTGGTTGCTGGGCTGGTTGCTGGGCTGGCTGTTGAGCTGACTGTTGAGCATTCTTCTTTGCTGGCTGCTGTTGTTGCTGCTGCTTCAAACCACTCTCGTGACTACCGGAAGAAGCAGGCGTGGTATTCTTGCTCTTCTTCTTATTCTTACCAGCGCCGACTTTCTTATTCTTTTGTGAGTTTTGTTGCGTGGGTGTGTGCGTGTCTGCGTGCTGTTGAGGCTGCAACTGAGTGCTGGCATACAAACCAATAGCAACGCCCAGCCCGGCAAGCGTGTAAACAAGCTTATCATCCAATTCAACGCCTCCGACAATCATTTCTGTTTTCGTGGTGTGTTGGCAACATGTGTTGTGCGATATAAAATACTAAAATCTATCCCAGTACATAATTGATTATATTATTTATAAGCTCATTGACATCCTCTTTGCTCTTGCTATTGCTCTTCCTGGGCTTGTTGCCGCTTCTGCGCCCGTTGCGCTCCCATGTGTGCCTGGATTTCTTATTTTGGTTGGTTGCAGCGCTGCCACTCAAATATCCCAGCAGCGACCAAGTGCTTCCTCCAGCCACGGCAGAGATATCCTTCCCCGTATAGCTGCTGCTCAGTTGTATTACCCCCACCACTACGCTCACTATTACCGTCCATTTGAGTAGAAAGAGGAGTGTGCGTATAACGAATCTGGCTGTGTTGTAGAGGCTTATCACCGTGGCATATATCAGCAGCAATGAAATCACCAGCGGCAGTACACTCTCCACAGACGGTTTCGACGTGAGCACCGTGTATCCATCCTCCATCACGGCGTATAATCGCGGTAAGAGCTCCTTGTCCCAGGTACTGTACAACTGTGATGGTAATTTACGCGCGTATGCTTTCGCGATTGGTGTTATATACTCCATCGTCGACGTCAGCCTATAACATGTACGCATCAGGCAACTTGGGTATTTCAAGTGTAGAAATATCTATCATTCTCAACAATACAGCTTTATCTATATCACCCCTCCAACTCACCACTCTTCAACGCCTTCTTGTCATAACTCTCCTCGTTATCAGAGTCATCGAGCTGCTTGATTGGTTTCACATCCGCTCCGTCGAGACTCGCGCTTTGTCCACCCTTCATCCCCTTCCTGCCTGACTTTACAGCTGAGTCAGGTATTACACCATCACCGTTGAGGTAATCCAGTTGCTCGCCTTCATGTGTATCAATCATCCCTGTCCATCTGCTATAGACATTCCCCGTAACCTCCTCCGCTCTAAGACGTGTGTAGATATGCTCATGCTTGAATGCATCTATTTGTGCACTGTACTGCTCAAAGTCGATCACTTCCTTCTTGTCTCCGTCCAGTTGTTTGAGCGTGTCATGACGGATTTGTTCGTCGGTGAGAGTTGTGCCTTGTTGTTCTTGATCCTTTTCTTTCTTCTCAATTTCATTTCCATTTTCACCTTGTTTTTCACCCACTTTAGACTGCTCCTTGTGCGCCTTCTCGATAGCCTTCTTTACGCGATCTTCAGCACTCTTCTCAACAGCGATATTATTCTCTTGTACACGCGTGTTATACACCCCAAAGCAAGGTGCTTCCAACAACAAGCCGAGACCGGGAGCTTTAGGTACGACGATAGGGGTGTTAGAGTATGTCTTCTCTATTAGTGATGGCGGAGTAGGAGTACGCGTCACGTTCACCAGCATGAAGATCATCTTACGAATCTGGTGCAACATGAAGCTCTGTCCGTAGAACCTAACGCTGATCCACTCATTCCCTTCGACCAGAAACGGTTCACGTATTTCCAATTCCTTCATATAACGCTGTGCGCTCCTCTCAGTAAACGCCTTGCCGATAGTGTACGACCAGAAGTTGTGTGAGCCTGTAAAATGCTGCAGGGTAGCTCTGGCCTTAGAAAGAGTATCAGTGTCGATACGCCATGCGCGTTTACGTTGCATCATACCCTCAACACTCTCATTTTCATCCACTCCTTCCTCGCTCCAGAAAGGATGCTGGGTTCCTAACCGTTTCCCCAAATTGGTCCAGGGCGCGGGAGGGAGGAAGACGTAAGAGGGAAGCAGATACTCATATCTTCTACTATCGCAACTATTACGCGCATCGAAAGAGTTCTGCGTGCGCACATATCCCCAAATACGTATATGCGGAGGGAGATGAGAGTTGATAGCAGCGACAGGATCACCTTGTTCAGGCAGCTCCACTATCATTTTGAGCGAAATAACATTACTTGCGGCGTGAACACTTGCGTCTGTGCGCGCAGCACGCTGTAGATTCACTTTGCCAGGGTCAGTGGAGTTCTCCCGACTGATCACACCCGCGTTGACCATTGCGAGAAATATTTCACCCTCGATCGTGCGTGTGTTTGCATGCGGTTGTATTTGCATTCCGTTGTACCCTGTGCCGCAGAACCCAACAATTACTGCACACTTGCGTTTGGGCAGCTTGGGCGTATCGCTTGGCGTTATGTCACTCAGCTTAGGCAGCCCCGCCCAGTCTTTCGTCCAAGTCTTGCGCTCGTCTGGCTTCTTTTCTCGCTTGTTGGGTTTCTGCTTCTTTTGCTTCTTTTGCGCGGGGCGTGTGGGTGTTGCGGTGGCTGCAGCTGTGGCTGCCTCTGCAACCCCCTCAGCACCCTCGCTGCCCTGTCTCTTTAGCGTGTTTAGCGTATCCGACATGCCAACTAACAGCCTCCTGAGCATAGAGTAGAGAGGCGTATAAATCAAGGTAAAAATTTAAAATATTCTTTACAGGTGCAGATTACTGCGAGTTCTTCTGTCTGTTTTCAATCAACACTTGCTTCCTATCCTCGAGAGCCTGGGTGGTGTGTCAGTGGGGCAATTGAGGAGAGAAGCACGCACATTCTGCTGTCTCTGTGAAACGCCATGCAAGAAGAATCCAGCTGTACCGAAAGCACCGACAGCGATCAAGTGGCCGAAGAAGTCTGTTGGGTTGGTTGTGAGTGGATGCACAGCCCATAAACACGCTACACACTATCGAACACATTCCTCCTCTCTATGGCCAGCTGCCAGCAACGCGTTGCAAAACCCACGCCAGAAAAACCTAAAATGTAGCTAGCCAGTGCCATGATGAGTGGTGAGTGGTGGTGGTTGCTAACCTAACCTGGAGAGGTACAAATAAACTAGGACGAAAATGGTGTTATTCTTCGAGTCGAGTGGTGTGTACGCTGTGAAAGGTATAGAATTTCAATTTAACCCATTTACAGCTATACAGCCACACATAGAAATATACATGGGCAAAGACAAGATCGAGAATGAGGAACTGATTAAACATGGATTCGACAACGATGTTTGGTTCCACGTCGATAAATTGAGCTCTGCTCACGTCTATATGCGCCTGAGGGATGATATGTCCTGGGATAACATACCCCATCCAGCACTGTACGACTGCTCACAGCTAGTAAAAGCAAATAGCATACAGGGAAATAAGAAGGACAATGTTATCATTATTTATACACCTTGGTCTAATCTCAAGAAAACAGGCGATATGGAAGACGGGGCTGTTGCATTCCATAATGACAGATTGGTAGGTGTTTAAAATGCTCATTGTGATTCAATAACACCCTCTTCAAAGGTTAAGAGAGGTTTGTGAGTTTTATACGCCAAATCACAGACTTATACCTCCACAAAATCTCAGTTCACGTACCTACCCGTGAAAATGCAATCGTTAACCGCATCAACAAGTCAAAGACAGAGCGTGAAGTCGATTTCATCGCTGAGAAGATTGAGCGTGAGAGGAAGCTTGGGCAGATGAAGAAGAAGGATGCGATAGTCAGGGTGAGTTGGGTGATTCTACGCGGTTTATTTCTAACGCCCACGCCACACCCACAGAAACAAGCCACTGATCAAGCAAAGAAGGAAATGCAGGATGAAAAAGCAGCTCGCAGCTACGACAAGATGTGGTCGGCGGAGGACGAAGAGGAAGCAGCAGCTACACAGCCACGTGGAATGGAAATGGAAGATGATTTCATGTAATCGAATTTAAATTATTCATTTTATACACGATCCTCATCCTCACAAACAGTCATGTTCTCAAGATTAGCTTTTAAGGGATTTAGCAGAGCTGCGAGCACAACTACAAGCAGAACATTCACACCAAGCACACTCTCACATCTCAATCATATACGCTCACTCTCCACTCAATCACGCCAACTTATCGATAACGCCGTCAATGCACACCCTATTGTACTCTTCATGAAAGGGAAGCCTTCTGCACCTCTCTGTGGCTTCTCTAGGGCTGTCGTACAGATACTCGACGTTCAAGGCGCTGATCCTGAGAAGATTAGAGCTTACGACTGCCTTGAAGATGATCAACTACGTAATGGAATCAAGGAGTACTCTGATTGGCCAACTATCCCACAGGTCTATGTGAATGGTGATTTCGTTGGTGGCTGTGATATTCTTTTGTCTAGTAGGTGAACGCGTGTGTATGCATCCCTTCTAACACACCGATCAGTGCATCAGAGTGGCGAATTGTCAGAATTGCTCAAGAACAAACAATTACTACTCCCTATCGCTGAGTAAAGTATTTAATATCAATTCATTCTCATATTCACATTCACACTTAAGACATGAAAAGAAATGAAAGTTTTATAGGGATGAAATTTTTATCTACTTTGATTCACTTAAACTCACTTTGGTGGGTTGTACACAAGCTTTCTTGTCTTGATAGGAGACCATTTGAGTCTCTTGACGTAGAGTGAGATGGCAGTCATGGCTGAGAGAATGATGACAGCTTGGAAGCCCATCTTCTTCCTATCGTCGTGTTCCGGCTCGCTAGCCCAGCTGAGGAAGGTGGCGACATCTTTAGCCATTTGTGTGGTAGTGCTAGGAGTGCCATCGTCGTATTCAACGAGACCATCAAACAAGACTCTACCCATAGCAATGCTACCACCAGGGAAGTAAGGGTTGAAGTTCATACCATCAGCCACAGCAATACCAGCAGGTGGATCCTGGTAACCAGTGAGAAGGGCCATAATGTAATCAGCACCACCGTGTCTGGCTTTAACAATGAGAGAGAGGTCAGGTGGGAGAGCACCACCATTAGCCGCTCTAGAAGCCTCCTCGTTTGGATATGGAGGTGGCATGTAATCAGCAAGTTTGCCCGGTCTCTGGAAAGGCTCGCCCTGGTCATTAGGACCGTCGGTATACTCCTGCTCCTCTGCCATAGCTCTGGCTTCATCTGAGGTGTGCGATACAGCGACGAGGTTTCTCCAGGCTATTCTGTCAAGAGAGTGGCAGGAAGCGCAGACTTCACGATAAACCTGGTAGCCTCGTCTAATGGCGTTGTGGTCGAAGCTATCCAACCAGCCGTTGTGGTTCCAAGGGAAGGCGGGTGCGTGGAGACCTTCCTCTAAACCACTAGCGAAGACTTGATCAATGAGACCGTACTGGTACGAGTAAACAGCAGCTGTGATACCTGAGATTGAGGCTGCGATGGTTGCTGCTTTGTTTGAAGGATTCGCAGTATTCGATGATGCTGTTGATGCGTTGCGGGTCTGGAATGGCGTGTGAGAGGTGGCGAGAGGGACGCACAATCTGTGAACCCACAAACGCTTTCAAGGGTCCTTTCGCCGCTCTGTTAAATATCCCCAGCATTTTTCTTCTTAGGCTGTGATGACCGTCGGTTTACAACGTTGGATTGTCGTGTTGGGATGAGCCAAAAATTGAGAATGTATGGGTTTGTAGAGTGTATTCAGATTATATTGGGCTAAACAATAATTATTTATTTTTACATTCTGATCGATTTGATTGGCTGAAATCGTTTGTGATTTTTATTCGTTCAGACTGTTTGAGAGATGGTTAGAATATTCTGCAGTACAAGCAGATACAATAACTTATAACGTAGATGTCGGTGGATTTTGGTCTGTACCTGATAAATTTTAGCCTAGGTGGTCAGACTGTGAGGTGGATTTTGGGATCTGCATGAGTAGAGTTGAATCAATCAAATTATCTGTTTTTTGTTTATTTATCTTAATTATTTCCTTCATCTCCATCGTCCATCATCACATCCGATATACCCACAGATACCAATGAACGCAATAAACGCAATAAGCGCGCTAATTGCTTTTGTTATTCTTCCACTGGCATTTCCATTCAGCTTCAACGTTACAAAAGTCGTCGAGTGCGGGTCATTCCAAATAAACTGGTCCGGCGCGGAACCACCAGTACGCTTTCTGGCAATTCCCAATGGAAGTCCACCCGATCAAGAAGAATCAGCCCACGTTATCGTGGCCCATGAAGTTGATGGTAATGTCGACGGCACCTACACTTACCCCAACTGGCCCATGGCTGCCGGCGTAAATTTCACGGTAACCATGAGCGATGCACAGGGTTTCGGGACTGGTGGTACAAGCGACATTATAACCACAGATCAAGGCGTTGGCCCGTATTGCGAACAATCCGGTTATCTGCCATACACCTTCTCTATCGATCCGTCGACCAACTGGACTACTTGTGAAACTATAACTCTGCGCACCCTCCACAAGAATTCTTCCACACCATACGATTACTACGCTCTTTCCCCCAATACTACCCCCATTCGTATACAGCACATCACGCAAGACGATTCCGGCACCTTTAATTACACTTTCACCCAGCCCCCGGGTACCAAGGTCGTTTTTTTTACAGGCAGTGAACAAGGCGGTCTGCAGTACAATACTGGGGGCAGCTCCTCGATACAGACCATCGGCGAGGGCAGTGACACGGGGTGCGTCGAGCAGCTCCAGCCAAGTCCCACCGACACTTCCAACCCAGAGAGCACAAGCGGAAATGGGAGTGGGACTGATGGTGGTGACAACGGTACCGACAACACCCATAATGATAAGGACAGTAACGGACTCAGTGCCGGTGCAAAAGCTGGTGTGGCAGTAGGAAGCATTATAGGCGCAGGTGCTCTCATAGCGGCCATAGTAGCATTCATGCTTCTCAAGAAGCGCAACCGGGAGGAGCAGCACGAGCATGCGCAGAAGGTAACTCACGGTCACAATTACAATGAGGATCTCGATGATGGATTAGAGGGGTCATATACACCATATCTCATGACAGGTGTGGGTGCTGGAGTGGGTGCTGGTACAGACAGTCAGGGTGCTGGTCACTCGCATAGACAATCTGATAGCAGGTATTCATTTATACCCACTGAAGCACCACATATGGCTGCCTCAGATAGTGGCTATAGCTTTGGCGGTGCTCCTCCTTCGCCTTCTAGCGGCGCTCTACTACTCAACGGCTCTCCTGCTCTCTCTCCTGCTCCTGCTTTTGGTCTCTCTCAGGATAGCAAAAGCAAGCTCGTCGCTAGCTCGACTCAGCAGAAAGATCCCCCGCGCTATCACTTCGACGCTGGCCCATACGTCGTCAATCATAATCACACGGACGATAGCGACGATGACGCCCTGGTGGATGTGCCCCCAGCATACGACTTTAGCCCCGATTTTCGCCGCAATGGATGAGTGGAGATGGAGATGTAAAGGAAGAATAACTTGGAAAAGGTGAAGATTTTCCTATAAACGCTTTGCATCGCTATGCAATTCAAAGCATGATGCACATCATACAACACAACAACACGCTTAATAGATCTCTTATTACAACTCTTTAATGTTTCAAATGAATTCAAAGCACGTAGAGCACGTAACAGTGGGAATAACACAGACAATAATGCATACTATGATTACTGATGAGCGTGGTGAGGGTGCTGGATGTGCTGGTGTGATGAAAAAATTCCCAAGACGTGGACCTCTGTTTGTCACGTTGACCCCAACCATCGTCATCGGACATGGCGACAGCAATTGACCAAGTACGCGAGAGTGCACAGCGAGTAGTGGAAAGCGGTGCGATAAAAGTGTGTACATATTGTTATACGCGTGGCTCCTCCTCAGACTCACAGATTTCAGACGAAGCAATATCGACGCTGCTGACGGCAATAAATCCTAGCACGTTTACCAAGCTTTCAAATAACCACGGCTACAATCTACCACTCAAGTACTCATCTATTGAGGAAGAATTGTGTATCGTTGGTCTGCTCACCGCCCTCAATTATGGCAGTGGATATCGATCAATTCTGCACAAACACACTAAAATGGGTGCATTTGATAATATTAAAAGGTTTATTCTCGCTCTCTTCCTCTCGAAAGACAGCGGTTTCCTCACTGCCGATGGCCTGGCAAACTTCACGCTTGACCACACAATTGAGCTGATGAATATAAATCCATTCAACGAGCACCCGCATCCTACACTCCCAGGTGTCGTAGTAGGCGAGAAGGATGAAATGGCGTTCGAGTTTATAACGCTGGTAATGAGCACACTTAACGAGATAGGCAGCACCCTCCAACAGCTAGGTGTTGATTGTTTCGGCAGCTATCTCAAACATACCTTCTCCAAAGCGAACGATGCCAACGATGTAGTCATGGAGCTCGTCACTCGTTTCGACTGCTTCCGGGATGAATATGTTGTTAGTATCGACGATAAGCCCATCACCGTGAAGCTGTACAAAAAGGCCTTGCTTATGGTAGAGGTAGTTAATACAGTACTCAAGAAACACTCGCTCACTCCCGCAACCGCCAAATTGCCCATTTTCGCTGATAACGTTATACCCTCAATGCTGCTGCATTGGAATGTGATTGAGATTCCCGAAAATAGCGAGATATTTGGTGCAGAAGTTAGACACGCTTTCAGTCACACAACTGAGAAATACGAGGAGATGGTCGATGGATTGCGCGAAGAGCAGAAGAAAGATTTACTTGGCGAGAAAGTTGCTGGTCCTGCTCTAACCCCCCTTCAAGCGTGCATTCTGCGTTCATCCGCCGTAGAAGCTATAAGAAGAATGTCTGTGCGTAGTACGGCCACTGAGGTCGAATATGACGGCTTTATTTGGTCTGTCAGTAAGCAAGGCCAATATAGGTCTTTAGTCCGTTTCTCAGAAATACGAACAGTGTATTATTAGACTTTTTATTATATTATAATTATAATCATATTACAAGAAATCCAGAGTGATCAATCGCGTGAATAATCATCGCATTGGTATGTTCTATTATGTACTTGTCGTTAATGTAACTGTATAATCAGGGCGACACTGACTGCGATTTTTCATAGTTACGCAATGCCTGTCGCTTATTCTGATACCAGATCCTGACACTGTTCGGCGACATGCCGAGCTCGATAGCCAGACACTGTCTCTCTTCGTTAGAGGGAAATGGGTTCATATCGTAACACTGCTGCAGTCGTTCAAGCTGGGAGGGGTTTGCTCTTTTTCGCTTCGCTTTGATGGGCTGATTGGGTGTGGTTGGTGTGGTTGGTGTGTTGGGTGATGCAGGTGTGCAGCTCGCGTAGGCGTATGCAGATGCAGATGCAGATAAAGATGCATTGCTACTACCACTGCTGTCTTCGCGCGCTGCAGATGCGTTAGTTGCTCTGCTACACCTACTCAACTTGACCCAAACTCACAATGCGAGTTGAATGGCTTGGGTAGCTTGATGACGTTGTTGTCTGGTCTGCTGAACGGAAGTCTCATCGATGCGTTCGAGATTGTATTTGTGTTTGCGTGTGCTTATGCGTATGCTGTCTTGAATATGTCTGACTTTGTTTTAGCTTACTCTGACTCCTGCCGTTCTTTAGTCGTCTACTGCCTTCTACTTTTTGTCCTGAATCGGCTGGGTGGTGCGAGGTATGCCAAGTTGCAAGTAATTTAAGCGAAAAGTGTGCGCAACGGACGCAGACGCAGATGGAAGATAAGTACCATGCGTCAAGGATGACCCTATTCGTCAATATTTCATGAATAAAGGGGTCTAGGAACACCCGCGTTGTAACGCTTCCGCTTTTGGAGGCACCCCATTATTTTCTTGCGTCTGTTGGCCTCGTGATGAGTTTGATGGGTTGTTACCAGCTCGGAGAATGCACTAGTAGTTTTTTAAACCTTGCGCAATCACTAATTACCCTCTACTTCCCCTTTAAACATTCCTAAGCCGACCGGTACCTATTGAATATGGCGTCATACATCATACTTCCGCGATCCGATCACTCGTCTGCGCCAACTTTATTTGGCCATTAGTGCATTCTCGGTGCGTCTGTGTCTCCATCTCCACGAATTCGGTTATCCGCTTATCCGCTTATCAGTTAATTAAATAGTTGAGAAATATGCCCATTGATTGAGCTATTCTCGTGCACACAAGGTACAACCGTCATTGGACATTCGCTCTCATACGCTTATTAATATACAACATATAGTTCGGCTGAGGCTTTAAAATCAAATCACCCACGCTGTTGCCCGTACTTGTAGTCTAGACGTGTGATTAGTGTGATTAGTGTGATGTTAGCAGGGAATTGGCATATTTAGGGGAAAGGAGATTATTGAGGGGTAAATTACCCGTTGATTACCAAAAGCTCCTCAATGATTTCTGTGTCATTGTAGACTCTATCTGCTCTGCATGCTTCAGCGTATCGGATCAGCTATATCTAACACCCACACTAGCACTCACGCTCGATGGTCGATTGGGAGGGATGCGCGGTGAGTGTGCAAGAACACAGACGAGTCTCCCAGCGCATATAGCAATGTCTATATATACTCGCATCCAGTGTGTTTCTTCTCTTCCGCCTCTTATAACACTCCGCCTCCTCAGATATTCTCTGGAGTGCGGTGATGATCAGGAACTGTGAGCCTGGTATACGTCCGCGCATCAACTTCTCGTCACTGTTATCCTTGTCGTCGAGATTGAGCATCGCAAGTACGGCTGGTGAACTGTTTCTGATGTTGTACACCGGCGGCGGATTGTATGTACTACTGAAATAACCTCGTAGTACGGTTATATTCATCTTCCCTTTCAACCTCCGATACTTCTCGCTTAACTGCTTTATCCTAAAACGATACGCCATCCGTGTGTCTTCACTCATCCAACCCATCCCTTTTCCTTTGCTTTTGATAACAGCTTGTCACTAGAAGCTACCTTCACCGATTTTATACCCGCTCATCCCCCTTTAGAAAATTACATCAAAATCTATACGCCACTTTCCCTCTTCATCAATAAAGCCGTCAATTTCCTAATCCATCCGACATTAAACACACTCTGAGACAATCTAAATATATATATTTAAGAGATAACAGATACATAGAATTTTGTCATGATAGCGGTCAAAAGGATTCTCAAGTTGTTTGGGAGGGTGCTTCGTTCATCTGTATGCAGTTGCGTTAAGTGTTTTTAATATTTTCATCTTTCTATCTTCTCATCTTTTCACTATCCGATGATCCCTTTACTAGCACTCTACTGAGCTCTCTCTATCAGCTTGTTGAATTCTGGCGATTGACCTGGTTCGCCTGCTTCAATTGAGGCGTGATACACACGTAGTATATTGTCGACGTCATCCATAGACATCTGCGACTTGACATCAGCCAGCTGCTTGATCTTTTGTGTGGCATCTTTGACTTGCTCGTCTGATAATGGAAGGTTTAGTTGATCGACACGCGACTTGACAGCGTTCCATCCGGTCAATCTGTGTCCAATCGACACATACCTCGTCATACCGAAATCTTCAGGCTTGAGGATTTCATAAGTGGTTGGGTTGTTGAGAATTGCCTTTGCGTGAATACCAGCTTTGTGGGTGAAGGCTGAGAAACCGGTGATGTAGTTGTTGAATGGAATGTTAACCTCGACTTCCTTTGCTACCAAATTCTCAATTTCACGCAAGGCTGGGAGGTTGTATTTTGCCTTGACGTACTCAGGGTCAGAAGCATACATTCTAGCCATCAGACCACCGAGCGGAGTGATACCGTTACGCTCACCAATACCGAGAACGGAAGTGTCAATGTGAGTTGCACCTGCTTCCAAAGCAGCATATGCGTTGGCAATAGCGCAACCGGTGTCATTGTGGAAGTGAGTCTCGATATCGCAGCTGACGACACCTCTCAAAGTTCTCACCAAGTCGTAAACTTGACGTGGGGAAGCGCAACCGACAGTATCAGCAACACCAACTCTGTTAACACCGATTCTGTCAACAGTTCTGTAAATGGACAAGAGGTCAACAATGTCCGATCTGAACGAATCTTCGGATGAGAATCTAATCTCAATGCCCTTTGACTTTACGAACTCGATAACCTCAATGGCAGATTTAGTGATGTATGACATGTCCTTTCCGTGAGAGAATTCCCTTAAAAAGGATGAAGTACCAATGACAACATCGACACCATCAACACCCGTTTCAACGGCGACTCTAGCGTCATCCATGTGACATCTTATGTGAGTCAGGATTTTGCATTTCAATCCCAGGTTGCAGATAGCCTCACAATCCTTTCTGGATTGCTCGGAAGCCGTTGGAGAGGTGAGCTCGATGTAGTCGACACCGAACGCATCCAAAGCCTTGGCGATCTTAATCTTAGTTTCAGTGTCGAAGAAGGCATTTGCAAATTGTTCACCCTCTAAAAACCAGCCAATCAGAATGAAGAAGATAATTTATCAGCGATCAACTCACCTCTTAAAGTGGATTCAATGATCTGGAAGTTGGAAACGTTACTTAAGAAGCTGTCTACGCCTGCGTAAGGGTTGTTGACGTTCTTCTTTGTCAAGTTGGTTTGGTTCTCCACGGCTTGAAATTCTGATTTATCGGTCATGATGATTGCGGCTTTCCAAGAAGCCAGAAGTCCAAAATTTTTCTTTTGTTTCTAAATTTGTGACTCAGCCTATGTACAAGGCGCTGATTGTGCTTTTCACGTATACAAGCTTCCCGCAACCGTCTTCCTCGTTGCGTTATGGCAATCACCGCACGAGAACTGCTACCGCACAATACATTCAAAGGATTCAAGAGACTGCTTGTACCCTTTGGATATAACTACAAGGAAACCACTGGGCAATCGGATGCACTCGATTCAGCCACCAAGCACCCTTACAACGTCATCAAAACTTCAAAACTCGCACACAGCCAGCATCTACCCAGCTTCGATTTAGATTATGATTTGCTATCCGGCAACAAAATCATCAAGAACGAAAACTTCCACCCTTACTCTCTCGCATACGCTGGGTGAGTTGGTGTTTACTCATCTGACGTCATAGCTCACTTTGGACTAGCCACCAATTTGGGTTCTTCGCCGGACAGCTTGGTGATGGCCGGGCGATTACCGTACTCGATACTGTCGACAAGTACGGTCCTGTACAGCTACAGCTCAAAGGCGCTGGCTTGACCCCTTTTTCTCGATTCGGGGATGGTTATGCCGTGCTGCGCTCATCCGTGCGCGAATTCCTCGCTTCTGAGTACATGGCTGTTTTGGACATACCCACGACTAGAGCACTCTCGCTGATTTCACTCCCTCAGCTCGAAGTACAGAGGGAGACTGTGGAGACGGGTGCGATTGTATCCCGCTTAGCTCCATCGTGGCTGAGAATTGGCTCCTTTCAGCTCCTTAACCCCCCTCAATCCTCATACTTTGGTCTGAAACGCGACTGGGAAATCATGTCTCACCTCACTCATCACGTCGAAAATGATCTCTTTGGGAATAAGTTGGATTTCAAAGGCGTGATACTTGAAGTGGCAATGAGGAATGCTGTAACAGTCGCTAAATGGCAAGCAGTCGGTTTCTGTCACGGTGTTCTCAACTCTGATAACATATCATTGCTCGGACTGACACTTGACTACGGTCCATATGCGTTCATGGATATATACAACTCAGCACATATCTGTAATCACACGGACCAGGCTGGCTTCTACAGTTTCAAGATGCAGCCAAGTCGCGTGCTCTGGGATGTGCAGCAGCTCCTCAACAGCACTGCTGAGGTCGTCGGTGCGGAAGAGGAGGGTGTAGCGATAACTCCTACGTTTGCATTAGACAGTGAGGGCAAAGAGAGTTTCGACAATCTGTTCAGATGGCGCAAGAAGGGTCTTGAATTGAGTGACGAGATCGACGACGTGTTCAAAGAGACATTCCAAAGTGCATACTTACACGAAATGGGACTCAAGTTGGGTATCAAGGATCTGACCCACGCTGAACATCTAGATCTTGTCAACGTTTTCCTCACCATGATGCAGGACCAAGAGGTTGATTATAGCGCTACATTCCGCGCGCTTTCTAGCAGCGCCGATGAAAATGTTGTGGCTGATAGGATTCTTGCTTTCAAGCCCGTTACATCCTTCCTGCAAGACAGCGCAAAGGATACTTGGTTAGGCTGGCTCAAAACATATTTCCAGAGGGTTGAGACAGATATTGAGAATGGTAAGTGGGGTGACAAGGAACACGCTCACGAGGCGCGCCTGCATAGTATGCGCTCTCATAACCCACGGTTCGTGCTTAGACAGTGGGTGCTAGAAGAGTCTATTGCCAAGTTACAAGCTGGCGACCAAAGTACTTTCGACAGAGTATTCGAGGTGAGTGTTTGTGCACACCAAATAACTCCAAATTTCACTCACACACGCAATACACAGATGTCACTGAAACCATTCGAAGCTTTCAGTGAAAACACGCGCGATGAACAGCTAACTGAGGAGCAGCTCGATGAGAAGCGTCTGTGTGGATTGGGTGACGAGTCTCTCCTAGGCTATCAATGCAGCTGTAGTTCTTAATTTACTTTATGATAAGATATTGTACAATTATAATCATCTAATGCCATGAATCAGTGCGTCGCTGTCGCTGCTTTTGCCACTACTGACTCGAGACTCATTGGTATATATTCCAACACTGTCTTGTCAACTCCACCAGCCTGAGGCTCTACCCATACAGCATCGTCGTCTATATACACCATGATTCCACCCTTTCCGGCAGCGTTTTTTGATATTTTGTAGAGCATGTGACCTCTACGATGCAGTTTCCTAGTAGAGATAAGCAACAAGTTATGTTCTTCTATAAACTCCCTCGCCACGTCGTAGAAGGTGAGCTCTTTGTACTCTCTAGCTTTCCGTTTGGTCTCCTTCTTCCCACCTGAGTGTGCGGAGAGAGTAGGTTTGATAAGTTTCTTAGAAGCGTCTGCTCCCAGACCCATAGCCTGGTTGATGAGGTCGAGAGACGAGCGGAAGCCATCGCCGAGAGCATTCTGCGCCACCACTTCCTCTGGGAAGTACGCTTTCCAAGACGCATACCACGCCGCAACCTGCTCGTAGTTTACGGCAGGCGAGACGAGCCAAATATAAAGAGTATCGACTAGCATAGGAATAAAGGTGTTAGCGAGGACACCAGCGATTACTTTCGGCGAGAGGATGCCGTTCCACTGCAGAAGAGCTTCGAGTGGTTCGTAGTGTTGGTTGCGAGGGTTGATGAGGAGGTCATGTCGCAAGTGTGCTGCTAACTTGGGTACCACATGTGTAAGCAGTAGCCCATCCCAGTCTTTGCGACTGAGCACAGACCTCCACACGGCGATGGGAGGTGGCGGTTGGGATGTGTGCCAGCCTTTCAGCACCCCGCTCAGCTTGCGTTTGGCGATATCCATCACACCCCCGAAGCGCGCATGCAGGTGCGGCAACCATGGGAAGAGGAGGCTGTGGAGCGTATGGGCGCTACTGCCATTCCAGTCGTCTACCGCCCCCATCACCTTGGGCAGGAGGAGCTGATCCATGATGTTGTCGAATACGAAACTAGGCAGTAGATCTACCCATTCGTCGAGAAGTCGCGTCGCCGGTAGGGGAGTTGTAGGTTGCCACTCATTTATTAGCGCTGTGCGCAGTCGCGGTAGCCATACATGCCAGATCATCGACTCATACGGAGTCATTAATAATTGTGCGTTTTGGCTCGCTGGCTGTACCGGCGGTTTAAAATCGGCATCAATATCCTCACGACGCACCATAGACGTCTTGTCGGTTGGTGAAGCGTTCATAACGAGTGCTTTGCGCCATTTGCGCATCTCAACAATCCAATTACTCTGGCTGTTTTCTTGCGAGAGTGGCTTCCATTGTCCTACCAACCTCTTGAAAGTGGGGGTTATTGCACCGACGACAACCTCATCCAGTCTATATGTCTCAAATTCACTCCCATAGTCTAGTAGTGCAATTATAGGGATGGTGAATAAATCCAGAATTGGTGTTGGTAGTACTGCAGCTTCTTTGCTGATTTCTTCGAGTTGAGATACTACATCTTCCAGCCGTTTCATACGTTCTATTCTGATAATGTCACTGTCCAAGTTTTTCACAATCGCCTTCTCTTGCTCTAGTAGGGATCTGTGGCGGTCATTAAGCACACGCGCTTCCCGCGCTAAGCCTTCGAGCTGGCGACGACTCTCGTCTGCTATGAGAGAAATGTTGTGTCGGAGTTCAGGTAGTTTAGTAGAATCGCTGGTTGGTGTCCAGGAGGAGAGATGGGAAGCTAGTGAAGTTGTAACTTCGCGTGGCTGTGTAATTGTGTTAGAATGGGTGGACTGTGAGTACTTTACACCCACCTGCGCACCTGTTAGGTCGAGAATAGGACCAACATTTGACTGAATTTGAGGCTGATCACCGAGTGCTTCGAGAACTTCTTCATAAGACATATGCTTAGTTTTAGTTTTAACATTTGGTTGCCTCGATTTCCAAGATTTCAAGTTCTCTTTGCGAGGTTGAGTCTTCTTTCGATGTTTGACATCATCTTCATCATCAGAAACAACCTCACCACGTCGTTTAGCTTCCATTTTCTGTGCGCGTGTGCGTTCGTTGACAGCACCAACACCCGCACCTTGTGGGCGAGCTTTTGAGGGTTCGATAGGTACAGCTATACCTTTACCACCTTCACCAAGACCGTAACCAGCTTTCCAGCCCATAGAAGCGAGCATTTTAGCACCAAAAGAGTTTTGTATAGATGCAAAGTGCTTTTGATCATCGCGGCTGAGCTCTGCTTGTGCAACGGGTTGAGGTTTCTTAGCGAATAGGCTTGGTTGATTGGATTGAGAAGTAGAAGGGTGCTCCTCCTTGACTAGGGCTGGTCTCTCTTCTTCGTCGCTGGACGAGTATTCGTCGTCGAGGTCTTCGAGGTCGTTGACAACGTCATGAGATTGTGGGTTGTGAGGGGAGATAAAGTGAGGAGGGAGATGGGAATTGATGTCGTCATTAATGTTATCTTCGCTGGTGCTATCGTCTGAGCTGTGATTGGACATGACTGTTGGTTGTTAACCACGATGGAGATTGGAAGAAGTATTAGAAATTATATTTCAATTGGAGATGAGAATGGGTTGCGGGATGTAATAAACCGTGTTAAAGATGGACACAGTACTTTAACCCAGCTTATAAAGAATCTCGGTGAATATTTAATCCACGAAGAAGACCAAGTGAGATTTAAGGGAGTTAATGTGTTGAATGAGGTTATTAGGAATATCCCAGCAACTTCAATAAACAGACAAGCAACTCAAACGCTTTTAAATTTCTTTATTGATAAATTGAGTGATTTGAGTGTTATAGCACCCACGCTTGAATCACTGATTACACTTTCCACTTTAAATTCATTTGGCAGCTTAGAGGCTAATAATCTGGTTAATAGCCTATTCAATACACTCAACCCTTCTCAATTCATTCAACCTATTCGTTATTCCTTTTACAATCTTATTGATTCCCTCTTGAATAGACATAGAAGCACCCTCAAAGCACTCGGTGGCTCCTTCTTATCCGGCTACATATCTTCCATCAAAGGTGAAAAAGATCCTCGCAATCTTATGCTCATCTTTGGTATGAACACCGTCATCCTTATCGAATTTGACACCATGTCTCACTCTGAATCCCTCTTCGACGTCATCTTCTGCTACTTCCCAATCACCTTTAAACCCCCTCCAGATGACCCTTACGGTATTTCAACTGACGACCTCAGATTCGCGTTGAGACAAAACATTTGCTCATCCCCTCACTTCGCTCAGCAAGCAATCCCCCTGCTGATCGATAAACTCACAGCAACCTCTGGTCCTGTTAAACGTGACACTCTCCTCACTATCACTCACGCTTTACCCGTTTATGGCTTTGGTCATGTGTCTCAGAAGTCTCGCAGCTTATGGGACGCTATTAGCATTGAAATTCTCTATTCTACCGACACTCACACTGAAAACGTCGCTCTCGATTCTCTTCAATCTCTCATCACAACCCTCTACCCAGACACTCACCCAACTGAGCTGTTAAATGCCACGGAACTACCAGGCATCGCAAATCTAATATTTGATGTCTGCCACGATGCTATCAAACAACCCGAGAAATCCAAGTCAACCCCTGCTATCAAAATCTTGGCCACCCTCATCCAATCCTCCCCAGCCACACTCGCAAGACCCCTCACACACTCCACTCTCATTCCACTCCTCGAGTTGTTTGCTGTACCCGCCGACCCAACCCAGCCTCCACCAATACTCAACCACATCCATGCCATCTTGGTTGCCTTGTCCAAGGTCTATGCTGATCAAGGTAGATCATTCCTTCACGACAATCCCATCAATCCTAGCCTCAAGGAACAACTCAACAACACACTCACATCCACGATCAACAACAAACCCCTCAGAAGTCCTGCTTTAGCTGCCTTCACTCAAACTTTACACATCCATGGTTACTGGGATTTCAACGTCGATGGCGTGCAAATAGCCAATATACTTATTGACTTTGTCAAAGATCCCAATCAAGACCCCCACGTACGTCTCGTTGCAATCGAAGGATTGCTTTGTTTGGGTCAGGATATTCTACACAACATCGTTCTCCCCTCACTTCTCACCTCCATACCTACCTCGGTCGACTCCTCCACTGACTGGAAACCGATCAGAGCCATTCTCGCCTCAATCACTGCTTTGGCTGTCGATGGTGCGCTATTCGAGGACTTTGTATTGGGTGTAGAGGCAAAAATGAATCAAGTCAGCGGCGACTCGTTGAATCTCGCCTATGTCAACATTCTTCTCTCGACACTGTTAGTAATCATTGAAGAGAAGGCTGCGAAAAAACATCAAGACATCTCACAGTACACTTGCTCAATCCTCTCGAAGTTATTCGTTTTCTTCGTGATTGCTCATCCAGGTTCAGTCAACGAAACTCGCCTAGTAGAAACGGCTAGTAGATTGATTCAGGCTATTGTGAGGAGTTTCGACGTTTCACAGCAGCAGATACTGGCTAGGCATGTCATGAACGCCCTTATCAATGGCTACTGGCAGGGTCTGTTAGGTACTGAGGATGACATCATCCACCAACCTCCGCTCAGTACAAACTCTACGCACAGAGCTTTCTTCCCTCTGCTCGCCTCTGCACTTATACCAATAAAGCGAGAGGTGAATCTTCCGCTCGCGAGTGAGTCTGTGTCGGAACTGCAGTCTCTCTCGGAATTTGCAACGACCCTCACACGCTGGTCAATGCAATCTGCATCTACCCCTACTCAACAAATTGCATCGCAACATCTGCTCGCGAATCTCACCAATAAGCGCATCGAAAGTTTGTCAGAATACACAACACACCTACTGGGAGAATGGCCTGAGCGGACGAGCGCAGAAAGCAGTGCGAATTCCATCTTTCTCATTATTATACAGTGGATTGCAAAAGGAGCACTATGTCGTAACCACGCATTAGGTGTGGAGTTCGTAACCAAATTGCTCGATCTCATCACCAGTCACTCTGTCTATGCGGATAGAGTTGCTGGCGTCATCGGCGCGATTGCGGACGATAGCAACGATGGCGTCCTCGATAGGAAACGCTCAAATGGCGTATCTTCTCTCTTACATAAACAGAGATTCTTTGATGTCATCTTCCCAGTTGTAGTCGAACGTTATGAGAGTGCTGCATCGAGAAGCGAGGGTGAGTACTGGTTTTCGGAGGTATGCAAAGTTTAGCTGATTTTTCACCCCCTCTTTTTTAGATACTACGAGCGCAAAATACTTGGCTACGCTCGCACACCTTATTCAACACATGCCCAAATCACTCGCTTTGGCTAAATTGCCTCAGATATTCCCTATTCTTTTGATCGCTCTGTCTCTCAATGATGCTGCTCTTAGATCTAGCGTTATTGAGACTATCACTGTGCTTATCCTCACTGAGGAGACCATCGCACATACTGTACAGCAGCACATGTCTTCTCTCATTACATCACTTCTCTCTTTCTCCACAGATTCTGAACGTTCTTCTGTCGTGAGTAGACTCCAATCGACACTCTCCTCTCTCTCCTCTCACACACCCCACAGCGCCTGCGTGTATCCGCTCTCAAACTCCTCGGCGTTTTCCCACGCGTTATTCGTAAAGATATTCTCGAACAATTCAAGTTACAAATCGTTCGTCAGCTCGTCGTCGCTTTAGATGATCCCATCAAATTGGTTAGGAAAGAAGCTGTAGACGCCAGGGAGTTCTGGTTACAGGTCTAAATTATACTTTTCTCATAATAAAATAAATGCATCCATTAGTTTGATATCAAAAATAGAAGATGTAAACGTTTAATGTCGATGGAGAGGAATTGTTTATGTTGCGAAGTTTGCTGTTGTTTGCTATTGTATTCATTCTGCATTTTGCAGTTGTCTTTCTACGAGAAATTCCTATGCCTTTGTTAGCATCCGAACAATCATAGCAAATTCCACCCACTTCATCTCGCACTACTACGTCTAGCCTACTCACGACAGCCCTTATCTTATCCCTCAATTCTATGATTGAAAGGAGTAAGCTCGTCAAAGGGAACGCGAAGATGTCTAGAGGGTGTCAATTAGACGAGCAAATTGAGCATCACTTCACTCACGAATATAAGCAGCATTGATGAAATCATAACCGTATTTCTCAACAAACTTAGTTGAGTAGTTTGCTAAAATCGTAGGAGCTACCAATGCCATACTGACCTCCACAACAATTGGCTTCATAACACCAGTGTTAAATTGACTAAGGGATATACTCTCAAATCCCTCAACTAACATCTTGTTCATCAGATTGACTGGCTCGTTTACGTCCTTGTTCCTTGAGGTGAACAAGGCTAAGCGTCCCATTAACAAACCCAAACACCATGCCTGAGGTAGGTGTAATCGTGGAGGGAACTGCAAACTGTTGGCAAGATACTTTGTTGGAATGATGACCGCTAATTCCAGTGTAACTCCTACTAATGTTGGGAATATGAATCCTAAGCTTGTAGCATAGTAAACTGATTTGAGTAATTTATAAACTTGTCTATCTGTCACATTCTTGATGAACTTTTGATATACTACCGGTGGTGCTAATAAACCGTACAGTCCAACGATCAAACAGTATATGTCGTGCATTTCACGGCCAGTCAGGTTATCCATCACGTATCTACCCAATAGTATCGATGGTACTAAAATCGAGATGGCAACTGTAACAGTAGTGGCCCACAAATATGCGATGAACCATAGCAGACGGCGTTTAAAGTTTGGTGGAGCGTATACAACACACCAGCTAAAATATTGTTAGTAACATACTATTTCACTAAATTTTCACTCACTCTTTAGCCGCATCACGTCCACCGAATGCCGCCTCGCGCAACTGGTTTGCTACAGCTTTTTCGCCACTTCCATCAACGGGATAACCTGCCTCGTCAACGGGAATGAGCATTGGGCAAGGTCTTTTCCGATCGAATGACACATTGTCTGTTGCAGGTACTCTCATCCAATTACCTACTCTCATATTGCGCTTACTCTGTTTTAATCCAAACAAAGTCTGCCAATTGAATACTCTGTATCGGCTTTCTTCACCCTTATATCTTCCACCAAACATAAAGGAGCTCAATCCAAGTTGCGCCGAAGCCCAGCTCCACCATCTTGAGTAAAACTTTTTGGCGAGATCTCTTGGAGCTAGCTTGCGAATTGTGTAAGGCATGATAAACTGTAGAAACAGAAGATCGACCGGTACAATGCTGATTGGTTCCGTCATTTTCCACCTCAGTGGAAGAATGCCCGAGAATCCAAACCTTAACACGTAAAAACCTACTCCAAAAGTTGAGAGAATAAATGTCGAATATAAGAATGCTGAAAATGCTAATTTACGGACGTGTGTCCAAGCACTACGCTCCAGCACATCTCTCATTGGTGCGAAATTTGGATCATTTGGATCGCGTATAAACCACAACACACCAGGTCTGAGCAGTCTTCTTATCCCAGTGATGAGAACCGATACCAAGAACAGTAAAAGTGTACCACATAGCCACTTTGTAAACAAGCTTGTGATTGGTGAGTTGATGGTGTAGTTTAATCTGCTTTGGAAGCTTATGTCCGCGTATAGTGGCATAGAGCAAATCTCAAGCAATATTCCGCATGCCAATGGGAATAAGATTAATTCGCTGGCGAAGAGAATAGCTATCTTGGCGAGAATGACTTGCTGTGTCATGGCTTCTTTGACTACATTCGCAACTTGTAGCACTTGGTTATTGGTGTTAATGTAGATTGCAGCAAATGTGGTGGCGACTGCATAGCCCAGCAATATTGAGACTACACGTTCAGATGTACCATCATTTAGTGCCAATGACCATGACTTGAGCTTAACCCAATCAACGGACGCAGTGTACAGATGAACAACACTATCCAATTGATTAATGTGATCACCGAGGACGGGAATTTTCGACAAGACGTTTAGTATCTTGTTAAAAATGCTACTCTGAGCTTCCGGTTCATTCGGCTGTGATTTGGTAGCAAATATAGACCGAAAGAACGATAGCAGTCCCTTTACTATTTTTAGAGGTGGTCCTTTCAAGGACAGAATACTTTGCGATTCTCGGCTACCCAACCAATTCTCTGCAGCTTCAAATCCTCTAGCAATCGCATTCTGAACCCTTACTTGCATTGGCAACTTTGCCATCTCTGGTATACCTGAACCTGATTTACTTGATGAGAAAAACAGTTTCGTCATTAAAAGAGCTAAAATGTCAAAAATTGGATCAGTAAACCAGCGAGTAATATGGATAGGAAGTAGTGGGATATCTATTGGCCGCAGCTGAGCAAATATCTTTCCTATAGTGTAAGGAAGGAAGATGAAACAGCCTATTCCGATAAAGAAAAGAAGGATCATGAGAGATGAATTTTGGAATAGATTTGCTACTGGTCCACGTAGACCAACGGCTTCGAAAAGACCATCTAGCTCATCTTCCATTATACCACCTTCAGCGTCACCAGCATCTCTATCCTCGTTTGGGTTGTCATCCTCAGCGATTTGTGTATCTTCACTGCGCCTTTCCTCCTCTATTTCATCCTCTTCATTCTCATCTGGAATAAAGTAACGATCTAACTCGCGGTGATTGTAATCACCTCCAGTGCTTTCATCGCTGTCATGTTGAAAAGCGTTGCTGATGGGCTGATTTACACTCATACCCATGTTCATGCTCATACCCATCCTCTCCTCCCAACTACCATCATCGCTTTCATCAAGGGCTGATGAGCTTGAAGCGGTGTTAGGAGACATGAAGCCACTATTGTCAGAATTAGTGACCCAATCCGTTGTACGATTAGCAGCTGTATTGGAACGCAGGTTAGAAGCTCGACTGGTGGGACCGGTTGGAAGGTCTAGGGCAGATGATGAGCCTGTAGTAACAGCAGGAGATTCAGGAAGAGGAAGATTTGCAGCAACGTTGACATCATGAGATGAGTGATCTTCCCTAATGATATCACTTATTCTGCGCTGTCTTAGTTGAGAAGAAGTGGTTGTGTCTGATGTCTGAGAGGAATTGTCGCTTATATTGAAAGCAACAGCGGAGTTAGGAATTTGGAGAGGGTTGAGGAGTTGTCTAACTTTAGTCTTGAAGCGTAGACGTTCGTTAAGAGGAACTTCAAGGTTTGGGGGAGTAGGAAGCTGAGTGGGGTGTTCAATAAGGATTTGCTTGAGTGGAGGAGGAGGTTTTGAGCTATCAACATCGCTCCACTGGTCAATAATAGGACCTTGTTGAAGGACCCACTCCCTGAGCAAGAAGATGACGACGAAGATGACGACCAAAGAGCAGGTGATGGTTTGGCCTTGGAATATGTCATTTATAACCGACCAAAGGAAGGAATTCCAAGGGTTTTGATCGTCTTGTGGGGAAAGAGAGGAGGGGAGTGTAGAATTTGATGTGGCATTGTTATGATCAGCCAAAGCAGCTAGAATGGATTGATCAACGTGTTGATTGTTTGTTGTTGATATGATAAGGTTACCAAAGTAAAAGTAACAGCGCCAGCACCAGACAGTAATGTAAGGGAGGAAACCGAGCCAAACCAAGGCTACTAATAGGAAGTGTAGAGAGTGTAAAAACCATTTAATTACGCAGATTATGGCTCTTTTAAAGAAGAGTAATCTGGGTAATTGAGGAGGCATATACGGGGAGTAGACTGAGGTGAATGATATTAGAATTCTTAATATTAATCCACTAAAACCCACCTTTAGTGAATCCAAATGAATGCTTGCATATTTCGCAGTGTTCTTTCTTCGTAACTTTTAGCCATTCCCTTAGGCAATCTTGATGTACATATTTCAAGCTACCTGAGCATTTACATGGATGATATAAACTTCTACCTTCTTCTGAGCTGCAACGACAGATTCTGCAGACGTCTACAAGGTAGATATTAGTATGAGATGGATAACGCGTAAAAACCACAACTCACCCTCATCGTCTAAAGCAGTATCCTGCATTTTAATTATTTTTTATTTCTACAGAATTCCACGATGATGATATTTCGGGGACAAGTGATTATCTAGTCGCGTTCAATCGTACCTTCACGAGTAAATTCAGTAAATTGAGTAACTTACAAATGTCTGCTAAGGATGTAAGTGGGGGATTTCTTTAAGGTCCAATTAACTGATATCCACTCAGTATTACCACGCTGGTGGCCCACAATACGTCAGTATATCAAATTGCTTGGCGTGCATTTCATTTAGTCTAATTGATCACAGCCACCAAATTCTTATTCTCAACAACCTCCTCAAGGTGGCCAGGGCGGCTATTATCCTCCTCCTCCTCCTAATCAAGGCTATGGTGTGTTTGGTGGTCCAGCTCCTCACATATCTAACACACATTTAAGGCGGTGGTGGCTATCAACAGCCATATGGTCAACAACCTTACCCAAATCAACAATATCCTCAACAGCCTGGTGTAAGTTGCGATGCACTCCCACTTTAACCTAATCATCTAATCGTATGTTTCAAGTACCAGCAACCTATGTACGTAGCTCAAGGCAAGCACGGTAAACAATCTGGTGGTATGGGTGGTATGGGCTCAGGTGGTGGCTGCATGGGTGAGGTTTTTCATCAATAACTAATTCATTCACCTGACGATCCCTTTCAGCCGCTTTAGCTGCATGCTGTGCAGGTGTTCTCGGCTGTTTATGCTTAGACGCTATTTTCTAATCTTACTTGTCTGAACCGCTCGTTGTAAAATATTCACCTCGATTTCAAGGTAACATAGCCTAACTTGATTCAAAACTATTTATTGTTAATATACATTTACATTACTTTATATCTATACAGTTGAGTAATCCCTTATCTCTCCTTCATTCTCATCTTTTCACCGACAATGCTCAGCGTCTCCGGACGGATTGAGAAACCAGATCGGTACTATGACCAGAATCCAAGGTAGTGCCAAATAGGCGAAAAATGCAGAGATACTAGTACCTGCGTCCAATGCAGCACTTAGTATAAAATTGTTTGCATACCACGTTGGATATTTCCTCCTAACTACATACTGTGATATATATCCTACGATAAGCAATGACACTATCACGTTTGCAGGCATTTGAGGCACCAAATTTGCTCCAAACAATATCAGGGGAAATGATATATGCTTGAATCCAAGCCTTGGATAGCGCTTATGAACTGCCCACGTCAATATTGGCAATATCAATCCCAATATAAACCCGCTTATCAGTAATACCTTGTACTTCCCCACAAAAAATCTTGCAGGTCCTACCAATCCCCAAATAACTGATGCAGAGAACATTATACGCGGTGATCTTCCTGTGTATTGACCTGTCGGATCAACTAGAGTACCGTCGAGGTATGGTCGCTTGGTATCAATGACATTTTGTAGAACAACAAAATTCACAATTGCTCCAATTGCTGTGCCGATATATTGACATATAAATACATCCTTTTGAGGACAATGAATCATCATCCCTAGCTTGGAGTCCTCAATCAGATCCAATGATTGAGACAGAGAATTGTACGCGAATGTTTTGAAGACGGCGTTAGCCACTGGCTTACCCGGCATTATATAACCTATCACTAGCTCTGAAAGTACGTTCAATCCAATGCTCTGACCGCTAACAGCTCTAATAATACCAAGTGGTATCAAGCACACGGCTGCCATTAGCACTGATAGCGACAAGGCCCAGAATGGTAACTGAATGATAGGTTGGGCGCATGCGATAGCAGCGACGACGAATGTGATAACGAAAGTAGATATGTAGTATGATTTTGGTACTGATTGTGCCACCTCCTCTTGACTGGTTTTTTCCTTTCTCGCTGATAAGAGAGAAGCCTTGATATCTCCCGAATACCACAAGATAACGTGAACAATTGTAGCTGTGAATGTTGCGAATGAGCACAAGTAGAATACACTAAAGTATGGTGTCAGAAGTAATGGTTTTTGCTGATCCCAGCTATTCAAATCGAGCTTTAGATCAGGTGTCAATACACCTTGAACATCGAACGCTTGGTGATTCTTCGTAAATAGCCCGGTCGACATTGGCAGGTCGAATGAGAGGGCGTTCCAAAAATCTGTAAAATATATCAACGGTCCGACTATCCACACCATTCCCACCAGACCAGCGCACATGTTGAACAGTGCATCAGGGGGTGTGTAGAGAGGGCCCAAGGATGACAATGCAGACCAATCAAGACTAAAATCGAGCATTCCAAAACCCTGATAGCCACTACCAAGCGTGCGCATAACCCAGTTGTTGGAAAAATAGCATAAAAATGCGATGCTCGTTAGTGTTGGTGCGAAAAGGGAAGGAAGAAGCTGGTATAATATGACCTGAAGCTATTTCAGCAATTTGGTAGATATCCCAAAGTGAAAGACTAACTGCAACGAAGGAAACGATGAAAAATTTAAGTTTCTTGTCTACCTTTGACCTCTTGAGTTGATTGGTTTCATGAAGCGTGGTCAATACGCTGATAGTGGGTAGGTTGGCTGGATATACCATCTATGCAATACACGTTAGGCGTGAATGGTGAATATGATCAAGACTTACATTGAGTGGTTTGACCAAGATGTTGTATCCCAAACCGGCAAACGAGTATCCAATGAATTGGGATGTCAAAATGAGGGCAACAGCGACCCAGGTCGGGAAGTCGACTTTAAAGTAGAGTGTGCAGATAGCCAAAACATCAGAAGCATAAGCAGCAGTCCCGCTAAAATACTTGTTAGTAAAACAATAAGCTAGTCATACACCTTTTCCCACCCGCTAGTTGCTAAAATGCTTATTAAACAATGCTCCTTGATGTTGAAGGTGCCAGGATTAAGGTTGATACCGAGGAAACGGCGGTGCGGCATCGACTTTTCCATCAGTTTTCCAACGGGATAAGAGCTGAGTAGAACAATGAAGGGGTTCCATTGAGGTGCATTGTCCTGACTGTGTCAGCCACGGGAGAGAAAAGTTAAACACGGTCGTACCTGGAGAATGCTGTGAGCAAGCGTATATACATGCACTCACACCCACCTTAAAGTAAAATAGCTGCGAGAACGCCGCCCTAACATCCCAATCAGCTGGAACCGGAATAAGATCGGATGACGCACCCAAGACTAACAAAGACGGAGCCAATGACGATGACTCTAATTGTGAGTGTAGGGAGTGAAGGATCATCAGATTCTGGTACGATTGCTGTTACAGCGTCGATAATCGAGCTGTGCCTCGAGCGAGCTCGTTGGCCATCCTTAGGCAACTGTACACGCTCAGAACCAGCCAGCGGTTCCAATTCAAAGTGATCAAAATCATTGCCACGGTCATCACCCTCGTTATCGCTCTCACTGTCATTCGCTAGCCTGTCATATCTCATGGCCGTTCTCTTTAAAACGTATAATCAACAACTGGATTTGGTAATCTAATGATTCCGCTGCGATCTTCAAGTCATAAGGCTTTAATGGCGGAATATGATAATAAGTGGGTCTACGACTTCTCCGGCACCCCGCCCGATTCTCAAATGGCATTGTAAAGTTCACGACGCTATGACGACGACGAGCTGTACTCGAAGCCACCGATTCGGTGAGTTCAATCTTGGTCGTGATATACACACAGCTAAATGTTATATTTACAGCGCACTGAGGCAGCGACTAGTACGTGATGCAAGCAGGTTCGTTGGACAGCAACGGATAAACTGTCTTCTTGAAGGCGCATGGTTCAAGTGAGCTGAAATGCGTATTTGTAGTCAGCGCTAATGCCTTCGCCCCAGGAATGTTAAGGAGAGCAGGAATAAACTCAGTGGATACAAGTACTTAAGACTTTCCCCGAATAGGCGACATCTTCACTATATTGACGCATTGGAGACTTGCGATACACCAGATGGCCTTGATAGTATTCCAGATTTCATTAATTTGGATTCAATCACATCCGTTCAGTCCAAACTCGCTGGATCATCCACAGCTAGCCTCACCTCGACGATAAACATCCTCACTTTCGTTTCTAAGCAGGCTGTCGTCGCTGAGCTTATCCCAGTTACTGCTTCCCAATACTCGGAATGGTACGATGGTTTGCGCTATATCCTCGACGAATCCTCGTCTATGACGGGCCAGTCGAGTGATTTGGTAAATGTAAGACACTCTGTCGCTCTCTTTAACTACTCACTCTACTTCACAGACGCTCACAGATCTCGGCGTAAAGATCAAGCTTCTCGATCTCGCTGGTGAGAATATGGATATACCAAACAACATCCCAACGCCTCCTCCGCCACGCGACACAAACTTTTTCTTTGCAGACAGTTGAATGATTGGAATAGATAGTACATTGCTCTTTCTTCTTTTTTTCTTTTTTTCTTCCCTCTTTTAGGCATAATCAACTAGCTGATGGTGGTGGTGTAGCTTGCCCAGCGGGAATATCATCGAAAATTCTGAGTATTTGAGACTTGGGTGCTTTGCGCAAAACAAAGTCATACAATCCTGGTCGCAGCGTCGGTTGCTTTTTGACTAAATCCTTGAGCGTATCTTGAGGCAACTGGAGCAAAGCGCCGAAAGATGCAGGTGCTATTACTTTTGCACAGCGTACGAATCCCTCCCACATTACAGGCATCAGCCAGATCTTCCTTGTTATCAACCTTGAGAACAAGTTTGTCGATACAAATGGCACGAGTGTTTTATATGTCGTAACTGCTTGTATCACAGTGCGCATGAAGAGCTTAGGTAGTACCTTGACTTCAGACATTGATTGCATGAAAATTGCCAAAACATCTGATCTAAATATGTCTGTGAGCGAGAAACAAATAGCAATTGCTTGAGTGTTTTGTTAGATTTACGAGTCGCAACGTGAACGGAATACCCACCAATTATAGTCTCCTTCAGACCGATCTCAGTCTCACGCTCATGAAGTATTGTCAGCAGCTCAGCCGGTGTTATCTTATCTGGCTTATCCTTATCGACACGGACGACGTTGGTATTCACACTACCGAATGATTGAGGAGGTTCCACAACGGAGCTAAAGACAGTCCTGATGAGTTGCTTATTTTCCTCGCTCTTGAGAAGTTTAACGATGCGGGGTAATTCAGCAATAATTTCATCCTTGAGGAGTTGTTAACCTTGCTATATTCTCAGTAAAACACTTACCTTTGAAAGCTCCTGCAAAATGGGTATGACGAAGCGCGGATCAATTTTACCTTCACGTTCAGCGCTCAACTCTCTTATAAACTTAACGAGCTCAGCACTAGGTTTCTCTTTGCCAAAGTCAGTCAACACGTTCAAGATGCGTAGTGCTAATGGCTCAGAATCCTGATCGAAAGTTTTCAAAATAACCAACAGATTCTGATTCGAAGAACCCAATCCTCTGATCATAGGTGTGAGCGCTTTTTCGAACGAATCTTTAAGTTCTGGAGATAGTCTCGTGTAAACAATAAAAATATCTTTAAGAATTTCCGTTTGTCTCAAACACAACGAGAAGACTAATTCTGATCTCTCCAAAATCCTTGTGTCGATGGCAGCAGCGCGCTCTTTGGGAGATAATGTTACTCCCTCTTCATGGCTCTCTTTCTGAGAATTCTCTGACGCACCACCGTCTTGCTTCATAGGCTGATCATCATTATCCAGCTTTACGTCTGCCTCTTGATTAATTCCAAAATCAGTTCGCGTACCATCTTCTTCTTTCTTCACGTCGAGACTCGAAAGGAAAGTTTGCTGGTCCTGATACAAGCTGTGAAGAGATTTCAAGGCATGATCGAGAACAATAGGCGTGAGCTTCTCGTTATCCGGAACCCACTTCCTGACAGAGTTGACAGCCGCTCGACGCGTTTTCAAATCAGGATGCACGGCGAGCGTGAGCAGTATCTCAAGTGAAGCCTGTCGCACCGGCAAGCGCATCGCGACTAGTTCCCTGAGTATAATAAATCCCACTGGGGCCTTCAAACTCTCACTATCTAAGCAAATCTTATGCACTTTATTCAAAGAATCCTGACTAATGATTGGCAAATCCATCACAAATTTGACGAAAGCCGCGCTTGTTATATTGGAATTATTGTTCGATAATTGCGTAATCTGACGATCAATAATATGCGACAGTAACTCATTGTATCCATCCAGACTCGCATTCTCTTCTGTATCTTTGAGCAAGGTATAATTGAACCACTCTTCATTGAGCCAGAGAATAGCAATGTTGTATCGTCTGTCGAAGTCCATACTGATAAAATCTATTAATGTCTCCCGAGCGCGTTTCTCTAATTGTAACTGCTCGTCTTGGATATGGTTTCCAACGTACGACAGACCGCGAGTGAGCAACCTTACTAAAACAACAGACCACAGATCCCTGCCTTGAAATTTTAACGTTGACTTGCGAATATCTTCATCTGCAGTCTCGGTAAGAGCACTGTGTGGGATAGATTTACATATCCTTCCGATAGCATTCCTGATCACGAGTAATCTATCTCTTTTATCGAGGTTGGTTGGATGTTGCACTTTTTGCATGGCGCTAAGCAGAGACTGAGCTTTTGATTTAACACCTTGCATTCTGGTGGCACCCTGTTCATTTTCGCTGTGATTCTGATTCTGACTCTGACTCTGGATGGCTTGCTGTGCCTCTCCAAATGGCGCCACAGTGTCATTGAGGTTTCTATTAATCCCTTCCACATCATCTTCCAATTCGTCATCGTCTATATCTACCTTTAGCGGATCGATAGGCTTTTCGTCAACATCCATCCCATCTTGCGCAAATGGTTGCGATTGTGGCTCTAGTTGTCTAGATGGACCTGGCTGTGGACGAGATGGTAATACATGGGTGGTGGATTGGGAACTCTCTTCCGTCTTGATTCTCTCTCTCGACTTATTTATTGCATTTTCAAGACTTTGTTTGCTGACTTTCTCAAGACTCTCTATAAGCCCATCAATGACACTCTCGAGTGGGAGCTTCGTCACGTCAATGTCCATCCTAGATGAGCTGTCAGCAAAGACTGAAGGCAAGTGGTCATTTGTACGCTGACGCTTAAGATCTAAAGATTTAAGACTTGGAGTTTCAGCCATTGCACGCTTCATAGCCTTCTTCCTCGATTGCTCATCCCTAGTAAGCTGCTCAATCCGCTGAGCTTGCTTCGACAGGGACTCCATAACGGTTGGTGTGCTGTTACCAGTGAGGCCAAGTTTAACGAGATGTTTGAGCACGCCATAGAGCAACTTATCGACAGATTTGAGCTGAGAAGGATTCGTGACCATAGTCTGGAGGGGTGCCGGAGTCCAAGTCGCGAGAGCTGGTGCGATTGCAGCTGCGTACTGAGGCCGCTGTCTGGCCAAAACACCCAATATATTAATAGTCGCTGTAACGATGGATAGCTTTTGTGGGGTAAATATCAAAGTAAGGAGGGAGTGTAGTGTGCGAGTATTCTCACTCTCGAGGGCTCTTGTGTCGATGAAGGGGTGATTGCCAGCTATGAGAGATACGTTGACATCCCTCGACGATGTTCTGCCTTGTGGACGCGATTGGACGACGATGGACCGTTGGGCAAACTTGATAGCAGACAGACGTAGACTGAGTGGAGCGTGTTTCTGCTCAACCAAAGCAAATATCGCTGATTTTACGCTTTGCAGCTTATTCCAGCCTTGTGGCTGCCCTTGATTAACCGCGCTGTGTGCAAGGTCAGAATCGGCCGTATTGAATCAACAGAACGCACGAGAATTTAAGAATATGATGGTATGCGGAGGCCAAGCAGAGAATAGCGTGCTGTCTGTGCAGAGGATCTACGCTCTCGTCGCGGAAGATGGTGATGAGTACATCGAGAGATTGGACAGCGACTGGAATTGGGTGAGATGAGGAGTATAATAGACGCAAACCCAACTTATTGGATCGAGTCCGCTATTATCCAGCGCCTGCTTGAGCGGTGGTAGCAATTCAGCTGGGTCGACCATCAGTCGTCGTTGTCGCTGTTCAAGATGTATAAATAATTATTTATTATGTAATTTAAATTATTTAGCCAGGCGTCGATGGCGACGAGAAGCCCTTATAGATGGGTGCTGCAGATAGCGGCATTTGAGCTTGACTGGAAGGCGGTGGATTAGAAGAATGCGTTTCGCGTGACTTGTTGCTTGAAATGTCTGTAAGCGTTATAATGAGCAAATATCATCCACAAGTCACCCAACTCACACCACGAAGGAGTCCATCCGCGTTCTCCATTTGGCTCTTTCACCACGTAGCACCAGTGGTTATGTTTCTTGTAAACCCTCAGCTTGTCGTCCTTGTGTAGCCCACATTCGTTGTGTGTGTTGGCAGTGTATTTTATCAGCGCAGTGGCTGCGTAGCTGTTGCTGAGAATTTGCATCTGAGTGGCATCGTTGGATAGACTGGAGACCTCCAGCAAACACCCCGTAGGCACCCATCCAACCTCATTCTTAGCCTGTCTGCGTACAACCCACCATCCTTTGGCTCGTTGCACTATCTCAAATTGATCACTGACATTTACGTCAAATTCATCTTCTCTATCCGCAGTGTATGGGTATATGGCTATAGCGTAGCCTTGTATCTCCTCACTGCTACAAATTTCAGCGAGTGGTTTACCATTCCGGAAGCTAGTAACGTTAGCGTTTGCACTGGATAGTGACGAGTGCGGCTGATTACTACTACTGGAGGGTGGAGTGAGGGTATTGTTAGCTTCGCGTCTAGATCGCTGCTTTTGCAAGGCTATAGATATAGGTGATCTGAAGGAAGTATAAGAATAATAACCATGAAAATTAAAACACCAACCTCAATTCCTTGATATGTCGGAGCATGAAGACGGGTTGCTGAGACTGTTCTTTTAGCTTCTGGAAGAGCTGCAGAGGACGCTCATCGTATGACAAGCAACGTTCAGTTTTACCATCTTTGAGGGGTGAGAATGAGAATGAGAGTCCAAGATAAGGAGCAGCCCCACTCACAGCAAATGAACAAGGCATACTTAGTCCAATCATCATCAATTTTGTATTTCTTGAGCGCAGCAGGGAGGACAGTCCAGCAGCTGTCATCGAGCTTAACTTTTACGTTTGATTTAGCTTTACCAGATCTAGCACGGGATAAATCACCAAGAGAAGCCTGCCTGAGAAGTCTGGTGGTGTCTTTCAAGTTATTAGAATCCCTGGTATCCTCGTTGTCGTCATCTTTGAGTGTCTCAGATATGTTTGAGGAAGCAGAGGTGGATGAAGTGTTTGGGGGAGCAGAGCTTGGTGCGGAAGTGGTAGCAGGGGAAACGGTGATAGTCTTTGGAGAAATTTCAAGTTCGGAATCGGGGGATTTGAGCAAGTCGTCGAGGTGCTTGGAAGGTTTCGAGGAACTATCAGACTTCAAACACATAAGCTCATCGTAAGTAGCTTCGAAGGACTTGAATAACCTCCTGTAATCAGATTCCAGAGCGTTTAGTCTATCGTCGTGGACGGACACCTTGTTTATAAGGTTAGATTGGCTGTAAGATGAGGATTTAGATTGGTTTATGGTTTCAGCTAAGAATTTGAGTGAGCAAATGTCTTGTTATCTGATAGACTGGAGACATACAAGGTGGTACATAGTGCTCTGGTTCAACAGAAATATCAAAAAAGAGCTTGAGATGATAAATTTCACGTAGAATGTTAAGCCTGATTCCAACGGATATAATACCCAGATCCTTGAGTGCTTCATGGTCTAGCAGCGGGTGTTAGCGTGGAACACTAACGCAAGCAGCAGCTCACCCAAATGAACGAGGATTTCACCAGAAATCTCATTTTCTAGGGGAATTGAGATGATTATGATGATATAAAAGACACACACCTTTGAACATGTGCAGATGCTGTGGGTAATTGAGCTGCTGTAACCAACATCCGACATCAAAATCACTCCAATTAAGAATATTCTTATTCCTTAGATCTTCATTGAGGTTTGGTGGTGTCATTTAAAGCACAAGCTGTTCAATCCAAGCTGCTCAAGCTGTTGGTTGTTATTTACAACGATGAGCTCGAGGTGGGCTACAACATAGATTTAAAGAACTCCTCTGACCACTTGAACAGATTCAATTCAGATTCCCATTTACGTGATAGAGCTACCCTGTTCAGCACTCAAAACCGCTCAGATTCCCCTTTCTATAGCCATACTAGGCCTACGCAGGAAATGGAAAACCAAAATGATCAGCATATTGAAGGCCTATCCAGTAAGGTTAGGTTGCTAAAGGATATTACTCTAAATATCGGTCAAGAAGCGAGAGATAGCGCTATCGAATTGGGCAGTATGAACGACAGCTTCGACTCCACAGGTAACCTCTTATCAACCACAATGACTAGACTCAAGCACATGTCAACAAAGCAGAGTGGCAGATGTTGGATTTACACCGTCTTCTTCTTTCTAATTTTTTGGATTTTCATTATAACGTGGTTCTTAAGGCGGTAATACGTGAATATCCAAGACACTTTAAAAATACCCTGTAATTTATTCTATACAAATGCTATAAATACTGTCCCAAGGTTTGGTTCTCCCTTCTAATCTGACTCCGTGTCTGGTTCACGCTCATTAATTGTTGAGTCTGACAAGAATCTCAATGTTCTTTGTCTCCTCCTCTCCTCCTGTGCCTTTACTTCATTTCTAGACATCTTCTTCTTCTTCTTTGGCTTTGGTACGCTAGATCCGCTGTCCTCTGTTGCTGATGTAGCTGCTGAGTTGGCAGCAGATGCAGCAGCTGAAGCGGCTCTAGAAGCAGCCTTAGATCCTGGCTTTGGTCCCTTCTTCTCCTCAGGCGCATCTTCTATCTCTGCTGCCTTACCCTCGATCGACAATACACCGGCATCTACGTTCCAGATCTCTGGACAGACAGCGTGAACGAATTCGAGGTTGTGTGAGATAACACAAACAGCTCCTGTCCATGTGTTAATTGCTGTTGCGAGACCACCTACTGACTCTCTATCCAAGAAGTTGGTTGGTTCGTCGAGAATCAATATCTGTGGGTTGTTGTACATGGCTGCTGCAACTACAACCTTGACCTTTTGTCCACCTGACAGACCTGATATTTCATTGTACTGCGCAATATCACCATCCAATCCAAGATCTTCAAGCATCTTTCTAATCAACTCTGCCTTATTATCACGCTGTCCTGCACCCTCTCTAGATGCTTCGAAATCATCGAATTGTTGAACGAGCTTTGAGAAGCCTGAGTCGATAAGCAACTCACGAGGAAGCCATACGTTCATCTATCTTATGTCAGCAAATTTTATCTCAGATATAATATACCATCCCACCTTATGAGGAAGACCCTTCCATTTGACGTCGTATTGGTAAGATTTCTTGAGCTTTTGACGACCCATAATTCTCTCCAAGTAGCGCGCTTCACCTGTTTTACCAACGATAGGAGTATCGAACATTTTCTTATCTTCATCGGTGAGCACACGCGTCTCCTTCTCGAGCACTTCACGATCATATCCCTGCGCATAACGCCACTGGATGTATCCGATTGGTGTCTTTTCGAGATGTTGTTCAATGTGGTGGAAGGCGTGCTGGGCAACGTAACCGACACGAAGATTAGGATGCTTGTAAACGGATCCAGTTTGCGGCACCGTCTCACCAGTGATGAGCTTGATGAGTGTGGATTTACCAGCACCGTTTGGACCAAGTATACCAACTCTGGAGCTGAGCGACAGCGCACAACTAACGCCATTTAATTGGGGTCTTGGTGTATTTGGATAAGCAAAGACACAATCCTTCAGTTTCATGATGGCGCGCGTGTTGGACCTCACTCCCATGAGTGATCCTGGTGGTGGGAAAGAAAACTTAATCGACGTCGCTTCGAGCGTGTAGTATGCTTGTGCTGCAGGAACTTGCGCAACAAATGCAGAAAGGTTGCCCTTGTAGTATACTAGTCTACGGTCTTCGTAGTGCATGATATCAGTGCACACAGCATCGAGGAAACCTGAGTCGTGAGAAACGGTGAGGATGGTGGTGTTGTTCTCGACCAACCAATTCTCGAGCCATTGAACAGATGGAACATCCAAGTGGTTCGTTGGTTCATCGAGCAGCAACACATCAGCCCCAATACACATGGCACGTCCGAGCTCAAGCTTCATCTTCCATCCACCAGACAATGACCCAACTGGATCATTCTGCTTCTCTTGCGAAAACCCAACAGACTCAAGTGCTTCAGTGATTTTCTCACGTGCGAGTCCCTTGAGGTTTGGATCCGAGGCGACATAATCTCCAATTGAAAGTGAGGCATCCTCACCTTGAAGAGCGTGCTCGACCATGATTGTACGAAGCTGGTCTTGGGTAGGGAAACCTTCAACCTTACCATCGCGGAGTGCCTTCAAAAGGGTGGATTTACCCTTACCGTTACCAGCACAGATACCGTATCTGCGACCACGTACGATTCTCAGAGTGGTGTGGTTAAGAAGCAACAAACCACCGTAAGCTAAGGAAAAGTCAGTGCGACAAAGTTCTTCCCCATCGTCTTCGTACTCGTTGAGAGTACTAGCGTTGGCCTTTTTGTCAATTTCCAAAAAGACATCGAGGGTCTCTTGAGCGACCTTGTTAGCTTCGTCGCGCTTTCCTTGGAGGAAGTGTTGGAGGTACGGAGCGATGGTGAGATCAACCCATTTAGATCTGTCAAAGTCACGGTCGTATGCGAGATCGACGATCATGTCTGAGATGTACTTGAGAGTGATAGCGATAAGGTCATCCTCTTCAATCTTTGGAGCAGCGACAACAGTAGTAACACCCTCGGCAGTAAGGAGGCGATTGAAGACTTCACACGCGTGGATAACTTCTTCAGGTCTCGAACGTGATGCTTCTGGGTTAGAAGAAGAAGCACCAGCGGAAACCATAATTTTGTGGGTTGTAGCAGCGAAAGCTCTAACTTCAGGGAAAGCGGCACCTTCCTTGATGTTGGTAACACCTGGGAAAAGGTCACCTAAATATCTTGCAGCAACGCGTGGGTCTCTGACGAGTTTAACGAGGTTACCAATGACGATGACGGTCATACGGATAGTCTCCATGCTCTTTTCTTTCAAAGCTCTACCAAGAAGAGGAACGAGAACGGCGAGACAAGGTCCATCGACTTCAGCAACGAAAGTGGTGGAGCTGAGTTGCTTGATGAGAGCAGGAACAGCGGTTGAAGACTGCATTGCGCTGACTAAAGAGGGGACATGTGGAAGAATGTCTGGGTTTTGAAGCAAAGAACAAACAGCCATAGAGCACTTCTTAGCGGCTGATGAGACTTCAGATTTAGTGTCGTGCATAGCGGCTTCAAGGTGAGGAACGATTTCACCGAGATGTTCAGCGAATCTGCCTCTCCAAAGGGGACCACCAGATTTGACAAGTTTAGTAATAATTTGGAGAGCCATGGATTTGGATTTCCACTTGGCGGAGGAAGAAGACGTGAGTGACCAGATGTTCTCGAGTAGAGAAGTAATAGAATATGGATTGACCAATGAAATCAGAGCATCGATTGCAGATTGAGCAGCATCTTTAACGGCTTCGCCCTTGTCTGCAACGAGGTCGAGAAGAGTTGGGAGAGTGCCTATATAGAACACCTCCAAGCCACCGTGAACCTTTGCTCTTTTGAATAAAGATAAGAAAGCGATACACGCAGATTGACGCTCATCGCCAGATTTCTTGTTTGTGGCTGATTTCAACAGTTTTTGGACGACGTCACTGGGCATAAGCGTGAGCGGGTAATATTATACTTGATTATAATTTAATCACCTCAAATATCTCACTCCTGCCTTGTCAAGGGTGGCTGCCAAAATTTCAGCGTGGTGTTTGGAATCCTCGGTAGACTCAGCCTTGAGGAGAGCGTCTACCGCGCCATTCAAATCACCAGAGAAATCGTTCAAGTTGAGCGATTCGACGCTGATCATTCTGCTGGCTGTGGTGATCGTTGATAAGAAGGAAGAATTTCTTAAGTTGAGTTGTTGGACAGCAACGACGAAATCAAAAATAATCAAAATTCAATTAAATTAAATTATGAATAGAAATTCTATAGCCAGTGTCAGCCACAGCTATTTGAGTCTCATCGTGCTCAGGATTCTCGCTGCGAATGGATTCAACAGGTCATCACAGCAATCCATCGAGTCTCTCACCCACGTTCTTGAATGCTTTCTCCTCAATTTGGCCCAATCTGCTGCCGATTACGCCCACATCGGCAGAAGATCTGATGTCTCCACCCACGACGCTGCTTCTGCCGTGCATGACGCTTTAGGCGATAACTACTTGGATAGTCTACACGATCTCATTGAAGACTCTCCTCGTCTCCACCTCAACAAGTCTCCCTGGGAGATTGAATGCCAAAAGGCTTTATCCGGTGCGTTTGCTGTGTGTTTGGTGCTGCCCCTTTAACTCTCCCAAAGACCCAGAATTCGTCGGCTACAACCTCCGCCCAAGAGCCGTGCGCTACGATTATGATAGAGTGCCTGAATTCCCCACCGCATCCCTCACTCGCTCTTCATCCGATATGGACATTGAGGACGACAACGATTTATTCGGCCAATCTGAACAGCAGCAGGAAGCAGTGGAAGTGGAAAAGGAAATCGATTGTGAAGAAACTTTCGATGTCGACGACGCTACCCTCATTCCACCCAAAAAGCGCTTCAAAGATGATGCGCAACTCGTTCCAGCCGGTTTCCCTGATTTGCCTACGCAGAATCCACTTGAGGATCTCCCTGATGCCGAGGACATACATGCCACGCCTCAACTACCAAAAGCGCGCCAACAAGATGTCACCCAAGACATCTACGACCCTTACCTCAACCCTATCCCCTACAACCAATCGCAGCTATCGTCGCTGCATCCATACACACCCCTCACTGCAGAGAACAGCAAAGAGGGTGCTGACAGTGTATCCGAAGCTGATTTCCTCGCTTTACTCCTCAATGCACATTCGAGTGCTGCTCAAATACCCCAACTTAACAAATCGAATGGCAAGAATGTACAGAGGGAGAGAGTGGGCACGCTGTTATCGGCAGTGACGTTGAGTGATTTCAGTGCAGCTGATTCGCTTTACGGAATGTTCCCAGCAGCTGGTTTGAAAACACAAGCCACTGCACCCGCACCCTCACACTACCAGTCGAATAAGGAGAAGGAGAGTATGGATAATTACGCAGATAAACTCAGACCTGTCGCTGCACTTCCTAGCTCGGCTGTTGCCGCTAATGCCCTCTTTAAGGCTAGATCCCCACTCGCTGCTCTAGCTAGAGTACTTCCGAGCGACTTTAATAGACGTGTGACGAGAATGAAACACCCTGAAGCCCTTCACGACCCAGCTCACAAACATAAATTCACTTATGGTAGACCGCACTCGGTTCCAGGCAAGGAGAAGGATGAAAAAGGTCACTTGATCTACACATGGGATCACAAGCTTAAGGATTGGGGTAAGAGTTAGACGACGTTGTATTAGTGTTTGAAAGTGGTAATATGAATGGTACTTGATGCATTACGTAATTGACGGACGAAACTGACGACACTGATACACTGACTGCGATGAATATGGATAGCCAACGTGGCCTTCAACTCAAGTTGAACATGAGATGAGCACCTCTACCACCCACCCATCACGAGCATTTGGACCATTCAATTGAAATTGAACGACACGTATCGGCATCAATTCTGGGTATTAACTAAACAACATAAACAATCAAGATGAGTTTAGAAGACTAGTGTTGATTGTGCGCATGCAACACACACGACTAAATAATACTGCCAGCTCGCGTTAACAAACAAGTTGAATCGAAATCGTTAACCTCAGATCACCACTTGGGCATTTTAGGCCGCACATGCCAAATCAAGCACATGAAGATGTCTAGGAAGGTCAAGTGGATTGGGTTGATGGGAAGCACTCCCCCGGCTCACAAGACTCCCCAGGAAAGTGGTGGCTGTCGCAACAAATGTGTTTACTGGAAAGCAACAACAAACAATATATCCAGCAGATTACCAAGTTAAAGTATTGCCCGTTCGCTAAACAGATTATTCATTACTCTGATTCAGCGATGACGGCAATCTCACACTTGAAGGCTGGGGAAATTCCCGAGATGTTAGGGAAGATATACCATCGCCTGCTGGAGGCTTAGGGAGAAGATATTGAGTGAAATTGAGCAAGAAAAGGCGTTCGCCATATCTGTCGTTGAAGCTATACGAAAGGAAGCGTGTATTGATTAACAAGAATAAGAATCTACTGAAAGATTGAGCTCCATTTCAATGGCTTTGTATATTGTACATGCAACCACCCAAATGGTCCCAGCCTAAAGCGGAAAGGAGGTCTACAACAAGCAAAGGAGAAAAGATTATTCAAAATACACAACACCCCTAAAACTCGTTTTATCTCATTAATACAAATTTTTCGCACTCGAGAGGAGATTTGCCGGGTGAATTAAATCTTCCTCTTAGACAACTATCAAGTAAGAAATTTTTGAGAAAAGAGTTGAGTACGGCTGATTGTACGACGCAGTGAGCGACCACGAGGATCAACCAACTTTCGAATCAGCTGGTTAGTTGCTGTCAGGTGATATACGTGTTTACGCTGACATGAGGGAATTCAGGTGCCGGTGCTGCCCAGACTTACCCAGCCCAATGCTCTTCATTGAGAAAGAACGGCCACGTCGTCATCAAGGGCATGCCTTGTAAGATTGTTGATATGAGCACTTCCAAGACTGGTATGTGGGGTGTACGCTTACAGGATTAGCTCAAAATACCACTAGGAAAGCACGGTCACGCAAAGGTCAACCTTACTGCCTTGGATATCTTCACCGGCAAGAAATACGAGGATGTCTCACCATCCACCCACAACATGGACGTTCCAAACGTCAAGAGAACTGAGTTCCAATTGGTCGACGTCGACGACGGTTTCCTCAGCTTGCTCATGCCAAACGGCGATTCCAAGGACGACGTCAAGGTCCCAGAGGGTGAATTGGGTGAAAAACTTGAGAAGGACTTCAAGGATGGCAAGGATCTCATGGTCTCCATCCTCTCCGCTATGGATAGAGAATCTTGTGTTGGCTACAAGGAGGCGCCACAAAACTAGGCTGGGTCTTTTGAAATTTTTGCATGATGAGTTGCTTCCCAAAGACGTTATCTTGTTATTTTTGAAAATATATAAATTTTAAATATTCACATGTTCTGCTTTGATTGGGCGAGCGTCTTGGCAGGGTTTCAACCTGATTTTTATATTGTCTCGATACAATCACGAAACGGCGTGATGAGAGCAAGTGTATTCTTAGTTGTGGAGTTGTTTATAGTAGTCTTTGCACTGTCCATTCTCTACACGGTCCTGCCGGCACACAAAGAGCCATTTTTCAGACCAGCAGATGTGATGGAGAGTAAGGTGAATAACGAGCTTTTTCGAGCACCCTACAACGAAGTTTATCCACCACCGCGATCTTTCGAAGAGCCTGACTTTGGGCTGCTTACGAGCTCACCGCCGAGCCACTACCCTTGTAGCTCAGACAATGCACCGCGGCTATTCATCGGCATCTTCAGTACGCCAGACCCATCAGCTACAGCGCGCCGTGCGCTAATCCGCTCGCTCCTTTCGCAGACTTTCGAAGCAGTCGGTAATGCTGTGCTTGAGTACAAGTTCGTAGTGGGCACGAGTGAGCATGATAGTCAAAACAACGCACTCGCACAGGAGCATTCGGTGCATAAAGACATCCTTACCTTACCCACAAGCGAGAACATGAACAGCGGCAAATCGTACGCCTACTTCCGAGCGCTACTCGAGATGCACAAGCGCGACCCAGCCTTCACGCCGCAGTTTGTGGCGAAATGTGACGATGATACCCTGCTAGTTGTGCCTGCAGTCCTCAACTCACTGAGTGGGCTACAGTGCGATCAGAATGTCTACTGGGGGACTTCGGCAGGACGCAGCAATCACTTCCCGGAGTACTTTCGCGGTCTCGCTTATATACTCTCTTGGCCTCTCGTAGGATGGATCGGGGGGAGCGATGTTGGAACGCTGCACCAGCACGGCATCGAAGATGCTAGGACAGGCCAGTGGATGCAGATGCTACCATATCTCTCACCCAGTGAAAGCGTCAGGCGTGTAGATAATAAGTGGAACATGGGAGATTGGAACCAGCTGAGCATCACGCAGGATACGCTGGCTTTGCATTGGTAGGTGTCACATCTGTGGCTGTCTAATGCTAGTCACGAATCCGTAATTACCCATCACTTATCACTCATACTCGTCCCAGGCTTAAAATGGACGACTGGTATCGCACTCAGGCGGCTCTCATCGACGAGGCGTGGGACCTCACCAACGGTGCGTGGGTCTGGCGGGGGTTGCCGTCTCAAGAGGAGGAGAACCGGCGCAAGGAGATGCACAGAGTGGCTGTCGTGGAGAAGGCAATGGTGCGAGAGGCGTCCGAGAAGAGCGGGGTCTTGTTCGATGATGCTGAATATAACCGGTTACATCCGGAAGGGTTCACTGTGTTTTAGCACGTCACGTGTCTTGGTTATTTTTTCGCTCTTTAATCGCATGCACGGGACGTGCACGGGATATACATGGACATTGAACAGTAGACATTTATGCATGTACATAGAGAGAAAGAAAGAGAGGTATGGATGGTGTGGAGGAGGTATGAATTGTGCATAGAGGGTGAGTTGGGCGTTGAGAGCTGTGCACTGTGTTTGTATGCGCTGTTGTGCTGCTATGATTTATGCTTCAATGCTTCATATAAACCACCTGCGACTATTCCTGGCTGGTCTCTTACCCGAGCACTGCGGCTGTGTTAGTTAAAGTTGCACTAGAGCACTAAGCACTGTAGCAAAGCACCACATCACACCACACTCACAAAAGCATCGTCGCAGAACTCGTGTTGGGCTTTACACATGAGGCCACAGATGTCGCAACTCCAGTAGCAATCGACGTTGGACACGCCTGGATCGCTGACTGTCTGATTGGTGCGCTGCGTCGTGCGTGTGAGTTATTCTGCATGTTGTATTCTGTTTGTGGATACCTCCACACTCCTTCACAACTCACCTGGCTGATCGCACCACTAGCACTGCTAGAGACACTGGACTGCGACGGATTATGTACCATTTTCATACTCGGTTTTATTTCTTCGACACCCAGCAGACGTTACGACGTTACGGAAAAGCAGCCAAGGATTCGCAAATTTATAAGCTACGCCCGGCAGCCGCGTGCCGGGAACTTGATCACTGAGGGGCGGTTGTGCGGGTGAGTGGGTTCCTGGAAGAGGAGTAGTGGTGGGAAGAGTGGTGTGTGTGTGTGGTGTATATGTGTGTATGTTGAATGAATTAATTCCTCACGTCACCCCGCGATAGAGTCCGATATGGAAAACAAGGTACAGGTGCAGGATCGAATCAAACCAAGAAAAACCATGAACCAAATATTGGGGAAGGAGATTAAGGAGAAGGATTAAAATCAAAAATAAGGAAATTAATTTGAGTTTTGATGAATGGAGTATTGCGGATACGCGGCAGGTACAGCGGGATGTAAGGGTAGGTTGGGAGAAGCAGCTCTTCTAGCAACTTACCCATGGCTGTGTGTTGTTTTCCACCTTATTGTGATAATCGAGAAATCTCAACTGCGATTAATTTGCACCTCGGTATCAATTAGATAAGTAGAAGCTGTTTAAATGATATATAGCGTGTATAGCGTACATGTCTGTGCTTATAAGACTCCATCACTTTGTTCATCTATCGCAAGCTGAGAAAGTTGATCGAGCAATTGTACGCCTTGAATTTAAAGGAAGAATATAAATAATGAATAAAATATTTCAAGTACATTATGAACACCACCAAATATACCGACCCGACCCTCCGTCTTCCAATACACTCACAACACCCATGGACCACACACGCGACGATAAATTGGTCTTTGAGAGCAGCGAGGAGGTTAGCGTGGCTACGTCATTTGATAAGATGGGCTTGAACGAGGATTTGATCAGGGGGATTTATGCGTATAACTTTGAGAAGCCTTCTGCCATCCAGCAAAGGGCTATCGTACCTATAACCAAAGGCAGAGACGTTATTGCTCAGTCGCAGTCAGGCACCGGCAAGACTGGCAGCTTTGCTATATCGGCTCTTCAGGCTATTGATACGAATGTGAGGGATACACAGGCGTTGGTGTGAGTTGGAGCGGTAACATGGATTATCCCAGCTAACAAATCACAGACTCAGCCCTACACGTGAATTGGCCACACAAATCCAATCCGTGGTCCTCGCTCTCGGTGACTACCTCTCCGTCCAATGCCACGCTTGCATCGGTGGTACCAGTGTTGGTGAGGATATCCGCAAACTCGACCACGGCCAGCACGTAGTCAGCGGTACTCCTGGCAGAGTATACGACATGATCCGCCGCCGTAACCTCCGCACGCGCAACATCAAAATGCTCATCCTCGACGAGGCAGACGAGCTCCTCAACCTTGGTTTCAAAGATCAGATATACGACATCTATCGCTATCTTCCACCAGCGACTCAAGTAGTCTTGTTCTCAGCCACCCTCCCTCACGATGTACTCGAAATGACCACCAAGTTCATGACTGATCCTATCCGCATTCTCGTTAAGCGCGATGAGATTACACTCGAAGGTATCAAACAGTTCTTCGTCGCTGTTGAAAAAGAGGAGTGGAAATTCGACACACTCTGCGACCTCTACGACACCCTCACCATCACACAAGCTGTGATATTCTGCAACACGCGCAAAAAGGTCGACTGGCTTACTGATAAAATGCGTGAAGCTAACTTTACTGTGAGCGCTATGCATGGTGAAATGCAGCAAAAGGATAGGGATGGAATCATGAATGAATTCAGGGGTGGAAATAGCAGAGTCCTCATCACTACTGACGTCTGGGCTCGTGGTATCGATGTCCAGCAAGTCAGTCTCGTCATCAACTACGATCTCCCAAGTAACCGTGAAAATTACATTCATCGCATTGGTAGATCAGGCAGATTTGGTAGGAAGGGTGTTGCTATCAACTTTGTAACCACGGAAGATGTTAGGATACTCAGGGATATTGAGCAGTACTACGCTACTCAAATAGACGAGATGCCACTTAATCTCTCTGAAATGGTTTGAGTGTTTGTGTTTAGTGCTTAATTTTGTCATGTAAAAGTAAATATTCATTATAAACGTAAACTAAAGATGATTGATAATACACAAGTATTACACAGTATTACACAGTATAAAACACTCCTTCTCACTCCCTGGCTACCAGCCATGCAGGCTACCAATTGTCTTGCTGCCATCATCAAAGAATGGATCGTGGGTCATAGTGTTGAGGTGCACTTCATGGTCTCTGTGAGCATGAAGGGTGTGACTCTGAGCGTGATGCTCATCGGGTCCTATCCCAGCCAACGCCGACAGGTTACTTGGAAGTTCATGACTAGCCGCCAATCCGCCTGTTGCACTAGTCGCCGCCGCCTGCGGCATGAATTGCGTACCCCATCCGCTATCGAATGACGGTACGAATGATGGACTTCCACCGTGTATATAATTTGGTGCATCCAGCGTCGATAGTATATTCGACGGATCCCATGGATGCATGTCGAAACTATTTCCTCCCTTATTCACATCCAGACTCCCTGTGCGATGTTTAATAGGTAATGATGTAGCAGTGGGAGGTGAAGTGGTTGATGTGCTTGGTGTGTGAGTGTGTCCAGGTGCATTTTGTGACGATTGTGGTGAAGGCTGGGAAGCTACTTGTGTAGGTGCATTACCATTACTATTACCATTTCCTGCACTCGCGCTTGCTCCAGCTGCCGCTGCACCGGCCGCTGCTCCAGCACCAACACCAACGCCAACACTTCCGCCTCCACTTCCTCCACCACCGCCGCTGAAGGACGCCGAGCGACTGTGATGGTGCTGCGTAGCGCCGCTCGGATCGTACACAAATTTTCCCTCGAGCGCCGCCAATATATCAGGTCGGTGATATTTGCGTAAACGCACCATTACATCCGCCGCCTTCTCGAGCGCCTTATGCACAAGATCCCACTTGTAATTCTTCGCCGTGCGCTGAAGGATGAGCGAGTACTTAGCGAGCAGTCCAAGCGGGCTCGAGTGGGTGTTATGTGGTATAAAAGGTGCCATGGCCGACTCCTTGCTATAGAAAGCGAGACGGATGAGCACCGTCAGCAGCAGCGTAAAGTGGTTCGCTGCATAAATTAGCCAATAACCGCGTATATCAGATTCGGAAAGTGTGCTAAGGAACTCCACCATCATGTGCACAAGCTCCATACTCTGCTTGTCCGGCGGAGGGAGTGCAGCTCCGTGGTGCTGAAATTCTAGCGCTTGCTTGCGCAAAAATAATCTCAGTCCCATGATCTCCCATTGGAAACTAAGCGTGCCGGGACTCTTCTCAAGTGGGATAGACTCGTTGTAGAACTTCTCCGCTTCGTGCTCGAGAACGAACACCGTCTGCAGCTTCTCTTGACGGTTCTTCTGCCGCTTTGCGCGCACTGTGACAAGCGCCTCGTGGGTGCGTACTAGCAAATGGCATAACGCACACATACCGCGGAAACTCCTCGCTGAGGGCGACGGCTGGGGGAGAGAATTGAGCGATGGGAGCGGTACGTCTGTGTCTGCGGGCGAGATGTGCGTCGGCCGATTCTCATATACGGCAATAGAGGAGGAGTGAATGACACACCCCCACCATAACCTTATGCGCAGATCACGCTCCCAGCTCGGAATAGACCAGTCAGTGGGGTCAAGGTGAAGACCAAGGAGCTGCGCCTGCGCGACTGTGCGTGCTAGAACTAAATAGTTACCGCGTGGATCCATCGATGGTCTTCCATTGAGATCTAACAAGTTGGCAGCGATAGTCGACAGCTTCGGTTTGTCGAAATCTGGGTGTGTGGCTACGTGGAGGATAGCCCAAGCGTTGATAGGTATGGAGGTTTGGTCGGTGGTGAAAATAAGCGCTGAGGAGTATATAGCACCGAGTAAGTACGGTGGGGTGGTCTGATTGCCATCGGGGAGGACAGGATAGGCAGGGTGGACAATAGAGAGGTAGTTCTGGATGAGTTGGTCTCGGGAGCAGTCGCATTGGGCGAGTACCTGGTCAACTTGGGAGAGGAGAGCCAAACCAGGATCCAAAGAGGAGCGGTAGTGGGGCTTCCTCTCAAAGACGGCAAAGACGGGCCTGTTAGGGTCGAGGCTGAGCTGCCGGACTAAAGAAGGGCCGGGTGGGAGAAGGTTTGAGATATCGTCTGGTGCCGAACTAACGAGATGTGGTTCATGTGATTCAGGGGTACTGAGGTCGAGACTAGCGAAAACGTTGCTGAGAGAAGACATATCAGAGGGAATGTACGGGGTGAAGTTAATTTCGTCGTAAGGGTTTTGCTGGGTGCCGGAATTCGAAGGTCTCTTGCGTGTGCCACGTGTGGTGGAGGGGGGCGTGTTAGAAGAGGGGAGTGGCTGCGTAGTCGTTGGCGGTGGTTGTAGATTCTGGTCTTGGGGAAGTGGAAGCTTCCTCTTCCTCTTCTGTGGAGCCTCTTGGAAGGTACAAGACTTATTCGTTTGCTTACACTCGTTGCAAGGAGGACCAGATTCGGTAATAAAGCAGCGAGTCTTAGATCTACGGCCTGCGAGTGGGGTTAGTTGCAAATGTCTCAAAGGTAAACCAAGTTGTCTCACATAAATCGCATGGACGCTGCTTTCTCGATCTGAATGGTCTGGCACCGTGAGCAGACGAGGTGCTGGCTAGATGCGTGGCTGGTATAGAGTAGTCCAGGTTACTTGAACTGCTGCTGAATTCCTGCCCTAAGTCCATTAAACGCTGTTGAAAGTTCACAAAGAGGGCACCATGTTCGACTTTGTCGGGATAAATTAAATTAAATATAAATTACAAAAAATGTTTCATATATTCCTCACGACGCAGGCGTTTTATCTGTTTATATGTTAGAATGCCCCTAAACATAATTGTAAACCCACTTGCTGGCCGAACCCCCGAGCAACCCGCTTGGTGAAGCTCACAGCGCTCGTTTGTAATTGGATTAACGAATCTGCAAATGTTACATATCCATAATTCAGCAAATGGCTAAATATGTTATTAGCCTCGCCGCACCCGCCACACCTCCTCACCATTTTCTGTAGTTGATTGACAGTATTTAATGACACAAATTAATAAAACAAAGAGATTGACATGCTTTCATTTTTTATTTTATTCCTATCGGTCTCTCTCCCCTTTGCAACCTGGCCTGTGTGTATAGCTGTTAGCCTGGATAAGACACTGGCAACTTCACCCACTTCAAACACCTCAAACACACTAAAGGTACCTCCATTCCACATCTGTCACATACCCAGATCCTGTGGCTTTCTTTCAGCGAGCGTAAACAGTTCTCCTGTTTCTTAGTTTCGCTTGTTTACTCAATGCCTCACCCACAAAAGTCATATTGAAAAAGTTGTGAAAACTTTGTAATCGCTGGAAAAGAGCGTTTAATACACCTACATCTCTTATATACTCGCCCTTGATTGACCTCTTGAAATGTACTTGATAATCTCATGACTACTTTGCTTTTCTAATCACATTTGTGCACTTAATAGTTTCAGGTAACATTGACCAACGCGTACAAATACGCGTAGATTCTTTCCTTTTGTCTCATTTCCAAACCCCTACACACTCCCTCTAAATTCACGCTTTCTTTTTAACAATACATAATCTGGTTACATCCCAACACCTTTACTCCCCCCCATTATCAACTCTCTCTTCTCTTGTCACACCTGTCAAACTCATGTCAGCACCCCCGCTTGATGAAAGCCTCCGAACTGACGCACATGTTACAAGTTTGGTAAACTATCGGTATAAGATACTTGCAGCTACTGCACTTCCAACATCCTATGGCTGCTGATCTGTCTTTGTTCATTGCAATTGTAGTACTTGAAGTTTTGACGTTAAATTATCAGTCTAGATTAATAGCTGCAGATGAGAATGTAAATCTCCAACCTGTCATTCTAGACCTGTTCTCTAATAACTCCAGAATCTCCTGCTCACGTGGTTTTTCAATCGTTCCGCTTATTCATTCATGCATGACATTCCAATTTGCAAATCATTCGCAAATGTTTCTTCATCATATCACATCCGAATTCTCATTAACCCTCAACAATCACATCTTAATATCCTCACTTGTCATCACACTGTCACTGCCATTGTCACCGCCTCATCGTTTCACAAACAATATGTATTGATGTAATTGGTATAATACATTCTAAATAATGTGAATAGAAGTGTATAAATGCCTAGAACAAAACCTCTCTAAAGCTCTGCTGTCAAAGAGCGGATTTCTGATCAAAGTCAAACTTTTGAGAGCAGGAAGGGCAGTATCCAAGTAGCCATCATTAAAAGCCCTCATAAATCCCCTAATCTTTGAGCTATTGTGGTAATCCCGATAATCTAAAATAATCATACCGGCATTGTTCATTCTAGCCATGCTCTCGATATCCGTTATGAGAGGAATAAGTGGATCTAGTATCAGATGCTCCATTCTGAAGGATACATATTCTAGTTGCGAAATGAAGGGATTATTGTAATCGACTAGAACATTTGCATCGGTCACATCTATGGACATGAGTTCTGGTAGTGATATATCCCGCAAATCAATCATGATATTTTTAAGATATAATTGATTCAAAGATGCCAAACAAGCTGGCAAAGAAAACGAATTTCTGAGAGGGAATGTTACTTTGTTTGGTACGACATTGCAAGACAAATCTAATTGCTTAAGTCTCGGTGCTCGTGACACAAAATCGTTGATGCCTGCAGTCAGGGCCTCATGGTCACCCTTAATCTCCACCTCATCAAGCATTAGAAAATTGCCATCAGTGTTCATTATAGGGTGTATGTTTATCATAAGAACATATTCCAAATTCTCCCGAGTATCAATTGAAATTGAGCTCAGGTCGAAGAAATAATTTGTGACGATGCTCTCTTCATCTTCAGGCCTGCACCGTATCCGAAGAAATGTTTCGACTAGCAAGTCTGAAGGTAATGAAAGACATTCTGCCTCATCGTGATCCAAGACTAAATCCAAATAACAAATGACATTTCTACCAAATGGAATTTGTTTAAAGAGTGCTGCGTTCTTTATCTGGATTTGAAGAAAGTTAATCTTCCTGGATACGTTAAAGCATTGAGTGAGAATCCTACTGATAATCCCAAGATCGACTTCATCTTCCAATTTAATTACTCGTGAGTAAGTGTAGGCCTTGGATAAAGTTAAACCGTCCATCCAATTCCTATTGATCTGAAGAGAAAGACATTCTCCCCCAATGAATAACAGCTCGTTGGCTATAAGAGCAACAAGTTCATGTGGTAGATTAGACGCATTTAAGTGCGACATCCTCGCATGTCGATGATGATGATACGTTTTCGAGAGAGTAGCATCCAAGTAAAAGGGTATGACACCGTAGGTATCAAAGGCGTTAGAGCATGGCTTCGAGTGTGATTACGGTGCATCAAATCCAGCACAAACATCAAGCTTGCGCTTCCATGTGGGGGAACAAACTGATTAGGATTATTAAAGTGTACATATAACATATTATTTCAAAACGATTTTGGTATGGTCTCTGTGTGTGTGATATATGCAATGCATTGGCAGCTGTTTGAAATTTTGTGTTTTGCGTTTTGCGTTTTGTGTTTGCGTTGCAAAGTGCAGATTAGCGACGACGTCCCCCTGAGCCTTTACCTGCGCCGGCATCCATCGACCACGCTTTAGGAACGTCAATGATTGCTTTGATGTTTGTGTGCTTCCTCCCGTCGCACTTTCTCATGTCGCTGAAGTATGTCGAGCCGTGTGAGCCTTGTTAGCGGAAAAAGAAGACCGACGCACTTTGTACACCAAATATAACTTTCTTCGTTGTACCTGGATAGCCTCTAAGCTAAACACGTAATATCTGTTTACTCAACACACCAATGACTGCAATTTAGACTCCTGTTGGTAAATCAAAAAAATCATTGAATCACTACCTACCACTTGTTGCAAATCCACACATTTTTACGTGTTGCACCTGACATTCCTTACCAAGCTCTACCGTAGTTTCTCCAGAGGCCTATCAGACTATCAGCCAGCTAGAAGTATTTGAGGTGAAACTTTTCATCGACTTATTAGAGCAAGAAAACGACATTGATAGCAAAATTGTGAAAAATTAGTACAAATGATCCATTATGAATAGAGGTATGAGTGAAAAGATGAAAATGTTTTTGCTTGTTTGGTATTGTGATTGATTTGAACGTGTATGTTGATCGTGTATGTTAAATAATGTAACTGATCGTGAAAATCCGTCTATATTTTTGCGTAAATATTTGTGTACTGATTCTGTGATGAATATAAATAGTCGTAATAGCAGTATTTATAAACATATGAGCGAATAAGTTAACAGCGTGTTGAATAGAACACGCTTTCCAAGTTGCTTTTTTTTTTTTTTTGCTTAGAGCGTGCTTTTTTCGCGAGCAGTAGCGGTGCCTTGATTGATATCCATGTACTGCATAAAGTTGTTCAGCGCCAACTCAGATCTGGTTGAGTAGCTGTCCATGGTGTATCCAGCACCAGCAGCAGCTGTATAGTTATTCGTACCATTGTAGCTATAGTTGTTTGGAAGGTTAAGTGATTTTAAGTGAGACACTGACGAGCGTGGAACTAATCTGCTGTAATTCGCGTAGTTGTAGTTGTTCAACAAGTCCATTTGAAGCGGCTCGATTGGAGATGGTTCGGGTGATGTACCAGATTGAGTAGAGTTGCTTGGTGTCATCGACAATGGTGGTAAATCTGATGCGGATGAAACTAAACGTGAGCTTGTACGAGATGGTGACGAAGAGAGAGATACTCCAAGTGGACCGCTACTACCAGGAAATAAGGTCGTATGTGATAAGTCGCGATGAGCTTCAGCTCTCAAATGATCCCTATTGAACGCTTCAATAGTCTTGTATCCACTGATAGGTGAATATTCTGGTAGATCGTTAGTGAATTGTGTAAATTCCGATAATTTTCCTTTGGCAGGAGTAGCTGCAGCAGAGTGAGATGCAGTTGCATGTAACTGAGGTGGTGTTGATAAAGGAGCAAATGAAGTATTGGATAATGTTATTTGTGGACGATGAGTGACAGATGCGTAGCTACTGAGACTTTCGGATGCGTTTGCACTTCTAGCCAGAGTTGGCGTGTGTTGTAATGTTGGGTTGGCTACTGATGGTCTGAGCAAAGAAGGACTGTAGAGTAGGCTATTTGATCCAGCCATAGGCTTTGATCCGATAATACCAGCACTAGTTGATCTCTCCAAGCTGCGTTTGTGTTGATGTTTTGGTGTTGCTAAGTTTGAAGAATTGAAAGCTGGATGAATGCCAGGTTTCTGTGGATCTTGAGAACGGTCTTGAGAACGGTCTCGAGAACGGTCTTGAGGCTTCGCCGGCATAGCAGGTTGAATAGACGCAGGAGGCTGGATATTGCGCTTGTTGGCTTGGTTACGTTGATTGCTGCGCTGCTGGCTTCCTTTCTTTGACTTATCCCTATTGTTTCTTCCTGGTTTACCGTCTAAAGCTTCCATTCCTTGGAATGATCCGGATAGCGCGAAGACACGCATGCCCATATCGAAAGCGGTCTGAACTTCTGGTTCGCAGAGGGCAATTTCCTTTTTTAAGAAGTGGCGGGGAATTTCGTCTTTGTGATCGCCCTCGTAAACACAAGTATCACGTTTTGCCCAGCTCTGTAAGACGATATTAGTGATGACGTTGAGTAGACAAGAAATGAACTCACGACCATTTTGCAATTGTTGCAAAACCAATCACCAACTCTCGTCCATTCGACTTTGCTCGTCGCCAAATGTAGTATACAGTGATACGCAAAGTGAGAATCGAGGTGCTTGACGTACTCGTCAATAGCCCACATGGTGATAATTTCGCGAGAGGGAGTAACGCCTACAGGGAGTTTGGCTCTGACTGGGAAGAATCCGAGTGCGCATTTGTCTGCAGGTATGTCTCTGCCTCTAACGTACGGGATCTTGTTGAAATCATCCATAGAGTGCAGTTCCATATCGGTGGACGGACGCCCGAGAAACTTGTAAAGGATTAGGCACTCGTAGAACTGCTTTATATGGCCTCGTGAGTTCTTGAACCTGGACATGTCCTTGAAAGTTACTTGATCGAATGAATGCTTCGATCTGTTAGCCTGTACTGATTTCGCGAGTTGGTGTATGTCGAGTATATCCTCGCTGTATGGCATTTTATTAGCGTCGTAAGCACAAGAAACCATTCCTGCGACGGACTCACCGGGGTCTGTCAACTTGCCCACGCACGCCCGCGCTCATCTGAGTGAGTGACATTTCCTATATTGTTTTATTTTTACTTGATGATAGTTTAGATCTAAGGAGTTGATGTGCTTATATGGCTATCAGAGACAAAGGATCTTCTTGACATGTGCTCAATTTAGATAATAAAAAGCACCATTTGTTAGAGCAACTCAGTCAGTTTTTATCCAGGCTATAATATTAACATCTCCTATTCACCAATCGTGAGTAAATTCACTTGGAAACTTAGCGCGTGCCTGCATATCGACCCGTGACCAGTAGGCGTCTTGGAGCGCTCGGCATTGTACCGGTTAAGTCATTTATGTAATAATAGCAATTGTATTCGTACGAGCTTGTCTTCCTAACATTCACCTCGTTCACCACGTTCGCGTTAGCCGATAACGAGCGTGGATAAGCGTGGATTGGCGCTTTTTCGGCGATTCTCAAAGGAAGTAAAATGATTTAGGGGTAATAATACACTTTTTAAAGGCATATGAATCGATTAATACTCAATACACAGCATACTCGTTATCCTCACCCACACTCCACCCCAGTCTCAGCGAGTGGGGGCTGGTAAATCGGGACAGAAATCCGTGTGCGTTTGTGAGAATACCGCGTATTATGCAAAATGTGATTCCCGTGGGTATCGTAATTACTTCCACCTGCATGTGCGTGCGTTAAGACTATTGTAATCCGGGCAGAGACGGCCAACGATATCGAGCGACTGTGGACCGCGATAGATGATAATTGATGGGCGTTAAACGGCGTTATAAGGCCACCGTCCCTTGCACCGCTTATACCAACCTCCACATCCTTGCCCTACCACAGCCCATCCTGCTGTCACCCTAAGTCTGAAACACGGTCCGTGCCTTAATTGCCGGCGTATGACACAGTTGACGCATTTTGATTTGCACACCACTGCTGCAAATTATGCACAGAAACCGTTCCCGTCACGATATCCACCTCGGCAGTTACCAGTTACAAACCGCAGCCAACGCCCCAACGCCAAATTACAGCGAATATGTATAAATAGGATCTTTACAAATTAAAATTGATTTTGATAAACTATAACATGAGAGTGTTGATGTGTTGGGTGAGCTGAGTTTTCACTTCAGTTCAAGCAAAACTCCACGAGTGCTGTTGACGCTTTAAATAAAGCATCCTCGACGTCTTGCTCCGATGGTGAGGTTGGTATATCCTTGGTATGTTTGTTTGTGATGTTCTTGCCGACCGCGTTCTCGTTGTTGTTGAATGGATCAAACTTGTTTGGAGACGACTCAGCTGATTGCGGTGGAGAAGGCAAGTTGGCGGTAAAGTTTGTCTGGTATGGGTTCGCTGTCTTTGCCTTTGGTCTGCCAATAGGCTGGATACCGGATCCTGAGCCCGACGATCTACGTTCAACTGGCTGGGCGTCAGCGTGCAGATCTGCAAGTGTGAAGTTGTCTGAGGTGGTCGAGATGGGTGACGAGATGGGAGTGAGCAGACCGGTCGACTTGAGGGGCGCTGGAGACAGATTGTAATTGTGGTCCTGCTGCGACCATCCCGAGGCAAATATTGGCAGCAACGGTGTAGGTGGGTTGCGTCTCGAGTTGTTTGCCCTCGAGCGCTGTCTCGATAGGAATCCGTTATTCTCTGGGAACGTGTTCGATGCGCTGCCAGTTGGCATCCACGTGGTGTCGAAGCTTGTAGACGTTGGGAGGGGCGACGTGGACAAACGTGGTGCTGCTTTTGCCTTGTTTGAATGTGCTTGAGCGTGTGCGCTAGCTGGGTTCGATCCCACTCCGCTCCCGGTCGATCCAGTTGACGAGCGAGACGACGAGCGCATTGGCAGCGGTGCAGACTGTGGCATCTGTGCAGAGACGCCGGACTGCACCTTGGCTGGCGTGATTGGAATCCTCTTCTTGTCCGCTTCTGGGGAGCGTCTCGATGCTGCAGTGCCTGTCTCTATCTTTTCTCCACCCGAAATGAGCATTACCGTTTCACTCTTTGCGAAAGCATCTAATGCCTCGACACAAAGAGCATTTCGCAACGCCACTCTCACCGGTGGCTGCTGAGGGCGAGCTGTTTGAACCGATGACTTGTTAACAGGATCATTTCCGCTGGCTCCACACTCGCGGCATTCGTTCTTTGATGCCCAGCATAAAAAGCGGCATTCTGAACAAACCCAGTCTCCCATTTCGTACCAGTGCTCAATACCCTGAAGATGTCACGTCAGCATGCTACTTTCCAGCACGCTGGTACTCACAATATCTGGTCGTCCAATCTTGCATAAATGATCCTCGAGCACGGGTGCCTTGTTGCCTACGCCTCCCTGTGGCAGCTTGAGGCCAGTCTTGCAGATCTCCTCTGCGTCCCACTCCTTGTCGGCTGGAAGGTGCAGCCATATAGGCATGAATGCTATCCTCGACATGCCCGACTCAAGATCCAGTCCAGGCAGTGTAGCAAGCTCGCTGACGTGCTGGAACATTTTACATCCAACTGGTGGGCCTAGGAATTGAAGCAGACCTAATACTTTCTTCCTTGGTATCATTTCTTCATTTGTTTGTGCTTGGGGAGCGTGTTGAGAATGTTGTGTGGTTTGAGTGCGTTGTTTTTGTTGTTGTTGTTGTTGTTGTGGGGTATCTGCATTGCGTCTCATTAGCTCTAGTACCATACTCTCTCTACCCTTCCACTCACCAGTCATTGAATCCAGAGTGTTTAATAAATCATAAGAAGAGAAAGATTCCTTATCCTATACAAGAGCTGTTAGCGCATGCTCTAATCAGGAATTGCTATGTCAACCAAAACTCGCGTTTGACATTGACAGCTTCCGCTAAATTGCCTGTCTCACATTTTGTAAACTTAAAATTGTCTTGTAGAACTTCTTAAATTGCTCAAATGATTCTAACTCGTTCATCCGTGTTGTTATTATGTAGAGAGAGATATAATTTCAAGTCCGTTGTCGTTGTGTTGTGTGTTTGGCGAGCTTGCGGGGCTATTTAGAGCTTGATGCGCTGAATTAAATTAAACTGTGAAGTAAGTGATCAAGCTTGTAAATAATTCAATTTAAATAATATCTCCATCTTCATTCCAACCCTCATTCATAACTCGCTGAGCTCGTACTAAAAGCACACGCCAAGTAATATTCAAACATACCTAACAAGATGATATTCAAAAACATTCAAATACTTTGGTAATTGCGTACGTGAAAATCATATTCATCTTTATTAAAATCTTTTAAAGTTCATTCTACGCCGACTTCTTCTCTAATCTGCGCTTCTCCCTTCTCTCACTAAATATCACGTTACTGTTAGCACTTCCTACATTCCTCGGAAGAAAATATCAACTCACGATCCTCTTGTCACTAACTCCGGTGGGTTGAGGTTAGCAAATAGTTTTTTACATCCTATTTCTACTGCATAACAAAGCGTAAAGTCGAGGACCATAGATCCACACAATCTAAGTTGGAATCCGTACGTCATCTCCACTATCTGCAACCATCTGTTCATCTCTGGTATGAAGTCTGTTGCTCCGCAGAATGAAACTGCACTGGCTCCCATTAATCCATAAAGCAATGGTGGATTTTCTCTCAGCGATTCTCTGAATGGTCTACCTTGATAGTTAATGGCGAATGTGCTGACTTGTTGCGACAATCCAAGAAGGTAAATCGCGGTATTCAATAACGTTGGCTTGAACTCCGCATCAAGGTCGATTGGACCGCGGCTATCATGAATGATTAGACTAAACGGATTCTATCACCTTCTTACTCACTTTTCCAATGTGTTTGAAAGGTCTGTAATGTAAACCATGAAGAATATGTGGATGGCGAATTGAAGCAAAACGGAGAGAAGTATGTAAAAGTTAAAGATGTTAGTTAAAGGTCTCTCCTTAGAGAGCTTCTCAATTGGCTGTTGTATTTGTCAGTATATTATCCTATTTCCATTTGCAATCTCACCTTGGCCTTGGATATACATAAGAAACAAACAGACATGAGCATACCAGAGATAGTCAACTGGTAATCACCTGCTTTGATACCGTCGAGATACTGCACTGAGAGAGTATACGCGGTAATAAGGCAATTGAGAGCCAAGATCTTGTACATCTGTGTAGTAGCAACCAAAGTACATCTGCCCTGTCTGATAATATTGGCAATGGCACTAACATTGGAGAGCTTGCTAGTGAATGGAGCTGCGCAGCTGGCATCACCCAATTTGATCTGTGGTGGTTCGTTATCGTCCTCCATATCAGCCATTTTTTCAGTAATTTGAGACATGTTGAATTGTTGTGGCTGGGTCTGAGTTTGTCTACTAACGCTGTGTTGAGCAGCTGCTGTTCTCTGTGCGTTGACCATGTCCGGATATAAATGAGCAATAGGCTTAGGTACCGGTGGAGGAGGCTGGTTGAACCTTTGAGAGAATTTCAGTTGCTGTTCGTAAACCTTCTTAAATCTATCAATCCTGGCGTGCTCTGCAATCTTCTTCAAGTCGTCTTCCGTTCCTTGGAGGAGCGCAACACCGATTCTGGCTTGCTTAAGTGCACCAACGTCGTTAGTTCCATCTCCAGCCATCAGCGTGGTGTAGCCAAGTGATTTGAATGTAGTAAGAATTGATTCTTTTTGCGTAGGACTGACTCTGGCGTAAACCCATGTGTGCTGGATAAGTGCGTGCCAATTCTCTGTTTTCTTCTCTATTTGACGAAGTGCTGCACCTGTCATACAGATGTCGTGGTCTCTAAGAATTGTCTCGTTAATTGGCTGTGCAGGGTCGACTGGGATGATTGTCTTTTCATCGACGGATCTGAGCATTCACATTAGTATTTGTAACGAGTTGAATATTGAAACGTACCTGAACACCAATTCGCTCTCATCTTTAGCACCCTCAGCAACGTCAAGAATTAAAGCATCTCTGTCAACAATCTCAACGTCATTGGCAACGTGAAGAGCAGTGAGAGGGTTATCACCAGTAATCATGATGCTTCTGTGTGACGAATCGTTGAGCATCTTGAGAGTTGCGACAGCGTCAGGCTTAAGTGGACAATGGAAGACGAGGAAACCGGCAAAATGCAAATCAGACTCAACATCACTACGTTGGAGATTAGGTATCTTTACGACTAGTCAGCGCAATCAAACAAAAGCAAATTAAGATCTCACCTCGGTGTTGCTTGCTTTGATATCCTTCCAAGCTAAAGCAAGTACACGGCTACCTTTTCTTGTGAACCACTTGTAAGTTTCTTCATAACCTTGTGGGAGATCTTTGATCATACTCTTGATAGTTTCAGGGGCACCCTTCACGCTAACAAAGGTACGCTTCTGACCTTGGCCATCGACAATGTTGTTGACAGTGGACATTCTCTTTAAAGCAGAGCTGAATTGGAATTTTCTTCTAATGTTGATAACGTGCTTGTGGTTAGCTGACTTGTTGGCAGGGGCCACTGTGTCAGCTTTGCCCAACTTCCAATCCAAGGCTTCGAGAGTGGTTTTCTCCATAGGATCACCAACAACGTCGCCCTCATCGAGCAGTACCAAAGCGTGTGATGAGGCGAGCGTCAAAGTGGTTTCCTTAGGCGTGGTTTGTAGTGGTAACAAATCTTTTGGATCTTTTGCGATTCCGGCAACACCTTCAACTACCAAATCCTCTCCTGTGATGGTACCAGTCTTGTCGAAACAACACACATCAACTCTACCTGCAAAAGGAATTCTAAAAGGCTCTGTGCAGAAGATGGCGAATTTGGACAAAGCAACTAATGAAGCGTTGACAGCTAGTGAAAGTTCCATTGGCAATTCAGGTGGGACAACAGAGGTGATGATCAAGATGCAATCCAAAATAAGCTTACTTTTCTTAAGACCACGTTCGTTTCCTTTAATCCATACATATGCTGAAGCGGCGATGGCGAAAATGAGCAAGAATCCAATAAAGAGGAAGCTCTCCAAGTTGTTAGCAGAGACCTTTTCAGAAGAAAATAACATAGTACGGATGAGTTGACCTTGGGAAGTACCGAAGCCAGTCTTAAGGACGATAGCTAATGCCTTACCATCTGGAGTTAGTAGACCATTGTGAGCCGAAACATCTTCAGGAGATGGAGGGTTGGTTTGGAGCACCTTGGTACCACCGAATAGAACATGAAGGTTTTTATCGTTGCCGTCGACATCAGAGACTTCATCGTCAGATCTAGACTCAATTGATTCTTTTAGTAGGGGAGTTGATTCACCGGACAGCATCGCTTCGTTAACAATTGCGGAGCCTCTAAGTAAGAGAAGATCACATGGGAGAGCGAGGCTTTCACCAGTGCGATCTATAGAGACGACGTCACCTGGAACTAGCTCTTCAGAGCTGAGATTGACCCATTTTGAGTTTCTGTAAACGGGCATAGTGTAAGGAGAGATGGACATTGTTCTGAATTCGTTGAGGGTTCTGAGACGTTGCCAAACGACAGTACATTCAAAGACGACCAACATGAAGCCTGTGAAGAGGGAGTACCAGAAGTATTCATCCATGCACCATAAAGCGACGCAGAACATTTGAAAAACGAAGAAAGGAGCGACGGCATGTTCAGCGAAGAGTGATAAAAAGGTTGGAACGGGGATGTTGTAGATGTTTTTACCGAATTTTTCGACCAAGTTATCAACTTGACTTGTCGATAAGCCATTAGAGTGCTTGAAAGTAGAAAGGGAAGGTTTATCATCGCAAGGGAAGGGCAAGCGAGTGAAAGCCTCACCATTGTAGATATACTTATCAGATTGGTAAATAAAGTGAAAAGTTTTGTTGTGATGATATAAAGTAACTAATTCAGGTTCACCGCGATGTTCAACGGGGTTAACGCATACTAAAGAAGCAGATTGTAAGTTATTTGCTTTATAACATTCAGTGAGTGTACGCCATGACATTCCCCATCTGCCACCTAACCAACATAAAGCTTGACCACCGAAAACGAATAAGCAAGCCATCAAGGAATATTCCTCTGAAACAAGATAATACTCATATTCAAAGTAATAAGCGTAGAATAAGAAAGGGTAGAAAGCGAACCATAAGAAGTAAATACGTAAGAAGATTGGTAGACTGTTATGTAAGCTTATGCTTGAAATTGATTGAGAATTAATTTTAACTGCCATCGCTCGATTTATAGATTTTGTTGATGGCAGCAAACTTCAAAGGGAATTTGGCTTCCTTCTTCAATAAAAACATCGATGAGCAGCGCAGGACATAAAACATTTGATGAAAGTGATTTAGTGGATAGTGTAGATGCTACAGTTGCCACAGATGCCTTCACTCCCTCTGTTAAGCCAGTTTATAATTCTAGCAGCAGCGACGACGACGACGATGATGATGACGACGATGCTCCCGTAGAGGCAGCCTCAACAAAGATCACCGCTAAAGATCAAAATAGATTGGATAGAGAACATGAAGAACGTCAGAAGCACAATAAGCGTAAAGTTAAGAATCAGCGTCAGTCACTTAAGAAGCAGTTGAAGGAAACGCAGCCAGAGCCATCTACAAGTCAGCAGAGTGATAGTGACAGTGACAGCGACAACGATGACAACCAACTCCCTGATAGACTTCCAATAGATATATTCGAGCAGGCTGCTCAATATGTTCCAAGGTCTATGTCCAAATCAACCCAACAGTCACAGCCACAGCACAAGAAACAAAAGAAATCACGTAAAGAGCAAATCATCGGTAACAAACTCATCAAAGTATCTCAATCGTCTGTCTCAACTAACAGAGCAGATGGCCTACTCGGTGATGGTACAGGCAACTACGTTAACAAATTCAACAAGAACATCCTCAATAGAAAGCGCAAAAATGTTAGGAAACCTGCTCATATCACTCACGCTCAATTTATCGGTGGCCACAAACCTGCTGCAAATTTTGCATCAAAACATAATTAATCTTCATCTATGTACAATCATTGACTATCTCATTCAAAACAACTTGGCAGCCTTATTTTTAATTTGGCTCTATTCCTATCAAATCTTTCTAATAGCTGAGCTGTTGTTTCAGTTGATGGTAGCGGTGATGATGATGGTTCCTGACTGCTAAGAGGTGTCAATGTGCTAATGAGTGTGAGTGGGGGATTAGTTTGTTGTAAATATTCTTTGTTGGGTGTTACTGATCCACGTCTCACGTTGCTACTTTTTTTTGCCTTATCTGATGCATCTGAATCGCTGTTAGGAAATTTACTTATCCGTGGCTTCTTAGATTTGCTATAATCACCTTTTTCGAATCCACTTTTACGTTGTTTGTCTGATACATCTGATTCACGTCTGGCAATACTACTTTGACGTGAATAATATGAGGCTTCTGAGTCACTTGGAGGTATCCTATTTATACGCGGCTTTTCAGACCGTCTACCAAAAGCGTCACTACTTTTGCGTGGTTTGTCTGATTCATCTGATTTAAGTTTCGCTTTGTTACTTCTTGATATATCTGGTACATCTGAGTCACTGTCTGACAAGCTAATTTGACGGTGCGATTTAAATGCTTTAGATTTAGGCTTTGCACTACTTCTTAGTGGGTTTTCTGAGACATCCGAGTCTGGCCTAGAGATGCTACTTCTACGGGTTTTTTCTGATACGTCTGAGTAAAGTGGAGAGATGCTACTTCTAAGCTGCTTATCTGATGCAACTGAGTCACGCCTAGAAAGTGATTCACTCATATTACTTATGTGTGCTTTATCTGAGGCGACTGAACCATGTCTAGCAATTGCGTTAGTTTTAAGTACTTTTTCAGATGGATCAGAATCACGTCTACCAACTAAGCCACTGTTCGTAATCTTGTTTGACTTATTAGATATGTTTGAGTCACGTCTGGTAACTAAATTAGTCCTTCTACGCCGTCTATCTGAGTCAGGTCTAAAAATTACATTACTCTGTTTGGGTGCTTTATCAGATGAAACGATTTCGTTGATTTCGTTTTTAAATGTTGCGCTACCACCAGTTTTGCCACCACCCCTGCCACCCCTAAAACTACTTTTACGGGGGCTCTTCACGCCGGTTTTCCTTTTTTTTACAGCAGCAGTATTACGCGCTTGTTTACTTGCTGGTTTGTAATCTTGGTCAATATCCTCCAGCACCAGATTAGCTCTAAAAGCCTTCTGATAAAAAGGGTCATTGACGTTGAAGTTATCCTTCCTTCCATAGACTTCTTTGTCAATATTGTAACCCTTTCCGGATTCTTTCGATAGTCTACTGCGCTTGTTTGAGCTTGTTTGGATAGCCGTTGGTCGATTAGGTGGCGGCGTTGGTGATACCCGGGTTTTAGGTCTTGTTTGTGTGTGCCTGATAGGGCTAGTGTTGAGATTGCTAGTTTTGATGGTTGGGGAAGCAACCGAAGCTGATCTTCTCTTGTCTAGGAGCCGTTTCAAACCCTCCACTTTGTTAGTATCGAGGCTGCTGTTATCACTGCTGCTGCTGCTATCACTGTTGCTATCACTGTTGCTGTTGATGTTGCTGTCGCTGTTATCGCCGTCACTAAGCCTGATATTGCCGTCACCTTGCTTAACCTGCTCATTCTGCTCAACTCTTAATCCGGTGGGTGAATGAGTGTAAGATTTCTGCGGATCGTTGCTCAATGGCGCTGGAGCATTCTTATCCTGAAAGAACTCATCTAAAGACCAACTCAGTCACAAGTAAAGCACTTAACCCTACTACACGCACCACCACCAATTCCAAGAAATCTCTCCATGTTGAATATCCCGCCTTTGCTTTTTATTGGCGACACTCGCCCTGCGTGCTTTTCAAATGGATTCATTCGGGTTCGTAGATAGTGATCGCACTCATTAAACCAGCAATAAGCGTAAATAGCGTATTATTAAAATGTACATATCATCTTCTATAGCACTCCTTCCTACTTCCTCCGACTTGCTTGCCCCGCTTTCGGCGTCGTGATACGCGGTGCCGCTAGATTCCTTCTCCCCACACCCAGCCGAGCAGCGCTCTCTGTCGGCTTGGCTGATGTGCACGTCACCACCGATTGTGATGGATTGAAACCCGAGTTCATATTCGCTGTACCTACTAAACTCTTTTCATGCGACGCTGTGAGATATGCGTGACTGCCGTGCATTTTTGGCGACTGCGACTGCGACTGCGACGGCGGCGGTGGTGGTGGCGGTGGGTGTAATCCAATCTGCCCAATCTGCCCACTCTGTGCACATGTCGGCGACGAAGGCGCGGATGTCCCAATAGACGACGAGCTGGTCGCGTACGACGAGCGCGTCAGACTTGGTTCCCGTCTCTGGATCACCCCATTGAGGGAAGTGGAAGAGGTAGATCGCGTTGAAGCATCCACTTCACGTCCACCAACCTCGCTATCTTGACACCTCGCTTGTGTCGTCGCATTGTCGTCTTCCATCTCCTCCTCTGTCTCCTCACCGCCGCTGCTTGACGGGAAGGCGGTGTCGTAGCAATCGTCGCATGCCCGCGATGGCTGATGCTCGCCTGCTTCATTCACGATGAGGAAATTCTGCGGCGACTCGTAAGCGCCAATGTCTAGGCTAAACACTCCTCCCACTCACCCTCGTTGAACACTCATGGCACACTACATGTCCACACATCCTGCAATGGTGCTTCCGTCTCATCCAGTTAAACGGCTCCGAGCAGCTCATGCACACAACTGCCTTGCTGTCGGGCACCCACACCGGCGCTGCGTAATGCTCGAGTACCCTCAGCTTGGTCTCTGAGGGATTCGAGTGTGAGTGTGAGTTGGCATAAGACTGAGAGGGCGTGAGTATTGACCCATCTGCCCGCTCTTCCTTCTCTCCTTCTCCTTGTCCTTCTTTTTCTTTAGCCTGCTTTTTCCAGCGCAGCCCATTCACTATCGCTGTAGCGGCTGCAGCTGCTGAAATATCGCCCGTCAAAGCGCTGCGTGTCCTCTCTCGTGGCCGCGCTTTTGACTGCGATGTAGGCACTTCTGCATATGCATGCACTGATCTCCTGCGCTGCCTGTGCGATCCATTCTCATCAGCCAGTTTGCTAGTCGGCGTACTGTGTCCTGAAAACGGCGTGGAGAACGACAGCGCAGGCGAGTTCAATGTCCTTTTAACTGTCGTGTTGGTCGAATTTCCTTTGCGCCTGATGTACGTGTCCGGGTCTAATGGGAACTGGTTGTCGTCTATCTTGAGCGTACGGAAAGCTGACAAGTACTCATCTTTTGTTGACCTAATCGCATTCAGCCACGCGTTCCGCTCTTCTTCTGATTCCGCGTAGATACTGAACGACTTTTCTGAAGATATTACTTGTATCGTCCTCCCGTGCAGCTGCGGATAGTCATTGTCAATAGCAACGACTGTCACATCTTCTAGATCAAGCTTCCTGTTGAAAGTGAAACACTGCCCCTTGAGAGTGCCAATATCAATTGGTCCTACTAGACGTGGTGGCGTTGAGACAGATGGGACACCATCCTCCTCATTCGTCACAGACGCTGATAAAGAGTGTGGTTGGGTTATCATATTCACTGGCAATGATGCTGAGTGCTTGTGTCCTCTTCGACCTGCACTTTTTACTTGCGGTCTTTCTGCAGTAGCGGGAGAAGCAGGAAATGCTAACGATGACAACCTGTGCGAAGAGTTGTGCTTGCTGCTTGAGCGCAGTGGTGGCGCACTCCCGAATGGTGAGTTTTTGAACTCCGTAATAGATGGCGTGCTCGGTGGACTTGTCGGATTGACAACATTCATAACCGAACCTACGCTTGAACAAGTAGGCGAAGCATAAATGAGGCAATCGTTGAGCAGAAAGAATGCCTTCACTTCCTCCTTCTTCCTTCCAATTTTGACCAGCCAGCCTGATTTGATGTGTGTGCGACCGGGTGCTACAATTGGGAAGGGCACACCGAATATACTTTTTTGTAATGTGAGCAATGACATAGTGTGTTGGTATTGAGCAATATGAGTTTCGAAGGTATTTGCAACTGCGAGTATATTAGAAGTGCCTTTAACATAAACATCCACCCACCATCTGAGACCAGCCTCAATGCGCGCTGCAAGTTGACAAACTCCTCTTTCGCTTCGTCGGTATATTTGAGAATCTGAGAAATTAACAACTTGTACCTAGGTACACGTTGTACAATAGCGAGTAACTTCGAATTGAGACCCAGTCGTGTCCATTCGAAGCCGCCTTGGCCTGTATCGACTATGGTATATTGTGCATTCCGTATAAATGAACCAAATTCAGGTTTTGCTCGCTGCAATTTGTTCAACTGCTGCTGACTATTTTCAAAGTTGCGAATGAAAGGTGTGTATAGCTTAAGGAAAGGAACGAGATTGAGAAGACTCGGTGCGAGTTGGATACTGGCACGTGTTTTAAGGTAGCTATCTCTATGACTGTTGTTATCGGTGCTCGACCAAGACGGGGAAGCTGGATGTATGGCTTCAGCGACTGTGGTCGACGCGTTCAAAGAGTTGAACGTGGTAACTGTCGTTGCGTTGGTAACGGTTGTAGTCTGAGCAGGTATAGGTGGTAATCCGGGTAATACTGCGCATTCTAAGCTGCGCAAGAGTTCTTTGTTGGTGTTGAGAATGTGTTGAAAGTGGGGAAAAAGTTGAGACAAAAGCAAATCATCCCCCGATTGCTTCAGGGGCTGAATGAAAAAGTTCCAAATGAGATCCAAATCCTTGACGTAAGACCTCTCAGTCTCTAAAAGCTCAAGAATAGCACGCCACCTTTTTTCGACACGTTCTTTCTTGTATGAGGTATATTTGCTCTGTTCTGAGTGCCTCCTATGATGCTTGTGGGGTTGTGGGTGTTGTAAAGACTGGGAGGGAAACGAGTACTGCTGTGGCTTGAAGTTAGCTTGCTCGCCTTCAGGCAGACTCTCAAAAGAACGCGTCGAGCACGACGAAGTCCTGTTCTTAGACTTGTACTGAGAGGGTATATAGATTCTCGAGTACACGTTCGACGGTGGCAATGGACGCGACGAGCTCGAAGGGCTTGACGGCTTGGTGTCTTCCCAGCGGCGGTCCATAGATTTTTGCAAATTGATATCTCGTGGTGATGATCCAAAGCTAGGGTTAGAAGATCTCAGCTAGATTCGACTCAGTTTTTTTTTAGTTTTATTTGGTGTGTCCAAAAAGGGAAGGAGGATAATCAACGCGCGTGGCTACAGCTGAGCAGGTGTATTGTACTCCTCTAGTGCCCATCCCCCAGAAAATTTGATCGTCTTGTTGATTGATAATCTACAAAACAACATCGGTATGAAGATAATCATCTTCATGATGAAACCCATTCGATGTCCGCCGAATTAGGTTTAATCGCTCAAACTTGATTTTGCGTGTCTCTGAATGACGAATAAGAAGAAAACAAAGGAAGGCAAGGATTGTGAGCCTGTGCAGTACCAGACTACGTTGAAGCGTGGACAGGCGTGTCTCTCGTGAGTGTCAACGCCACTCGCCCCACATTCATCCCACTTACCCCGACCTTAGCTGCCGGTGAGCTATTTTAGCGTGCCGCATGATCCTCACTTACACAATCACAGCCGCCTCAAGCTGAGGTGCTCTGCCGATAAGCCTACGTGTGAGTTTCCTAAGTGGGGGATTGCGTAAGCTGACAAGGGGTGACTATAGGCGACCACTGCTACAGAACGGCTAGAGAATGCAAATACGATAGCAAAGAAGCGAGAGAAATAATCAAAATTATTAAATCTCAGCAAAATGGCTGTGAGTCAAGTCTCTGGCGAAATCGACATACTAAGAGCTACATAGCGAACGAGGCAAAGATTTCACGAAACAAGGACCCTCCACAAAACAGAAACCCTCCAGTACACAATATATTCCCTCACATTGCTAATAACAATCATATATATCCCATGATGTATGCGACGCATCCGTCAAGCTCATCGAGCTACTCAGAGTGTGGCCAGCAATACTTCACGCATGCTACACCTTCGGTTGCGCAAATGGACGATCCATACGTCGTAAAGCGCGAAGAGGCCACGCTCTACGACACCAATCTTGCCTATCTCCATCAGCCGCAAAATTCTTCGCTTAGTGGAAGCTGGCTCGTCCACGATGTATTGGCTAGTCCTGCTTATGACGAGCACTACAATAATGTCTACTACAACACCCCCTAATATAAGAGTTTCCTGTGGGTCTTCTAACTAATACATTTGTGCATTTAATTAAATTAAAATGGCATTAAAGGAGTAAATAAAGTATACGTAGCAGCATATTGCAGTCATCATGCGTTCTGTTGGCAATTTCCGGCATAACCATAAAAAGTTGTGCCGATCTCGGAACCACTGAGTCAGATATGTGTGCAAATTTATTCTGGGGATGTGCGATTAGCGGGCGTAAAATGTTTGTAGGGTTAACGAATACTTGTACGAGTACATGAGTTGCAGCAGCACTTTTGTGCGGTGTTCGATTGAAGCCCTAAATATCCACCGTAAGTGACTGTAAGTGGAGTGTAATTGGAATGTAATTAGGATAAATGCCTTATCAAAAGGTATTTAGCTGCAAGAGAGTATCGGTAGGCTTTCTAAATGCATTATTGTATGTGGCAGGTACAATATATAGTTGGTATCAAAGGCAGTCACCAGCCGCGTATAACATCCACCAAGCTATACGCAAGGCTTTCATTTGCACAGAGCAAAGAAGACGGAACGCCACCCGAGATAAATACCTGCGTGCTGGCCGGGAATGACACGGAAAAGGAGGATGCGGGAAGCGCGAGTGGCTGCAGCAGCCTAACAGCGACCCACGATCACGGTCAAAATTGATTTTATATTCGCGGAATGGAGAGATCATGCCACTTCTGGAGAAGGCGACTGCTAGCGACGAAAGTTGAAGGCTTCTCAACACGACGACCACGATGGAGGCACTGCAATCTATCTCAAGCGGATTCAACGCGTTCAACGCAAGCTCGCTCATCCCTCAAGCAGAGGTGCAAGGCGAGGACTTGTACACCGGGTACGACCTGAGTCAGCACAACTTGCTGGAGAGAGCGTGGGCTAGCTGGTATATTTGGTGGGGAAATCCGGTAATAGCCACGGGCGTAATGAGTTTCCTGATGCACGAGGTGTGTATGCCGTTAGCGCGTCTTCTATGCTAAGTTGTACAGGTAATTTACTTTGGACGATCTATTCCGTGGATTATAATCGACCACATTCCTTACTTCAGGAAGTGGAAGCTGCAACCACACAAGGTGCCCTCAGACTGGGACCAGTGGCGTTGCACGTACTTGGTGCTTTTGCAGCACTTCACAATAGAGTTGCCACAGATCTGGGGATTCCACCCGCTGGCTGAGTTTTTCGGTATGCAGACGTACCAGCTGCCCTTCCCATCCCTCTGGACAATGGCTAAACAGATAGCAATCTTCTTTGTGTTTGAAGATACCTGGCACTTTGTCTTCCACAGGGCGCTGCACTGGGGTCCTCTGTACAAGCGTATCCACAAGCAGCACCACGAATTCAGTGCGCCGTTTGGACTCGCGGCCGAATACGCGCATCCCGTTGAAGTTGGATTGACCGGTTTCGGCACAGTCGGAGCACCAATCCTCTACGCGGCATTTATAGGCGAAATACATATAGTGGCGGTGTACGTGTGGATCGCTTGTCGCTTATTCCAGGCGATAGACTCCCACTCGGGCTACCACTTCCCTTGGTCCCTGTGCAACTTCCTGCCAATCTGGGCCGGCGCTGAACACCACGACTACCACCACGAGAAGTTCACTGAGTGCTACGCTTCGAGCTTCAGGCATTGGGATTGGCTCTTTGGGACGGATAAGAAGTACCACGCATACAGAGCAAAGCAGGCAGCAGCGAAACGTGATAAGAAAGCACAGTAAAACGATTAAATTTCTTGTATAGAATATAATTACTATAAACATCTAGCATCTAATTTCCCCTGTGTCTCTCGCAGCGTGTCTTGCTCACCGACGATCATGAGTCTGGCTGCGAACAGAACAAGGCGGAAGACAGCGGCCACGGAATTGCCGACGGAACGAAATGGAGATATCGGCGCTACCCGTGGGTTCCTGGGTTTCCCGCCGCACCGCGAAACATGCTAATCACATAACAGCAACAAGCACAAAGAAGCCAAAGGACAAACAGCGACGAGCGAAAGCTAAGAGAATCTCTATGCACGACGTAGATTTATCTGGGTTCGCTTCATCGTCTCCTGCGCCGACTCAGCTGAGAAAGTCGATTGTCGAGCAGCGTGTGCCGATTTCCACGCTGGCGCAACGGGCAAAGATACTCAAAACACTGTCACAGGATGTTTTGAGCCAGGTACTCGATCCAATCACTGGGACAAACGACATCTCCGTTCTCAAGACATGGCATACGTATCAAACGTTTAAACACAACACTTTTACCGAAAATAACTTTATTTCTGTTTCTCAAGTTCTCAGCGGACAAAGGCCCAGCTCAGATACTGCGCGTGCAATCACTCAAGGCGTTAGAATGTCCAATATTACTACTTTTGCTGCAATTGTCCAGCAACAGCAAACAACTATCGAAACTGGTGGCGCAATTTCTCCCGCTGTTGATCTCAAAGAGGCTTGGGCGGCGTTCCTTGGCCACGTTGTCCCCACTGACTCCAAGCTGCGTAAGATACACATGGACTATCAGATAGATCTAGCAACCCAAGTCTACAACATCAACCAGCTCAAGGTGCAACACATGCAAAGAATCAGACCTGTAAGCGCTATGGTACAAACAGAGGCCGTCAAAGAGGCTGTTCACGAGCTCTTTAACTGGAAAGGCACTGTCTGGAATAACAGGGTGGATGCCTCAAGATTATCAACTCAGCTGCAAGCACATTTCGAGAAACTGGCGAAGGAGCGCATGATGGTCTTGCGTATCCCTGTAGACAGACTTGATCACGAGTTCCCGTATGAGAAGTTCAAGGGGAGTGTGATGAACTTTGCTCAGCAAGTTTGGGACGATATATACAACGATGCAAATCACACTACAGACAGAACAATTTTCGAAGACGATAGATCGACTGGTCTGGGAAGGTCATCTCAGCAGAATCTAAGCCAGGTGCAGCAAAAAACTCCAAAGCAAAGCCAGATGCAAACTCCGAGAAGGAAAACTACTCTACAGAAAACTCCACAGACTGGGACTAGGAAGAGTCCTCGACAGATTACACAGCAACTTGAGCAATCTCCTCAGCAGATTCAACAGCAAAGGCAGTTTAGTCCACAGCAATTTCAACAAACCCTTCAACAAACCTCTCTGTCAAATCTACAAACTCCAGATACTCCTCCGATGCCGCAACTGTCTCCAACCCACGTCGATCGCAGCCTGCAACAAGAGATCGATCTCATCAATCTGGATGTGGACAAGCACACCGATACCGTTAATGACAGCATCTTCGGTGAACATTTTGAGTGAGTTGGGTTATCTTAAGAAATATTAACTAACAAATACAGCCAAACCATATCGAGCTTCTCCAACATTTTTGATGAACCACCTCAAGGCGAATCTACGCTCTATTTGCAAAGTACTCCGGACAGGCGTAGACAGCAAGGGTCTGTCCGTCTGGAAGATAGATCGCGATCGCCTATCAGTGGAAGAGACATCGATCTCGATCAGCTCCTCAACCATCAACACCACATCAGCAGCGACGCTTTTATCAATGCATCCAATGTGTTTACACAATCAGAAGCAAGTGCAAATGCGAATGCAAATGTAAACACTTCGCAAGAAACCGCTCACCGTCATTTAAGGAGTGCTCGCGACAGCGTTGTGCGTAGTATGGCAGACCACATCCCACCATCATCGCAAGATCAGCAGGGAATGCGTTCTTCATTGCTTCCGCCATCTAACCAGAAAGAAAAGGAGAAGGAAATTGGACTGAGAGCATCGTTGCAGAATGAAAGCGCGACTGATTTTAATGGCGTGGCTCTTTCGTTTAGACGGCGGTCGCCAGTAGTTGAAGCGCGAGAGCAGGCTTCAGCAGATGTGCCAATGAACATTGACAATGATACTCCGACAGATGAATCCCTTAGATTGAGGGAGGGGGCTACTGAGAAACATGAAGAGACCAATAGACTTAGACAGGAAGCTGAATCTATTAGACTGAAAGAGGAAGAAGCTAACAGGCTGAGCCAAGAGGCTAAGGCTAAAGAGCAACAAGAAGCTGAAGCTAGAAAGCAGCAAGAAGATGAAGCTGTCAGACATAGACAAGAGACCGAGGCTAGAAGACTGCAAGAGGAAGATGATACCAGAAAGAAACTAAACGAAGAGGAGGAAAACAGAAAGAGGCTTGAGGAGGAAAGTGATAAAAGAAGGCTGGATGAAGAGACCAATATTAGACTTGAGGACGAGCATAGAAGAAAATTTGAGGCAGAGAATAGAGAGAGACAAGAGGATCAGACTAGAAAGAGGCAAAAAGAAGCTGAGCAGCAACATTTAACGAATGAGAGAGCTGAGGCTGCTGCTGAAAAAGAGAGACAAAGCCTAGCCTCCGACTCTGCACTCGAAGTGGAGCGTTTACATCGGGAAGAGCAGGCGCGAAACATGCTTTTAGCTCAAAAATCTCAATCAGACAGGATCCCCAGTGCTTCAACACCCTCAGAAGGGCCTGAAAGGTTATCTCAACAAATCTCTGAGCAACTACCTCAATCACCTCGACAAACATCCGAGGAACTATATCAAGGAATATCTCAGCAGTTATATCAAACTATGTCTCACGATCCTCAGTCAGCGTGGATCTCAAATTATTCGGCTCCGCTGGAGGTAATTGAGGAGCCACAGCAACAATCTTCTCAGCATCCAACTCAGCAAACGTCTCAAGAGCCGGATGAGCAACTATACCAACAACTGGATCAACAACTTTCCCACCAAATGTCCGATCAACTATCATCTGTGCAGCCTTTCCAGCAACCAACTCAATCAACCGAACCAACTCAACGGTCTCCACGATCTCCACAAACCCAACCAACCCAACAATTTCAACCGTCTCCACAAAATAAACCAGTTCAACAAACTCCACAAACTCAACAGTCTCCATCCACAAGTTCCACACACCCTTATAATACTGCGCAACCCGTAAAAGCCAATTCAACTTCGGTAGATGTTAATGAGGAGGAAACTGTGGACAATAACGTCAAGGAAATCATGAAGGAGCCATTTGTAGCTCAACCACAAAGAAGAGTCGAAGACGATCTATTGAATCACTTGGATCTACTACCTGACCACTCAGATAACGACAAAGTAGATGACGCAAATGATGTTGACTCGGACAATCGTAGTTTTAGTAGGCAGGAGTCTGTAATCAGCTGGGCAGGTGACGATGAAGAGCAGGTGAATTCGAGAAGAAGCGCAGATGGTGGATCGCGTATTATTCATCGGAAGGGTGTGAGAGTTAGCCGTGAAGTGGAATCACATAGACGCACAATTAGAGAGAACAGACAGAAGGCGTTTGACTCTGACGACTCTGACGAAGATGGACCGCCCGGTAATCAGCAGAGCTTGGTGCCACCTCATCCTCTTGATGTTGACATGGGCGATCAGGATGAAGATGATCTTGAGCTTATGTCTAGCCAATTAGAGACTAAGGTTCTAGAAATACCTAGCAGTATGGTTGAGATCAACAAGGATGTTATTGTCCTGTCTAGTGATGATGAAGATGAAGATGAGGGTAACCAGGGTGGTTCGAAGATGCCTCCTCAAACAGTCAATCCTCGCACTCGCACTAGCGCTTCCTCTCACAGTGGCACTCCTCCTCCAAACCAGCCAAGTCAACAAAGAAATTCCTCTTTATTCGACTCGAATCAATTTCAACAAATTCATATCAGCCTTCCATTGACTCATCTGACACCTCCACCAACTCCACATATTCCACGTTCGCGTTCCAGTGGCCCTACTGCCAATCGCGTGTATGATACCATCAATAGAGAAAGGTTTAGACGCACTGACGATAATGGCTACTACCAAGACGAGAACCAAATCGGGGAAGAAAGAGTCGAAAGTGATAAATTAAGCCAGAGCGATGACGAGTGGAATATGGATGATGAGGTACCTGAGAAGCGTTTACGAATGTCTAATAAGGCACGTAATCTCAGAAGATCTAATCTAGGTATGATTGACGAGGCTAAAAGAATGCAGAATAAACGCCATAGACACCACCTGAGGCAAGCAAAGCCACGTGATCTTCTACCCAATGGTCGAAGGATTAAGAGAAAGACAAGGCCTTATGAAGAAGAGTTGATCATACGTGGGTATTCTGCGTTTCATCACAAAACCCTGCTGACGTTATTGCGCAATAGGCTACATGGTTAACAGATATCGTCTCGAAAGATGGAAGTTCAACAACAATACAGCAGAATATGCAGATGTCGACAAAAGTCAATTTCGCTACGTCACTGTGCCCTATAAGTGTTATGCGCAGATGGTCATCGACCATGGGTATCGCGGCAACTTCAGTCAGACACTTTCAGAAAGAAATAAGTGAGTATCATATTGAATTTGTCGCTATACTGACAATTTAAAGCATTGATATTAAAGATATCGTCCGGAAGTACAATGAACGGCATCTAAGGAACGGTAGAAAGCTTCACCCGGCGCTGCGCAAGACGACGGGCACATACAAAGCAAATTGGGATACCGATTTCTTGCAAGACACTGATCTGGAAGACGAACGGGAAAAAGACTTTGTTTCTGAGAGGCAATTAGCACAAGATGTGATAGATCTTTACCCGCAAGTAATTGACGAGGGACTGAATATTCCTGATAGAGATGCCGAAAATACTTCAGCAGTAGTGAGTCCGAGGTTAAGTGGTAAACGCCAACGCAAAGGAAAGAGCCAGAATCCAAGTAACGTAAAGCGTAGGCGTTTGAGTGAGTCTGGTGCAGCGGCAAATACATTGCACACTACAAATCCAGTTCAGCTAGATGGACAAAATAAGCCAAGTCAGGCAGTTCAGCCAGAGCAGTTGAATCAGTTAGAGCACCCTTTTTTCTACGATAAGAATGCATTTGGATATGAAACTGAAGTTCCGCAGAGTGAGGATGGAGAAGTAGATGATGGGAATATGGATCGAATAGAGAGGGATGGAGAAGAGAGGGAGGATAATGACGATCAACTACATGCAGCAAGTGAGAATGGAATACAACGGTTAGCAGCATCAGATGCTAATGAATATGGACAAGATGAGAATGAAATTGGTCAGAACATAGAGCGGGGCATGTTAGAGGAAAATGAGATCCACCGAGTACCAGCGGCAGACGCAAGTCAATTAGAAGCCACAGATCAACTCCAACTTGAAAGAGCAAATAAAGACGTAGAATGGTAGCAATGTATGTACTTATATCTCAAATAGAGACGTGTATATCAGTAGTAATTTATACATTTATACAAATACATCCAATAAAGTCGCATCAGGCGCTTTTCTGGGCATACTTTAGCTTATGCAGGTCTTGTGCCTCCTTTTCACAAGTCCTCATCCATGTTTCAGTGATAGTGGAGAAAGCGAGTGCGAGTACTGTTCGCGTGGAAACAGTATTGCGATATAAGAGGAGACAGAAGAGGCTGAGAGTGAGACCGAGCAAGTGAGAACGGGGTTCTGGGATGTTTCTGAGTGCTGGATGTGCAATCAGCATCAGATCACGTTGAGTGAGAGTGTTAAGGAGAGAGGGAAGCGGGAAAAGAAGTGCAATGAGGTTGAGTACATTACCGCGCATATCAAGACGCAACAGTAACCTGAGATTAGATTTAGTGACGCACTTTTGAGAAGACAAGACTGACGATAAGAAGTGGGTGGCTATGAAGAGGAGAGTGAATGATCTGTAAATCTTATTCGATGCAGCATTATTTGTAGCTATCCCAGTTACAATTTCTGTTTGTTCTGCGCCGTGTTAGAAGAGCAATATCATAGAACCAGACGCAGACTGACGGTCTTGATCGAGTAATTGATTTGGGTGCTGAGCGAGCAAGTCATCGTCATAATCTTCAGGAAACTTGAAAATGCTCCTCGTTCTCGATCGCAGGTTCATTTGGGTGTTAAATTCAAACGGTCATTTGACTGATAGACTAGCTGCCAGCTAAAAGGTGCTTCTGCGAAAAGGTTCATTTCGCAAGACAGCGTATAAGCAGGCAAACATGAACAGCGACCTGTGTGTACATTGTGTGCTTGGAACGCAGTCTACAACTTTCCAAGTCACGCACGTCACAAAAGCAAAGAATCGCGTACATTATATCATTTCATAGCAATTCTAGATACATGACTTCTATACTTTCAATACCTTTTGTACAGCTTTGATTACGTCTGCGTGTATATCAGCACTCGCCGCAATAACTCCCTTGTTATTCTTAAGTGTGCGTCCGAGGGAGAAATCGAGATCGTTGTTGTGTATGTCAGTCACTTTACCGCCAGCTTCAGCGACGATGAGACGTCCAGGTGCATGGTCCTTTATGTAATGCGTTAATAGGGTTACTTAAGCTTAAAATAATGTCAACGCACCCAGATCTTCTCCTCGTAATCTGCAGATACAGGCAAACGGAGGTAGATATCACCGTCACCACGTGAAATGGAGCAGTATTTAGCTTGAGAATCCATTCTAACAGGCTCGTTGGTTATGCCCAACTCGTTTGCGATGTTTGCAGCGTCAGATTGAGAAGAGTGACCAGATTCAACAGATTCACAGAAAGAAGCATATGATAAAGATTCTGGAGTGATTGGGTTCATTCTGATTGGAGTGAGAGTGCCATTTGTTTCGCTGATTGGACGTTGGAAAGCGCCTTGACCTTTGACAGCAGCTAAAACGACACCCTTTGGACTATCAGGGTTACTTGGGTTTACAGGGAGGTTAGGACATGCTATTACACCCAACTGAACTTTGCCCTCTACAAGCAAAGCGAGACATACGGCGTATTGGCCACCTCTAAGGAAACCTTTTGTACCGTCGATTGGATCCAAGCACCACATTCTACCACTAGAACCACCTTGGAAGGTACCTCTATCGATTGCATCTAACAATACATTTGAATCACGTGAAGTACCCAATTCCAAGTTATCAGATTCACCGATTGATTGTGGCTTCGATAATTCAGCATTGACGAGCTGGGTGACTCTATTCTTAAGTTGAATTGAAGATTCTGTTGGTTGCTTGAGATCGTTTGCGTCTTCCTCGCCGACGATTGGATCATTTGGGAACGATTTTGAAAGGAGGAGAGAAATGAGAGCTTGACAAGAGTAATCTGCGACTATAGAATATGTTTCAGTGAATATCAAACACGTATCCCTCCCAACATACCAGTCACAGGAGACTTATCATTCTTTGTGACAGTCTCTGCGGTTACCAACTTGTTAAACACAGATTGAGCTAAATTTGCAGCTCTGCTAACGACAGTCAATGCGACTTGCAGTTCTGATTTCAACATTTCCTCTTTGATTCCCTCTTTGAATATAAACAACCACCTGGAAATGAAATGAATTCATTCAGATTACGCAAAATTAAAAATCATCAAGACACAATGAATAGCCCACACGAAGACGAGCAGAGGTTGTTGGAGGAGCATAATCATAACGATGACGTTGATAATGGCACACGCGATATAGACAGCCCTGATAGCCCTGATTTAAATGATTACCGAAGAGTTCCGTTAAACTCACATAAAAAACTCAAACATCCTCCAAACAGCATTAGAAACCAGAAATACAACTTAATCACTTTCATTCCCCTCATTTTATACCAACAATTCAAATTTTTCTTCAATTTATACTTTTTATTGGTTGCTTTATCTCAGTTTATACCTCCGCTGAAAATTGGCTTCATTTCCACTTACATAGCTCCTTTAGCCTTTGTTTTGTTGGTTACCATATCAAAAGAGGCCTATGATGATTATTTACGTCAAAAACGAGATAACGAAGTTAATTCTTCACTCTACACCACTCTAACTTCAATTGGTTCTCAATCAACTCCTTCATCATCTATTAAAGTCGGTGACTTACTATTCCTTGAAAAAAATCAACGCGTACCTGCTGATTTGGTCCTACTAAGGTGTACTGACTCTTCCGGTACTTGTTTCGTCAAAACTGATCAACTAGACGGTGAAACTGATTGGAAGCTGAAAGTCGCAATCCCTTCCACTCAATCTCTCCCCTCTGACTCTGACTTGCTCAACTTGAAGGCTGATTTACTCGCTGCTCCTCCCATCAAAGATATTCATTCTTTCAATGGCTCTTTACACCATCATGGATCTAGTCTCTTTCAACACGCACTCCCCGCTGAACCTCTCTCTGCGGAGAACTGCTTGTGGGCCAACACCGTTTTGGCCGCTGGTTCTGCTATCGGTGTGGTTGTCTATACTGGTAAAGAAACAAGGGCTGTGATGAACACTAGCAATCCTAAAACTAAAGTTGGTTTGCTCGACACCGAGATAAACAGACTAGCAAAGGTTTGTCAAAAGCCTGTCGTCATACAAGCACTAACTATTCTTTAGATCCTCTGTCTAGTCACTTTCCTACTATCTGTCGCCTTAGTAGCCTTGAACGGCTTCAGAGGCCAGTGGTTCGTCTACATATTCCGCTTCCTCATTCTCTTCTCCTCCATCATTCCTATCAGTTTGCGTGTTAATTTAGACATGGGCAAAACAGTATACTCGAAGCAAATTATGAGAGATGCAAACATCCCAGGCACAGTAGTGCGCACATCGACTCTCCCTGAAGAGCTTGGTCGTATTTCTTACCTCCTCAGCGACAAAACGGGTACACTCACACAGAATGAGATGATTATGCGCAAACTGCACATGGGTACTATGTCATACAGCAATGATTCGATGGACGAAGTGCGCTACCAGCTTGCAATGTGTTACGGGGCGCAAGACGACTATGGCTATGGCGATAGTGATGAGACGAAAGCACCAACACTAGTCACAGGTATCCAGCTTGCAAATCGCGGGCGTCGCGACATGAGCTCGCGCGTAAAGGATGTAATTATGGCTTTATCGCTGTGTCACAATGTCACACCCGTCACAAACGATGACGACACCGTATCATACCAAGCCTCTTCGCCTGACGAAGTAGCCATAGTGAACTGGACGGAAAGTATCGGTATGGCTCTCGTGCAGCGTGATCGTCAACGCATAACCCTGCGCACTCCCTCTGGGCTTCATATCTCGTATGACATTCTCCAACTGTTCCCATTCACTTCCGAGTCGAAGCGGATGGGAATCATCGTGCGTGACACCATCTCTGGCATAATCACATTTTACGAAAAAGGCGCAGACGTCGTCATGCTCCCGCGTGTCCAGCGTCAGGATTGGCTTGAGGAGGAGACGGGTAATATGGCGCGCGAGGGGCTGCGTACGTTGGTAGTGGCGCAGAAGGTACTCACTTCGAGCACATATGATGCGTTCGAGCAGGCTTACACGAGCGCTAAAGTTGGCGTAAGTATGGGTAGACTAGACGTAACACCTGAAAGTGTCGTCGATCAGCTCCTTGAACACGACCTAGAGCTTCTCGGTCTCACTGGTGTAGAAGACAAGCTGCAAGAGGATGTCAAGCCGACACTCGAACTGCTCCGCAATGCAGGGCTCAAAATATGGATGCTGACGGGTGACAAGATTGAGACAGCAACGTGCATTGCCATCTCGAGTAAACTCGTCTACCGCAATCAGTATATACACCAAATAGCCAAGGCTGGCTCTGTGCAGGAAATTAAAGATCACCTCGACTTCCTCCAGTCAAAACCAGATTCATGTCTCGTCATCGACGGTGATTCACTTAATGTGGGTGAGGTGTTTCTGTTTTGTACAGCGCTTATCATTTCCAGCTCTGTCTAAACAACCTCAAACCGGAATTCATACAGGTGGCAACGCAGCTATCTGTTGTCGTTGCTTGCAGATGCTCGCCTACGCAGAAAGCTGAAATCGCCAATCTCATCCGCTCGCACACCAGGCGGCGCGTGTGTTGTATAGGAGATGGTGGAAACGATGTTTCTATGATCCAAGCTGCAGATGTCGGTGTCGGTATCGTTGGCAAAGAAGGCAAACAGGCTTCACTAGCAGCTGACTTTTCGGTGATGCAGTTCTCTTTCCTCACTCGCTTGCTGGTGTGGCATGGCAGAAACTCGTACAAGCGCTCAGCGAAGCTGGCACAGTTCGTCATACATCGCGGTCTTATCATATCGATCATCCAGGCTGTCTTCAGTGCTATTATGTATTTCGCCCCTATCGCCATCTACCAGGGCTACCTGATGGTGGGATACTCAACAATTTACACTATGGCACCTGTCTTTTCACTCGTGTTGGACAGAGATGTTAATGAGGATCTGGCCCTTTTATATCCGGAGTTATACAAGGAGCTTACTAAGGGTCGCATACTATCGCTAAAGACCTTCTTCATATGGATGATGGTTTCCGTGTACCAGGGTGGCGCAATCATGATTATGACGCTCGTCCTGTTTGAGAATGAGTTCCTCAATATCGTCGCTATCTCATTCACGTCACTGATTGTGAACGAACTTATAATGGTCGCGCTCGAAATCACTACTTGGCATCGCTACATGGTCATCGCGGAGATCGTAACCCTAATCATTTACATCCTCAGTATGGTGCTTCTTCCTGAATATTTCGGTATGTGCGTGTACGAGTGATTATCACTACTCACAGCCCTTGCAGACCTTTCGTTCGTCTTCTCATTCCGATTCGTGTGGAAAGTTGCGGTGATTGTTGCCGTTTCTTCCTTACCTTTGTATGCCTACAAAGCATTCAAGTCGAGGTTCGCACCTGCCAACTATGCGAAATTGTCATGTGAGTAAGGGTAATTTCCGGTTGTGGATATTACTGACGACAAACAGATCTGTAGGAATATGATGCAAATTGTATAGAAATGTATATAATACAACCCTTGATTACATTGCTTTATAGAAGATAAATGAAAATAATTCTATCCACTCACCATGTCAAACGTTATCCTCACGCCTGACCTTTTCATTCTCTTGATCATCCAGATTTTGAGAATTGTCTTGAGCAGTTCTTGCATTTCTAGCATTTTCATTGTCTCCGTCATCACCGCTATCACCGTTTTCACTATCTTTTGTATCCCCATTCTCATTCGCATTCTTCTCCTCTTGTTCGAGTTTAATGCGAAGAGTGCTACCCCAATGTGAATCGATGATTTTCTGACCAAAGAATCTGACGAGCAGGCCAAATGCGACTGGTCCAATAATGGTATTCCATGCAACGGCCCAGATGCCGATCAAGTAAGTCTCGGTGTCCATCACAGAGATAGCGCCGGGGGAGTTGGCATTCGCTTGTGTAGTACTAAGACTGACTTGTAGAATCAACACACCTATCTCGCCTCTCGCCAACATGGCACTGCCAAGAATAAGACCCGAGATCCAGCTATTTTTGTTTGGTTTTCCGAGACCCCACTTTGTTTTCTTCTTTTGGTTCTCCGCGTCGCCGACGATTATTGTCTCTTTGGAAATGCAGTCGCGTATCGGGATCCATATCCCGACGAGCAGCTTACCGATAAGCATAAGGACACTGTACACCAAACCCTGCCAGAATCTCTTGGCGGTGAAGAGATCGAGGAATGGTATACAGTAACCGATAGACGCGAAGAAAATAGATGCAAAGTAGCGTTTGAGGAGTGGTTCGAATATCTCCTCGAAAATGTGTTTGTAGTTTAGGACATCATCGCGGTTAGATGGCCAGACTACGAGCGTCATACCGGCTAAGAAGGCACCGAGAAGCATAGTGGTGTGTATGTAGTAGCTGATGGCTAAGTAAGCGGCTAGGACGAGGAAGCCGACAGTGCAGCCGCCTCTGTAGCCACCATAGTGGGTGAGAGGACGCTCAATCCAGCGTCTGTACACCGGCCTGAACGCGTA